GTGGTGCTAACATTAAAAAACCCGCCACTTTTTTCAAATTTTCTTGCTGTTGTTTTCACACCTGATGATGATTGCTGGTGTTGCAGTCGAAACGTCGTGAGAATTTTATTGTTTTATACTTTTATCATTTTATTGTTTCCCTTCTACGTGACATATTCCTACTCACGAGTATACGCCGTGTGCACAAGAGAGCCCTGCAACGTCAAGCATGACATGACCACGTCGGTGAAAAGTCTCCCAATCTTCAGAACCATTTGCCCGCTCTCCGCGTTTACGCGTTGTTCACAAGGGGGCAGCGACATTCGTGCGACAGGACGTGATGTTGCGAGCTGCCCTCCCGGTGCACAGTGTAAATATAAAACTCCCGTATGTCTTAAATGAACCCGGCGCATTTTGCTAAGCGTGCAAACGTGCCAAGTGCCACATCAGCAGAGTCATCGCCTGGCTGTCAGCGTCGCACGGAGCTATTCGCCAGCGTCACAGCCAGTGACCGAAGATTCGGGTTGCTGCTGCTGCTGCTTCTTCTCTTTTGACACGCTTTCATTTAACTCACTCTGTCTGTTGTTGTTGTCGTCGTTGTCTCCTCAAACCTTGTAACTCAATTTTAACCCACTTCCCAATGTGCAATCGACTGCAAACTCGGTATACTTATGTCATACTGATGACACTACTATATTATATCATAAAAATAAATAAATAAAAGTTTGAACATTCCTTTTTTACATGTTATGTTTCGGCTTTGGTCTAATTGTCCACGGTGAACTGACGTTGTGGCAAGCTTCGGGGCCACTTCCTGGAGTCGTGGAGTTCTGCCATTACTCGTAGAGTACATTTCACAAAAGCGTGGTTTAAAAAAAAGTTTTTTTTTAATATTACTTATTCTTTTGGTCGAGCCCAGATAGCAACCTGGGTCTGGAGCAGCGTAGTAATGCTTCGCTGTAATATGAAGGTCGCTGATGCTATTGCATCGCCGCCAGCCACCGTCACCGCCGTCAACATCTATCCAGCGCTGTTTATTTAACGAGGTTGAGAGCCAATTGCGGTGCATTATTGCTGGCGAGGAAGGACCTGCCTGACCTTTGTTAGGCGTGCGCTGTTACATTTTGTATGGGAGTCGTCGGGTTACGTATTGCCGCGCCGGGGAAATATTTCGTCCCGTTAGTCCATAAATCCGAGGATGCTTCACACATTAAAAAAATTAATTAAACAGAAAAATACAACACAATCACTATTATACCGCAAGGGCCTACCAAAACCAACGCCCAAATCTGTCGTTACTGAGCAGAGCTTGGCAATGGAATCTTAAAAATATATATTACGTTACGATTGAAAGCTTTCGTGACTGCAGGGATTCATATTCTTGGTTCTTTCGGTAAAGTCACGTAGAAGGGAAACAATAAAATAATACAAATATTGTTGCTTTATATTTTTATTATTTTATTGTTTCCCTTCTACGTGACTTTACCGAAATAACCAAGAATATATATTACGTTGTCCGCCAACGCGTGAAAAGGAGCTTTATAGCTCATCGGATTCCTCCGATATTAATACATATCAAATATTCTGTTTCTGTGTGTGTATCAGGTGGCCTGGAAAAGTAAGCTCCCTTTAATGCCTGGCTTTGCCAGCTTGTCGTCAGTGTGAATATAAAGTATCTTCGGGGATTTCTATCAGGACACCCAAGAGATACATGATCTGGAGAGATACAGATTGCAATAGATACAACAACAATCCTCTCAGGATTCACCGCTCCATCAGGCTGTGAGGAAGCCCAAAGATTACGAAAACATATATATGTATATGACTGGAAAGCAGCTCATGCACCAATGCACACTGGGTGAATGTATGTATGTATGTTGAACTTATTTCGCACCGTACGTAGCAAACCGTGCTCATAGGAGGTGCGGGGGAAGGACAACAAACTAAACACAACAAGCAGGTTTCAAGGAATGAATTTGTCAATCTCGATGATTGAAAAGTGCACAGCTCCAGTGGCTTCCTAATATCGGGAGAACGTTCCAGACGGCCGCAGAAGCGCTGCGATGCCATTGGCCGTCTTGTGGGGTAAAGTAGGGGGGGGGGGGGGGCTACTCCCACCTCTTCGAACGCCTCTTCCCAGCGTGGAAGAGGAGGCCAAAAAAACCCGCCCTCGAGGGGCCTTCTAGAGCTCCGTCTAGCGGAAGCCCTTCCAACAACAGTTACGCGAGAGTAGTGAACATTGCAGGGCTGCGCCTTTACCCCTTGAGATTAGGCTGCACGGCAGTGCGGACCGTCTTTGCATCGCCTGGCACGGAGCATGACCACAGCGGCCGCCAGTTGCGTGCACCGATCAGCTGTTCGGTTATTACCGAAGCGGAGCCGATATCGATAAGAGGGATGATGATGATGACCAACCGAATTCTCTGGGTTGTGAGATGTTCCGGAAAGGAAGGTGTACCCCCACACTCCCTCAAAACGTCATACAAATCCTGGTAAAGGCTTTTTTTGGTGGGGGGGGGGGGGGTTAAATCGTGTAAATATAAATGTGTCGTTAACCCACCGCCACCCGACACAGCCAATGAGTGAGGGTTGTCACGTGAACTACTAATTGGCACAAAGCCCCCTGCCGGATGTATCTCACTTGGGACGTTTTGTTTTCGCGACGAACCTTACTTAACTAAACCATGTTTTATACTACCAGGTAAGGCCCAACTGAGCTATATTGCTGGGTTTTTTTTCAGAAGCGACCTGGCTGCCACAAATGATAGCTCAACGCAGTGGCTTATCACGTGGACATTTATACCAGCCAAATACTCCATAATTGGCTGTGTTGGGTGGTGGCAGGGTTAACGACACATTTATGTTTACGCGATCTAAACCACACAGAGACCGCTACTGCATTATAAGACGGACCCCGCAACATTTTATCTAAAATACAGGGAAATAAAAGTGTGGCGATCATGCGGAGAATAAGGTAAAAGCACACGCTAATAATGAGGGCAATTCCCGACACGTCGCCTTTCATGTGTATCATTTGTTTTTAGCCCACAGTATTATTGATGTACGTGTTTTGTAATAATATTTACTGGTATAATCTTTACTGGGGATATACTTTGCAAAGCTTTAAAGTGCTGTGCATAGTTTCGTTTGTATTGGAGGATTGGTTGACGTTCAATAATTGGGCCGCTTCCGCCCTCTTGTGGACATCATCGCGAACACCACCCGTATTCATATTCTTGGCTCTTTCGGTAAAGTCACGTAGAAGGGAAACAATAAAATAATAAAAATATAAAACAATAAAGTTCTCACGACGTTTCGAATGATTGCTTGTGTTGCAGTCGAAACGTCGTGAGAATTTTATTGTTTTATATTTTTATTATTTTATTGTTTCCCTTCTAAGTGACTTTACCGAAAGAACCAAGAATATGAATCCCTACAGTCGCGAAAGCTTTAAATGAAAATTTAAAACCATCCGTATTGCAGACTGCAGCCCCGTACTTTAACAATAATGTTCGACGAAAAAACTTTTTTTTTATTTTACCACGTAGGCCCCACTGAGCTGTATATTTATTTTATCTGAATCGACCTGGGCAAAAATGATAGCTCAACGAATTGGATTATTACGTGGGAAATGCATAGCAGCCAAATACTCTAAACGCGTGATGTTGATTCTAATTGCGGAGGGAAAAACCGGAGGACCCGGAGAAAAATCAACGCCACCGCGGAGAGAGAGAGAGAAAGACACGCAAACTCCAAATATACAGCAGCAGCAGGCGTCGGGTCGGGATCGAACCCGCGACCTCCTGTACACCAGGCGAGTTAGTTAACATCTCGTCACTGTGACACCCAACGCAGTAATACTGTAACAATAAACTCGGCTTTCTATTGCGCAATTCGCACCAACTCAAGCTCACGTCTTCTAATAAACGAAGTGAAAGAATGTCAATTGAGATGCATCCAGCATGGGCGTAATGGCCCTTGGAGTTGGAAGGGCCTGCCAGATAAATATTTACAGTCAACAAATGTTCGACCTTATTCTGAAACGTACTGATTTGATGGTCTCAGCCTGGTACCCAATGACTACACTCAACAAACTGTGTATATTCTTGGTTCTTTCGGTAACAATACAATTGTTTCCCTTCTACGTGACTTTACCGAAAGAACCAAGATTATGAATCCCTGCAGTGCTTTAAATCAAAACAAACTTTGTGTTGCAATTATTTTGTTTCCGCTTAACCTCAACGAATGCCATCGTTGAGAATTCAAACGCATAATGTTTATACATGTATAATGATTATTTACTGCCATATGCTCAACATTTCTCATCTGCAGCGGGGTGGATGGGTAAGTGCTGCCCTCGTCTCGTGCTGGGTAAGAGGTCACGTGTGAAGCAGTTCCAGATTATCCTCGCAGCACAAGTGGCTACATATGTAGTAGCTACTACTACATATGTAGTAGCTACGGGCCCCGCACTTTCAAGGGCCCCGCGCTAAATGCTTTCAAGCGATCAATTCCGGTTCTGTGATTCTGCACTTGCTCTATCACTATAGTACTATACCGCCTTCAACTTTTATGAACGGAGATTATTCTCTTTTTTTTAAACCCCACAACAACCACACGGCCCTAAACCGACAGCTGTAAATGAAATGAACAAAGATTATTTTTTTTCGTGAAAGTAGCCGAAGTGGATTTTTTTTTTTTTTAGAAGAGATGAAGATAGCAAGCGGCCAATGCAGCGCTCTTCATTTTTCAAGCCCCGTGTGGGGGTCACTGGCGGGTCCCCTGGTGGCCTTTCGCGCGGCCCCTGACGCAACCCCCATCAGCATCATCATCATCATCGTGCTGCTGTCACCAACCCGCAAATGGTTTCAACCGCGTGGCGGCGCTCACACAGACGATGTCTCATCGGCGAAAGTGGCCACCACCACCACCCCCTCCCCATCTCTGAAAATGTCGTGAAGATTTGCTGGCCTAATGGGTTCCCCTCCCGTACCCCATCGTGCTTGCGTGCGTGCAAGCAGCCTCGCGAACTTCCTTCTGCTGGCTCTGCTCTTCACCTCGAGTTCCCCATTCGCGATCGACACATCCGAGGAAGGTACATCATGGCCTTGGGTGGCCCCCGTCCACCCCGAAAACACGTGTGATCGATTTTATTCATTAGTTTATTAAAACTAGGTTGTTTTTTCAATGTTATATTTCATTATTTTTATATTCATTTGTACCTATCTAAGTGACTTTACCGAAAGACCCAAATAATGTATTTTGTTTTTTGCTTGTGTATTTTGCACGTTTCTGAAGATTCGAGGGAGCCCGACTCGACCAGTGACTTTGACAGCCACATGTCTTCCGAGTCTACTGAGCACAGAGGCGGCGTCGTCTGTGAGTCCCGTCACACGGCAGACTCTGGGGGGCACGGGGGGGGGAGGGGCGCACCACGACCCTCGCTTGGCACGACAACTCCACGCCGCTCTTCGCTAATCCGCTTCGACTTTCGCCCCCCTCCCCCCACTCAGCCACCATCATATTTCCCACGTGTGTCTCTACGCGTAAAAGCAAATCAATGATCGACTTCTTCGAATCTTCGAACACCCCCCCCCCCCCCCACTATTATTCCTGCTAAAAGTCCTCTCCTTAACAAGGCATAATACATTTTGATTTAAAGCTTTCGTGACTGCAGGGATTCATATTATTGGTTCTTTCGGTAGTCACGTAGAAGGGAAACAATAAAATAATAAAAATATAAAACAATAAAATTCTACGTGACTTTATCGAAAGAACCCAAGAATAAGGCATAATAAGCCAGGTAACACGAACAGTGTGCTCTGATAGCCGTCACGCTATTGACGCCCATTTCATATGATCGCTATTGCTCCGGATATCGCCGTTGGGACTCTCTCCGCTGTCTTTAAAAATGTGAACCCTTCACAGCGAGAGAGATAGAGAGAGAGACACGGAACCCTAGCTGTACGATACAAATGGGATCTCTCCGCTGTCTTTAAAAATGTGAACCCTTCACAGCGAGAGAGATAGAGAGAGAGAGACACTGAACCCTAGCTGTACAATACAAATGGGATCTCTCCGCTGTCTTTAAAAATGTGAACCCTTCACAGCGAGAGAGATAGAGAGAGACACTGAACCCTAGCTGTACGATACAAATGGGATCTCTCCGCTGTCTTTAAAAATGTGAACCCTTCACAGCGAGAGAGATAGAGAGAGAGAGACACTGAACCCTAGCTGTACAATACAAATGGGATCTCTCCGCTGTCTTTAAAAATGTGAACCTTTCACAGCGAGAGAGATAGAGAGAGACACTGAACCCTAGATGTACGATACAAATGGGATCTCTCCGCTGTCTTTAAAAATGTGAACCCTTCACAGCGAGAGAGATAGAGAGAGAGAGAGACACTGAACCCTAGCTGTACGATACAAATGGGATCTCTCCGCTGTCTTTAAAAATGTGAACCCTTCACAGCGAGAGAGATAGAGAGACATTGAACCATAGCTGTACGATACAGATGGAATCTCTCCGCTGTCTTTAAAAATGTGAACCCTTCACAGAGAGAGAGAGAGAGACACTGAACCCTAGCTGTACGATACAGATGGAATCTTGATCGGAATCAGAATCTTGATTTGGTGCTGGAGGAATCCGATGAGCTATGAAGACGATAGCAGTGCAAAATAAAGACAAAGGTAAACAATGTTGATTTGAAGCTTTCGTGACTGCAGGAATCCATACTCTTTGGTTCTTTCGGTAAAGTCACGTAGGTAGAAAAATTAATAATAGATCACGACGTTTCGATCGCCACACAAGCAACCGTCTCCCACCTGAAGACGATTGCTTATGTGGCGATCGAAACGTCGTGATCTATTAACTTTTTCTACCTACGTGACTTTACCGAAAGATACAAAGAGTAAAGGTAAACAAGTCACTGAATATAAATAATCGTAATAAATACATCTTATATATAAGCCCGATTTGTTAATATTGGGTAAGGCAGGAACAGTGACAGCAAAAATAGTCCCAGACCACACCAAGATAGCACCACACGGAGTAGGCCCTCAATAAGATGCCCACATTGACATTGCATTATCGATAAGTGGTGCATTGACATTGAACTAAGCTATCGATAAATGGCACATTGACATTGAACTATCAATAAATGCAAAATTGACGTGCAACTATCGATCAATGGCACATTGACATTGAACTATCGATCAATGGCACACTGACGTGCAACTATCGATAAATGGCACATTGACGTTGAACTATCGATGCATGGCACATTGATATTGAACTATCGATCAATGGCACATTCATATTGAACTATCGACGCATTGCACATTGATATTGAACTATCGATCAATGGCACACTGACGTGCAACTATCGATAAAAGTAGTTGGCGGGGATGTTATGCAAATCTCAGTAGAAAAGGAAATGCATCGTGCCCAGGAGCGAGGCGAGCATTCGTATGTAGAGGGGGGAGTCCCAAATGCTGCACTGGAAGACGTCAACTCTGCTCGTTACGATATGAGTATACGGGGTAGCGCCTGGAGGGGACGGTGTTACTGCGGACATCATGAGAGATGGTGGAAGCAACTGCTGGGACAAAATCAGCCATACCTCTTCTTGGTTCTTTCGGTAAAGTCACGCAGAATGGAAATAAAATAATAAAAAATAAAATATACTCAAATAAAAATAAAATAAAGCATAATAAAATAAAAAATAAAAATTATTTTATTATGTCTTAGTTGTATTATTGTATTTCCATTCTACGTGACTTTACCGACAGAACCAAGAAGATGAATCCCTGCAGTCACGAAAGCTTTAAATTGAGCAAGACCTGTTCAAGGAATGTTTACACAGATATTCAATGCCTCGTAACGGATGATAACAACAACAACAACACCGGCTTGGAGAAGGACAGACCTCTCATCGCGCCTGTATTCATTGTTCATGAAAATCATTGGAACGCGGATTCATGAACAAATTGGAGGCAACCGATCAGAGCAGCAAGCAGGCTTTAAGAAAGGTTTCTCTACCATTTGAGCACACGCGTACTATCAATCAGATTCTGGTAAAGAACAACAACGAATGTCGATTAGCATTGCGCCTCTAACCTTTGCAAAACCATGGAACTCATAAGAAATATAACCATTCATCCGTCCAAATCTCTCACCAACGAAGACCTAAATAAAATATATATTTAGGAGTAATACTATCTCTTTACGTGAAGATAGTACCGAAATACATATTCAAAGGGGATTCCAATAATTCGCTTACAATGAAGCAATTGACAAATCGTCCCCACTTTAAAATTAGCGCAGCGCAACACCCAACGACGTTCGTGCCGCAAGGAGGCATTCGTTAACCCCGTGACCTCCTACACGCGCGCGGCACTCCCCAGGGTCGCGTGCTCTTCGCTAATTCACTTTGTGCTTTGCCTCAGACTCGCAGCACGGCGCAAACAACGGGCCCCCGTCAAACAGCAGAGGTGCGTCCGTCATCCGGTTGTCGATGACTGTCGCCGCGCGTGAGAAGCTTTGCACGTTGTCCACGGTTGTCCTCGACAGCTCCCCGACTGTTGGTTGCGTCCTTTCGGGTTGCACCGCACGCTAAACGCCGTGACGCCCGGCGTTTCGCTCGGCCTGAAGAAGGCCCCAGCACGTGGAGCGAAACGTCGGACATCCCGCCGAACAAACTCGTGGTGCAACCCAAAAACGTGTTGATCCTTTTTTCACTTCCCGTTTGTCAGTATCAGTATATAAGAACAGGTTTTACCCTTTTTGACCATAATAACACAGTTTGTGTTAAGATGTTAAAACACCAAACTTAAACCTTTTGCAAGTAATCATGCCTGCATTAACCACACATACTTGTGGTGAACATGCAAACAAAAACACCCCGAACTCTCAATGCCCTGATAGTGGCATTGTCTTTGTGCTGTTCGCCTTTTGGCATCCTGTGGTCTAACACTGCGAGTGAGACGAGGCTCTAAAGAAAGCTGTCTCTGGTGTGGAACAATAAGTTTCAAAGACAATTCATCATATACCACCAGAGCATGTTTTTTTTTTATTTGCATGTTCACCACAAGTATGTGTGGTTAATGCAAACATGATTACTTGCAAAAGGTTTAAGTTTGGTGTTTTAATATCTTAACACAAACTGTGTTATCATGGCCAGAACGGGTAAAACCTTTTCTACTTGCAATATCCGAATCGAGCCGGCAGAGGGCCAGCACGGTCCGGATGGTTTTTCCCCACTGGCTATTTTGCCGAGCCGAGTCGGATTTGTACAAATTGCGGTCCATCTACAAGATTTTTTGAGATGCTGGCACATTCTGACCAAAGGTCTTAGGAATGATGCCACGGGATCTTTTAGAAGGCCGCTTTGTAGCAGATACAAAAATCATTCCCCCACACGTGTCAACTCGAACGTCTGTGGACTGAGCAATTTGACTCCATGCCGAGATTTTACATTATTTATTATTCTGATTATAATAACGACGCTTGTTTCCCCCCCAGGAAACCCTCAGTTAGCCCGAAGACTCTCCTTCAAGAGATGACTAAGGAGGGTTCATTTTTCAGTCGCGTGCTGCAAATGCAAAGTGCTTCCCAATAAAGTAATTTGCGAGCAATTCTTCAAATGTGGACACGTGACCTTGGCACACGATTGCCGAATAAAACGCCATGGCGTGCATTAAAAAAAAACATAAGCTCACAACCAAATACTCCGTGTACAAAAAATATATTTATTTAATATTTTAAAATACCATTTATTTAACCAGAAAAGCCTTGCTGTGTTTTGGAACTTTGATTCCACTCATGCCATTCATCTCAATCAATCTACGCCTCCATACATAGATTGTCATGGGGGGGGAGTTAAATTGGCCATATTGCACCCTCCACTAACAACCCGTTGTGCGCATGATGGTCACCCATCCAAGCACCATCTAGGCTACACTCTTGCTTGGCTTCCGAGATGAATGTACAGGGACTCCTCCACTTACGAACGAGTTAGGTGCCAGAGGTCTGTTCGTAAATCGATTTGATCGTAAGTCCAACTTTACTCCTGTCGATTCCACACGTGTTGTGCGTCGTGTACGCTGAAAGTTGTATAATCTCCTGCAGACGTAGATGCCACTGGTTCTTCACGTTCTGCAGATGTAGATGCCACCGCCACCATCTATTGCGCAGCTTGCGACTCTCGGTCCAAACGGGCAACCGGACATACGGACCGGGTTTGTTCGTATCTCTGAAAGTTCGTAAGCCGAGGAATCCCTGTACATACGTATGCTGAACTTCTTTCGCACCGGTACGTTGCCAACCGTGCTAACCGGAGATCCGGCGAGTTCAGATCGGTCGCGTGCGAGCCGGCGCGTCGAATGGCCAACTGACGACATTTGAACTGAATGCCTCGGTGCCCAGACGCCCAGCAGGCAGGAGCCGAGTGGGCGTTCGGAGGAGACGGCATCGACCGTTTTGGAATTGAAGAACCGCAGGGGCCAGGTCAGTCCCAAGCCTCGTCGACCACCGCGTCACCCATTCGCAATGGAATCTGACGGAGCCGTGCGATATTGGACTTCAGAATGTTCATTTGTACTGGAGGAGGAATCCGATGAGCTGTGAAGCTCTTTTTGTCAACAGATGTCCAGTGAGGCTGTACGCCGTATGGACCTGAAAACTGAATTTCTCTGGTACAAGATTACGGGGTAAACCGTATGGGTTCACAGCTGTTGATCCCGACCCTGACTCCTGCTGTATATTTGGAGTTTGCGTGTCTCTCTAGCCGTGGTCGCGTGGATTTTTCTCGGGGTCCTCCGGTTTTTCCCTCCACATTTAGAATCAACGTCACGCTTTTCGAATATTTGGCTGCTACGGATTTCCACGTGAAAAGCCACTTCGTTGAGCTAACGTTTGTGGATAAAAAAAAGAGCTTTATACCACAGTGGGCCTTACCTGTTAAAATAAAATTTAAAAAAGCAAAAGTAAATCGCATTGGAACGCGTTGCTTCTTTATTTAAAGTCCTGCATCTGAGGAATTGCATTGGTCGTGCTTGAGGCATTTGGTCAATTATAATTGGATATATTCGTCAGATATATAAATATAAGAGATAAAAACAATGGCTGTGGAATTTGATTTCGCACCGAGGCTCAGGAAACCCGAGGCGAGCAGCAAGGCAGCCAGAGTCGCCGCTAACAATTTGAAGCAATTGGCGGGACCCCGGGGTCCCATCACTGCCCCGGGGTGGGAAAACCCGCGTAGCGACACGAGTCTTGCTGCCTTACCGACAACAAAACTAGTGTCAATCAATTGGCCTCGTCGAGAGCTACTCGGGGCACTAAGTTTCGTAAAAAGTTGAAAAATTACATAAACACGTTAAATTCACTGCCTGGGGGCGTGGCGGCGGGGCTCGCCTTGGCAAAGAAGCCGAGGATCGACGGCTGACCGGAGGGCGTCGTCGCCGCGCGCGACTGCGGCGGACGCCCCCCGGGGCTCGCGTTTGGCCGGTGGGGTGGCGCCCATCGTGTTGATCGCCGCCTGCTGCTGCTGCTGCTGGCGCTTGTTGGTGCGAGTCTGGGCGGGCGGCGCGTTGCTTTCGGGATCACGTAGTGGGGCGAACTGAAGAAAAATAATAATTATTATTGACCCGATTTTTGCGGGACCCCGGGGTCCCGCCAAATGATTCAATTGCCCGAGCTCTGTATCTCCGATCTTTGGATGATTGGCCATCTCCATGAATGAGTTCACAATACAAGTTGATCTAGGTTAGATCGCGTATTTTTCGTAACGTTTATCATGAATAACATTGGTTCGCGAAAGCCCGCGTGTTAAATCCATGACTGAGTGCACGTTGACTTACAGTCTGTGCGAGGGAGCGTGGAGGGGGGAGAGATCGGAAAAGAGCTTTGTGCAGTCTTGATTTGAAGCTTTCGTGACTGCAGGAATCCATGCTCTTTGTGCACGGTCGGAATTAGACGGCGCTCAAACGCGCCCGCACAGCTTCCGCCGTGAGAGGGCCTCGACTGAGCCGCGATTTGTCTTCAGAGCCTTGCGCCAGTGAGCTTGGCAATGTGCCACCAAACCTGGCGACATCATAAGAGAATCGCAGGCAAAAGCCCCCCCCCCCCCCGTGTAACCTACACGGGAGGCCGGGGCAAGTGCCGGTCAGTAAAGGCAGTGGGATATAGACATGCGCCTACAGCGTACGCATTGGCGCAGCACAGCGATGGATTAGTCTGCACTGCCCTCTGCCGCTCACAACATAATCACAGCGGCGCGAATGCTGTGACGACCTGGCGTCCATCCGAGCACGTGTACGTACGCATGTTGAACTTCTTTCGCACCGTACGTAGCCGACCGTGCTAACCGGAGGTGCGGGGGAAGGACAACACAAACTAAACGCAACAAAGGCAGTGCTCAGGAAATGAGTTTTAAATGGAGATGTTTAAGAGCATAGCTCCAGTGGCTTCCGAACATCGGAAGGAAGAGCGTTCCAGACGGCCGCAGAAGCGCGACTGAAAGCGTGCGACGCAGTGCTGGCGGGGGAAGGACAATAAACTAAAGACGGATAAAAAAAAGCAGTTTGTAAAGAAATGAGTTTTCAATCCAGACTCACGCAGTGTTCATCCCTACGTAGCTTCCGAGATCTAGAGAGGCTGGGCACAGCCCGCGTGATTTTGGTAAACGGGCACGTCACTGCCGTCACTGAGGCGCGGATTGTTTCCATCGCCACGCGGCTGACCTCACCGCCTCTTCTCCAGCGGCCAACGAAGCCGCAGCGTCTGTTGGAGCAGCAGCAGCAGCAGCAGCAGCTGCAGCAGGAGGAGGAGTTGGAGGAGGTGGGGGAGCAGGGACAGCTGGGGTTGGCGGGACAGCGGGGGACGTGGCGCGCGATTCCACGGGAGAGCTGCAGGGAGGGATGGCGACGGACACGGCCGGAGTTGGGGGAGGGATGACGCTCGATTACACGAGTCATGGTGCGGTTGGAGGAGCCGGTGGAGTGGCTGGAGGAGCCGGTGGAGCGGTTGGAGGAGCCGGTGGAGTGGCTGGAGGAGCCGGTGGTGACGCTGGAGGAGCCGGTGGAGCGGTGGGAGGAGCCGGTGGTGCAGCTGGAGGAGCCGGTGGAGCGACGGGAGGAACCGGTGATGGGGCTGGAGGAGCCGGTGGAGCGGCTGCAGGAGCCGGTGGAGCGGCTGGAGGAGCCGGTGGTGACGCTGGAGGAGCCGGTGGTGACGCTGCAGGAGCCGGTGGTGACGCTGCAGGAGCCGGTGGAGCGGCTGGAGGAGCCGGTGGAGCGGCTGGAGGAGCCGGTGATGGGGCTGGAGGAGCCGGTGATGGGGCTGGAGGAGCCGGTGGTTTCGTGGCGGGTCATGGAGGCAAGTCCGTCACAAAGGGCCCACGGTTTCTCGGGTGGAGAACTTGCAGTCCTGGCATTTGCCCACTCATCACCTCTGCCCTCAATTCCCTCACCACCTCTCCCCCCTCTACTTCATTCACACATCCCAACATTAACGCAGAGGGCTACTGGGGTCACGCGTTCGTGAACCTTCCAATCTGTCCAATTTCTCGTGAACGCGTGGGTTGGCATTGCCTCCGTCGCCAATGAAACGGCGTGAATTGCCAAGCGAGTGATGGGTTTGACCGACCAACGCGCGGCACGACGCGCGATTCATTGTCCCTTCAGCATGTGAATCTGGCCCGTGCTGCCACTGCACCCCGCGCTGTGGCCTTTCTCCCACCAGGCCACTTTGGAGGTGCGGAGACGATGGCCGGTGGAGCGATGGGATATGGGGGCGCGGGGCCCATCGTAGACGACCTCGGTAAGTCACTGCCCGGCGGTTTGAAACCGTTGGGCCCAACGTTGGCCCAACTTGTCACGTTCACTGGGTAAACAACCACGGCAAGACTGCTGTGGTCATACAGTCCTCGGTTTCCGCGGTGACGCAGTACGGCTATCCCGCGTGTGTGTAGTGAAATGTGGTGAATTAAAACTGAAACTACGAAACGAAATTTTTATTTTACCAGGTAAGGCCCACTGAGCTGTTATAGCTCTTTTTCAGAAGCGACCTGGCCATCACAAATGGTAGCTCAACTTAGTACCTTATCACGTGGACATGTATCGAAGCCAAATGCTATAAACGCGTGATGTTGATTCTATAATGTGGGAGGGAAAAACCGGAGGACCTGGAGAAAAATCCACGCGACCACGGGGGGAGAGAGAGAGAGGCACGCAAACTCCAAATACACAGCAGCAGGCGTCAAGGTCGGGATCGAACGCACGACCTCCTGTATACCAGGCGAGGTAGTTAACATCTGGCCACTGTGACACCCCATTTGTATGGTCGTGTGAATTTGACCCGCAGAGGCGTAGACTGCAGTCATTGTTGATCTGTATAACCGTCACGTGCAGACCAACATATTTATTTCACGCTAAAAAGGGCAACGTGTTCACAAGTAACACGCAGGCATGCGCAGCAGGCCTTTTGTCAATCCACTGCTGGATGAGGACCTCCCCACGCCATTCTGGTACACGACTGCACAATACAATGGAAATATACAGTATGTAGAATACTGGTTATTTGTGTGTGTGTGTGTGTGTTTTTTTTAAGGAATGACAATGCAATTAAAAAGTAATACCTATTTTGATAATGGGTTTAACGGCACATTCATATTTACGCGATCTAACCGTCAAAAATATATCTATTGTGGAATTTCAATGAAGTCAAATATATATGAGCACTTTTCGTTCTTACTTTGCGGTGGAGAGTAGCACCTCGTTTTCAAATTGTCAAAATGTCAATCGCTTTTCTCAATTCCTCAGAGGTTTTGCACACAAAAAAGTGCATCAATTTGGCGCATTTGCCCCACGTGACAATTCTATTGGATTGACTCTGCTGGGTGCTGGAGGAGTTCATCGTAAAACAAGAAAAAAGTCATCGCACCTACACCTGTGACGATCTAACCCCAATCACACTCGTTATAGATCGTGGTCGCTTCTGTCTTCCTGGTAGACACGGAGCGTTGGCCCAACGTTGTTCCAGGGTAATCCCAACGTTGTTTCAGGGTAATCCCAACGTTGTTCCAGGGTAATCCCAACGTTGTTCCAGGGTTATCCCAACGTTGTTCCAGGGTAATCCCAACGTTGTTCCAGGGTAATCCCAACGTTGTTCCAGGGTAATCCCAACGTTGTTCCAGGGTAATCCCAACGTTGTTCCAGGGTTATCCCAACGTTGTTCCAGGGTAATCCCAACGTTGTTCCAGGGTAATCCCAACGTTGTTCCAGGGTAATCCCAACGTTGTTCCAGGGTTATCCCAACGTTGTTCCAGGGTTATCCCAACGTTGTTCCAGGGTTATCCCAACGTTGTTCCAGGGTAATCCCAACGTTGTTCCAGGGTAATCCCAACGTTGTTCCAGGGTAATCCCAACGTTGTTCCAGTGTAATCCCAACGTTGTTCCAGGGCAATCCCAACGTTGTTCCAGGGTAATCCCAACGTTGTTCCAGGGTAATCCCAACGTTGTTCCAGGGTAATCCCAACGTTGTTCCAGGGTTATCCCAACGTTGTTCCAGGGTTATCCCAACGTTGTTCCAGGGTTATCCCAACGTTGTTCCAGGGTAATCCCAACGTTGTTCCAGGGTAATCCCAACGTTGTTCCAGGGTAATCCCAACGTTGTTCCAGTGTAATCCCAACGTTGTTCCAGGGCAATCCCAACGTTGTTCCAGGGTAATCCTAACGTTGTTCCAGGGTAATCCCAACGTTGGCCCGTGAACTGGGCCGTGGTTACAAGTGTAGTGACGTGGAATGAGTCACTGTAGCGCGTGCCGCTGGGAGATTGGTAGACAATCGAATTCGGGGTAACAGCAGCCCGTTCTACCAGTTGCACCTGTGGGCAAGGCACGGCGCCCTCTGGGGGATTCAGAGGGGTGCGGGGCCGAGGGTGGAGCCTGGCCACGCTGGGCAGGATTAAAGGCGAGCTCCCGACTCACAGTCGGGGCTGCTGCGATCTGGAGTGGAACTTGTCGTCGCCGTCGTCGTCGTCGTGATCTTCGCCTTCTGAAAGCTGTGGGTCTGGCAGCATGTTGGCTGTCCCGACCTAGTGTGTGGTTATCCCCTAAGGCTGTGAAGGCCGGAATAAAAGAGAGAGAGAGAGAGAGTACCCCCTATTAGTGTCTGTGAATTAGCACACTACACAAGGATGATGTAGAACCCTTGCGTACCGTGTACAATACCCTCGATACGAATTAGAGAGCGTTGATTCTTACACGTGCTATACGGTGTACTTGTCGTGAACTCGAGGATTGAGTCAGCCTCTAAAGGCAAACTGTTTATCAAGGTTTGGGGATGGGCGTAGCCCAAGTGTATCAACAGCACCAGAAGCATGGGCGGTGCACGAGTGCCAATGTAGCAACAATGTCAATGAAGCAACAATGCCAATGCAGCAACAATGTAGCAACAATGCCAATGCAGCAACAATGCCAATGCAGCAACAATGCCAATGCAGCAACAATGCCAATGCAGCAACAATGCCAATGCAGCAACAATGTCAATGCAGCAACAATGCCAATGAAACAACAATGCCAATGCAGCAACAATCACGTCGTGATTTGTTTTATTTTATTTCTACCTACGTGACTTTACCGAATAGAACCAAAGAGTATGGATTCCTGCAGTCACAAAAGCTTCAAATCAATATTACAGGATTGAGATTAATCAATTGACTGATACATCGTTCCAGCCCTAACTGTAATAATCATGAATTTTCTTTTTATTAATGATCATTATTACTAATTTTTTTACATCCACTTTTTTTCGTTACGTGCTGTTGAAGATAACAAAATCTTTTGATCACGAAAAACAAAGCCCAACTTAAATATACAAGTAGTATGTTGCTAACAATTTTAACCAAACAAAATGACATTGCCGTACAATTACGATTGTCTTATCATGGATTATACTGTGCCCCTTAATGTTAATGGATCTGTGTGTGTGTCTGTATGTGTATCTGTGTGTCTGTGGGTAAGGATACGGTGTGGATGGAGGCCAGACCCCTGGCTCACACGACGGGATGGGTGGTGCCGGCGCTGGAATTGATGCAGGTATAATGATGAGTGGTGAGCGGTGGTGCAGCGGTGAGCGTGAACCCATGGCCAACACCAGTGACGATTATCTGAACCGGTCATGGGCCCCCCCCCCCTCCTAGGTCGACTCGGCCTCAAATGAGTACCTGGTGCGGTGTGTAAACATCGCCACTGGGGAGGCAAAGGCGGCCGGGCGTGGTGCTGTCCACCCACCCCCCCCGGTCTTCATAGGTGCTCGCTAACAGCACTTGCCCCAACAGTCTGTTCACGCTATACGGGGGATCTTTGCCTTTGTGTGCGTAAAAAAGGATGCGGGCCAGTCGCCGGGTACTACGTCAAAAAGACGAAGCGTGCTCATCGATCGTCTCGCGTCTCCTCCAAGTGTGCACGCGCCGTGGTGTGCAGCAGAGGGCATTGTGCCTCCATGCTCTCTCCTTGATACCCCCCACTGTCACTGACCGGTGTAGTGAAGTATGTTCAATTAACCGCTCCCCCCTGCCCCCCGCGGCCCGGAACTGCACGGCAAGGGAAGGACCGAATAATCCAGTTAATTTGTTCATCTTTATTCTTAATTGCATGCCACCTTTGCAGCCACGACAGGCGCTCTCTCCGTTCACAAGAAATCTTGATTTGAATCTTTCGTGAATCCATACGCTTTGGTTCTTCCGGCAAAGTCACGTAGGTAGAAAAAAAATCAAATAAATCACGACGTTTCGGGCGCACACACAAGCGTCCGTCATCAGGTGGGAAAGCGTGGTCCTGCTGCTGAGGCGGACTGTCTGCCTGATTTATTTTGTTTTATAACTGCATCACTTTACCGAAGGAACCAAAGAGTATTCACAGGAAATGTTACAGAATGCAATTGTGACCCCCCCCCCCCCCTAAACGGTGAAATAAAATCGTCGCTTTGCTTTGTCACGATTGGCGTGCCATGACAAAGGAAACGTGTGGCCTATTATACACAGGGTGCTTGGAATTATTTTTTTTTACACTTTTGAGAAATTTGCAACAATACCGCGAGAAATGTGCCTCCTCCTCCGGACCCTGGAGACCACCTGGAAAAGATTCCAGGTCACGTGTTGACAACGATGACGAACAAGTGGGAGACTCTTTGACCTTTCCTTATCACGTTACCGTGTATTATTATTATCCATTATCTTCCCATTAAAACGATAGTCCCATGTAAGTGTTAACATTTTTGTGAAGCACGCTATATATGCACATTAGTTGGCCATTTAAAGCCCTGAGTGTGCCCGTGACAAATGTGTTGAGTGTCTCTTTTGCCGAATGCACGTTGCCCGCATTTTAACCGCGTGGGTGAAACCGCTGTCTTGATTACAATTCGCTAAAGATGCCCCCTTTTTTTTACAGACACCTCGCTGTTTTATATATATATTTGTAAAATTTCAATTAAAGCGTGCGCGCGTGTGTGTGTCAGGCCACGGTGCGGACGGAGGCGAGTCGCTGGGCTTATTCGATGGACTGGGTGGTGCTGGCGGTGGTGGCGCTGGAATTGATTCAGGTAGAGTCATTTAACTCACGCAAGTCGCGCGGTGCACACTCGCGCCCGGAGACACAAGCAAGCGAACCTCGTTGCGGAGGTTCGCGGTTCGAGCCCAGCGGCCGCCCCGGTCAGTGCTGCGGGCGCATCGTCCGTCAATACGCTGCCGCTCCCGCCTCACGGTGAACGTTCATCGAGTTTTTCCGCGACGTCATTCGACAAGCAGCAGGCCGTCGTGTGCCTGGCGCCGCGCCTCCGAAATTTGCCACGTTTTGGAAAAGGTGTGTTCCCCCGCAAATTACTCAGCTGCTCGCGAATCGATCGTCGCTCGCCACGGTCAGTCCGCCGCTGGATAAATGTTTCTCCAGACCCCGTTAACCGCGCGATGCAACAATCCGCCTCGGACCCTGCTCACGAGGTGATCTCATCGCTCCATCTCCCCGGCAGACGTACTCTCGGAAGCATTCCGTTCCGTGTCTGCCGCTCGCTCGTTAAGCTTGGCCACCGGTCATCGTCACGCGATAGCCACGACGCGGCCAGCCCGAGCACACTCGCTCGCTCGTCATTTCACTCGTCATCATCACGCGTCGTCGGCGAAGGGCCGTTGGGCCAAACGTGTGACCTCCTGCGGCGGCGTTCGCATCAACTGCTCTCGCTGCCACATCAGTTTCTCGCGCTTTATATTGGAAAAAGTTTTGCTGGCTGGCTGGCTGTTGGGAGGGACGGACGGTAATGTCCAAGGGGGCGTGCGGTGTGCTGCTCTTCATGAAATCTCGCACACCGCGGCACAAATCCACTGCCATCGGATCTGCGCGGGTAGCCCACGTGGCTAAAGGAGTGGCGGTGAATGGAGTGGCGCTGTTCCCTCCTCAGCGTTCCACGGAGGAGGAGCGCAGGGTCACCCACACGACGGGTCTGGGCCGCACGACTTGGAGGCGGAGAGAGCCGGTGAGCTTCAAGCTTTTATATTTTGCGAGTTTCATCGACTCCGTCATTTATTTCCCTTTACGTACGCGCCGTGCGTAGCCAACCGCGCTCGGACACAACTCTACGGATCTAACCGCGTCCCCCACTTCTGGAGACGCTCGTGCAGCCGGCCTTTGTCGCGTTACTCGGCTCCACCTCGGTGCCCGCTGACTCGGACACGCCAGGTTGTCCTGCAATAGCTTCGGATGTTGAGCGACGGACACTTTTGCTCGCCCGTGTGGAGTGGCGCTCGCGTCGTGGTCACGGGTAGGCCTCGGCAAGGTAAAAGGTAAAAAGTAAAAACAACGAGCCTACCTTTACCCTACCTTTTACCCTTACCACAATACAATCATTCTACCCTACCTTTTACCCTTTAGCAAGGTAAGGTAAAAGGTAAAAAGCAACGAGTTTACCTTTACCCTACCTTTTACCCTTACCCCATACAAATTACCCGATTACAGGGTAATTACTGGGGTACTACACATGAAAAGGTTTATAGCAGGTAAATGCTAAGTAGAGCGCTTAATTAGTATAGAATACTCTCGATGATTCCAATTTTACACGCTTGTTGTTGTCGTTGTTGTTGTATCCTCAAATCTTGTAACTCAATTTTAACCCACTTCCAAATGTGGTATCGACTGCAAACTTGGTATACTTATGCCATACTGATGACAATACTATATTCTAGCATTAAAAATAAATATTTTTAAACATTATTTTTTATATGTTATGTTTCGGCTTGGGTCTAATTGTCCACGGTAAACTGACGTTGGCTGTAATTGGCCACGGCCCCTTACGTTATGGCAAACTTCGGGGCCACTTCCTGGAGTCGTGGAGTTCTTCCATTACTAAGTACATTTCATTAAAGCGTGTTTTAAAAAATATATATTACTTATTAAATGGAAGCCACGGACAGCGCCACAGAGCTTTTAGCGGTAAACAAGGTACCGTATTTACCGGGTAATACTTCGTGCTACCTTTACCCTACCGGGTAATTCTTCCGAGCTACCTTTACCCTACCGGGTAATACTTCCGAGCTACCTTTACCCTACCGGGTAATACTTCACGCTACCTTTACCCTACCCTTTACCCTACCCCTTGGCATGTCGACACCTTTACCCTTTTACCCGGTAAAAAGAGCCGAGGCCTAGTCACGGGGGGCCGGCTGCTCGGACGTTCTCACTCCGCGAGCGTCTACCCTGTGGCCCCTTCTCTCGGCACGTCCACTTCTCCTGACTTAGAGATTCACAGACTCGCACAGAGACCCATAAACTTACATAGATGTCAATAGAGACCCATACACTCGCACAGAGACCCATAAACTTACATAGATGTCAATAGAGACCCATACACTCGCACAGAGACCCATAAACTTACATAGATGTCAATAGAGACCCATACACTCGCACAGAGACCCATACACTTACATCGACTTCAATAGAGACCCATACACTCACATAGATGTCAATAGAGACCCATACACTCGCACAGAGACCCATACACTTACATAGATGTCAATAGAGACCCATACACTTACATAGATGTCAATAGAGACCCATACACTTACATAGATGTCAATAGAGACCCATACACTCACACAGAGACCCATACACGTACATAGATGTCAATAGAGACCCATACACTCACATAGAGACCCATACACTCACATAGATGTCAATAGAGACCCATACACTCACATAGAGACCCATACACTCACATAGATGCAAATAGAGACCCATACACTCGCACAGAGACCCATACACTTACATAGATGTCAATAGAGACCCATACACTCACATAGAGACCCATACACTTACATAGATGTCAATAGAGACCCATATACTCACATAGAGACCCATACACTTACATAGATGTCAATAGAGACCCATACACTCGCACAGAGACCCATACACTTACATAGATGTCAATAGAGACCCATACACTCACATAGAGACCCATACACTTACATAGATGTCAATAGAGACCCATACACTCACACAGAGACCCATACACTTACATAGATGTCAATAGAGACCCATATACTCACATAGAGACCCATACACTTACATAGATGTCAATAGAGACCCATACACTCGCACAGAGACCCATACACTTACATAGATGTCAATAGAGACCCATACACTCACATAGAGACCCATACACTTACATAGATGTCAATAGAGACCCATACACTCGCACAGAGACCCATACACTTACATAGATGTCAATAGAGACCCATACACTCTCATAGAGACCCATACACTTACATAGATGTCAATAGAGACCCATACACTCACATAGAGACCCATACACTTACATCGACTTCAATAGAGACCCATACACTCACACAGAGACCCATACACTTACATAGATGTCAATAGAGACCCATACACTCTCATAGAGACCCATACACTTACATAGATGTCAATAGAGACCCATACACTCACATAGAGACCCATACACTTACATCGACTTCAATAGAGACCCATACACTCACACAGAGACCCATACACTCACATAGATGTCAATAGAGACCCATACACTCGCACAGAGACCCATACACTTACATAGATGTCAATAGAGACCCATATACTCACATAGAGACCCATACACTTACATAGATGTCAATAGAGACCCATACACTCACACAGAGACCCATACACTTACATAGATGTCAATAGAGACCCATATACTCACATAGAGACCCATACACTTACATAGATGTCAATAGAGACCCATACACTCTCATAGAGACCCATACACTTACATAGATGTCAATAGAGACCCATACACTCACACAGAGACTCATAAACTTACACAGAGTTCCGCCCCACTTACGTAGACGTACGAAGACCCATAGTTTTACGAAGTTAGAATTCCCACTCATGCAAGGGGAGGGAGGGGTCAGAGGAGGGGCTTCTCGGACTTCCTCCCCCCATGAGCTTCTCTTCTGCCCCTCTTCTCCCGAGTCGCATCCACAGACCTCACAATCCCGTTGTGCCACATCGTTGCAAACGCCCGTTGCCTCTTAACTTTCGTCACGTGGGACGGGATTTGGGGGGGGGGGTGAAACGGAATTCAAATAATTGCGATTCCACTTTTCTCTCTCACTCTCTCTCTCAATTGCTCAGGGATGATGATGATCGTGGATGGCCAGATGCTGACACACGCCGAGGGAGAAAACGCCGCTGGTCTTGCTGCTGATGGTGAGACATGCGCACGGTGGTGCAAGTTTTTAAGTCACAGCCGCAGTGCTTATCATTATCATACCATATTTAGAGAGACAAAAATGTTTTCTGGCTGGCCGCGCGCCGGCCAGTTCTGTAGATGCAGATGCCACTGGTTCTTCATGTTCTGTAGATGTAGATACCACTGGTTCTTCACGTTCTGTAGATGTAGATGCCACTGGTTTTCACGTTCTGTAGATGCCACTGGTTCTTCATGTTCTGCAGATGTAGATGCCACTGGTTCTTCATGTTCTGCAGATGTAGATGCCACTGGTTGTTCACGTTCTGTAGATGTAGATGCCACTGGTTCTTCATGTTCTGTAGATGTAGATGCCACTGGTTCTTCGCGTTCTGCAGATGTAGATGCCACTGGTTGTTCACGTTCTGTAGATGTAGATGCCACTGGTTCTTCATGTTCTGTAGATGTAGATGCCACTGGTTCTTCGCGTTCTGCAAATGTAGATGCCACTGGTTGTTCACGTTCTGTAGATGTAGATGACAACGGTTCTTCACGTTCTGCAGATGTAGATACCACTGGTTCTACACGTTCTGCAGATGTAGATGACACCGGTTCTTCACGTTCTGCAGATGTAGATGCCACTGGTTCTACACGTTCTGCAGATGTAGATGCCACTGGTTCTTTACGTTCTGCAGATTTAGATGACACTGGTTCTTCATGTTCTGTAGATGTAGATACCACTGGTTCTTCATGTTCTGTAGATGTAGATGCCACTGGTTCTTCACGTTCTGCAGATGTAGATGCCACTGGTTCTTCATGTTCTGTAGATGTAGATACCACTGGTTCTTCATGTTCTGTAGATGTAGATGCCACTGGTTCTTCACGTTCTGCAGATGTAGATGCCACTGGTTGTTCACGTTCTGTAGATGTAGATGACACTGGTTCTTCACGTTCTGCAGATGTAGATACCACTGGTTCTACACGTTCTGCAGATGTAGATGACACCGGTTCTTCACGTTCTGCAGATGTAGATGCCACTGGTTCTACACGTTCTGCAGATGTAGATGCCACTGGTTCTTTACGTTCTGCAGATTTAGATGACACTGGTTCTTCACGTTCTGCAGATGTAGATGCCACTGGTTCTTCACGTTCTGCAGATGTAGATGCCACTGGTTCTTCATGTTCTGTAGATGTAGATACCACTGGTTCTTCATGTTCTGTAGATGTAGATGCCACTGGTTCTTCGCGTTCTGCAGATGTAGATGCCACTGGTTGTTCACGTTCTGTAGATGTAGATGACACCGGTTCTTCACGTTCTGCAGATGTAGATACCACTGGTTCTACACGTTCTGCAGATGTAGATGACACCGGTTCTTCACGTTCTGCAGATGTAGATGCCACTGGTTCTACACGTTCTGCAGATGTAGATGCCACTGGTTCTTTACGTTCTGCAGATTTAGATGACACTGGTTCTTCACGTTTCCGCAGATGTAGATGCCACTGGTTCTTCGCGTTCTGCAGATGTAGATGACACTGATTCTTCACGTTCTGCAGATGTAGATGCCACTGGTTCTTCACGTTCTGTAGATGTAGATGCCACTGGTTCTTCATGTTCTGTAGATGTAGATACCACTGGTTCTCCACGTTCTGCAGATGTAGATGCCACTGGTTCTACACGTTCTGCAGATTTAGATGACACTGGTTCTTCGCGTTCTGCAGATGTAGATGACACTGGTTCTTCACGTTCTGCAGATGTAGATGCCACTGGTTCTTCACGTTCTGCAGATGTAGATGCCACATATGGACCGGGTTTGTTCGTATCTCTGAAAGTTCGTAAGTGGAATGTCAGTAAGTAGGGAAGTCCCTGTAATGAACCAGTTATCGTTTCAGCTCGCCGCTGCTAAGTCGGAGGGACAAATTCTCAAAGGCCAAAAGTGTCGCGGTTCGAGACGCTTGGCGCTGCGCAAAGCATCGTTCAGGGCAAAATCCCGAAAGTCTTCAGTGGGGTAGAAGCCGGCTCAAGTGGGGTACGTTGACTCCTCACGCTTCTGTGCAGCGGTGTCGCCTCCGTCTCCGCGGCTCGACAGCGCGCCGCAGACGCCGGCGATGGCGGCGGCAGTGAATGGAAGTGGGAAACCTCACCCACACGGTGAGGTGCACTCACCCCACTCGCACTCACCCCACCGGCACTCACCCCACTCACCCTCACCCCCACTCTCACTCACACCACTCGCCCTACCCACACGGTGAGGTGCACTCACCCCACTCGCACTCACCCCACTCGCACTCGCCCCACTCGCCCAAATCGCAATCACCGCACACTCCCCACTCGCACGGCGAAGTGCACCGATTACGAGTGAATCACCCACCATCGATGGACATTGGAAATCACGAAACTGTTTTTTTCCGTCCTGTCTGTGAGCCAGATTCCCTGCCAGGGATCCCGGCTCTCCTCTCCATAGAAGACAACGGATACAGCAAGGACATCACCTCCCAGCACGGTGGCCCATTCGCATGCCAACCTCATCGCACCAATGACAAAGACGACGGCGACGAGACGAGTCCACTCCCAGAACCGACAGCCTTGAGCTCTCGCTCTCAGCTCCTTTTATGCTACCGGCGTGGCCTGGCTCCGCCCTGGCCGCGCCTCCCTTCTCGAACCCGCTAGCAGGTTCCAGGGGCCTGCAGACAGGGTCCTCCGTGACCCTTGCCCCAGTTCCTCCTCTCTGCCAACACCATGCTCACGCCATCACTGGCGTGTGTGCTGTCTGTCCACCGCAGTTGCCGCTGCCGTCCACCAGCTGGCGTTATTACACTACACATACTTACCTCATACATACCTTATACATACCTCTTACATACCTCATACATACCTTATACATACTTTATACATACCTTATACATACCTCTTACATACCTTATACATATCTCTTACATACCTTATACATACCTTATACATACCATATACATACCTCTTACATACCTTATACATACCTTATACATACCTTATACATACTTTATACATACCTTATACATACCTCTTACATACCTCATACATACCTTATACATACCATATACATACCTCTTACATACCTCATACATACCTTATAAATATCTTATACATACCTTATACATACTTTATACATACCTTATACATACCTCTTACATACCTTATACATACCTTATACATACCTCATACATACCTCATACATACCTTATACATACCTCATACATACCTTATACATACCTTATACATACCATATACATACCTCTTACATACCTTATACATACCTTATACATACTTTATACATACCTTATACATACCTCTTACATACCTCATACATACCTCATACATACCTTATACATACCTCATACATACCTCATACATACCTTATACATACCTTATACATACCTCATACATACCTTATACATACCTCTTACATACCTCATACGTACCTCATACATACCTCATACATACCTCATACATACCTCATACATACCTCTTACATACCTCTTAAATACCTCTGCCCCCCCTCCATCCACCGCTTTTTTTGTTACATGGTTTGTTAAATAAAAATAGAGAGATGAGACACTTCTAAAATAAACTGATAATTTTTTTGAAAGGGCCAGTCGTAACAGATTATAGAAACGAATGATATCCGTTGGTTCGGATGTGTTAAATGCACAACTTTAAACACAATTTTGAAGAATAAAAGTGACTTAAAAGTGTTTTGAATTATTCGGGAAAGAAAAGTGGGCTTATATTTTTTTTGAAAGTTAAATTAAAAGCCCCCTGGGTACTTTGTAAATCTTTGAGTGGTGCGAACATTTATATATATTTTTTTATCACATGTGGGACTGTCGTCTTGCCCGTGTACATTGTCACTCACGTCAGCGTGTGGTTATTTGTTGTGAACTCAGCTGGAGAAAAAGGCAGTTCTGTTCACGTTGCAGAGTTTTATCAAGACGGCATCGAGTTCAAGACCAGGCCTATCCACACAGGTAAAACACAACTTAGATTCGGCGCATGATCTCGCACCGATTTATAACGTGCGATGTCGACGTTTTCAGTCTTTTATTTTATTCGCTGCTCTGCTCACGCAGCAATCTCCTCTGTAAAATAGCCGGGCAACTGGCTAAACGGGACAATCTGTGTGTAGAGTGGTGCGCCGACTAGCGGCCGCACGGGGGTAATTGCGTGTGTGTAAACAGTATGGGCAAGACGGTAAGGCAGTATACACAGGAACGGTCAGAGGGGGTGATTGCTGGGGCAAGGTTCAGCGAGGGGAACCATCTGGGGACTCCCGGAACCAGGGGGGGGGGGGGGGGGGGGTGACAGAGGGGGTGACATTCTGCGTGTAAGTGTACGACACTCGGTCTGGCGGACTCCGTGCAACTGCATCGTCAGAGCGTGTCGCCAACCGATGGCGTCTGAGTTCAACAGCCTGACTCTCTCTTAATCATTCTTGAAATTAACATTTGTTGAATGTCACCCCGGGCTGAAAATCCTGGCTCCGCCCCTGCCCGGAACCCGCTGGAGAGTTCGAGAAAAGGGGGCGTGGCCGGGGCGGAGCCACGCACACGCTGGGAGCATTAAAGGGAGCGGTGAATGGGACTTGGGGCACCGGGGGGTGGAATCGGGATCGTCTTCGGCGTCACCGTCGTCTTTGCCACCGCTGCGTCGACGGCGCTCGCTCGTAGTCAGCCAGCTATCTAGGAGTCGGTGTCGTCATCGCTAGGCAAGCATCAAGTGCTACCGAGTTGCAGTCGTGTGAGCGCGAGTTCCTACAGTCGATGTCTCCGGGGTCGTTACATCGCACGTGTAACGAATGAGATACTGAACTCAAACCGAGTCGCTCTTACGGGGGTCGGCGTCGTAACCGAGCGGCTTGCGGGTTTGCTGCTGGTTGCGGGGGGGGGGGGGGGGGAGGAGGTTTGCGGCTCGTGCCCCACTGCCGCCCTGGTCAATACTGCGCTCATATCGACTAAACCAGTGGGTTCTTAACCTTTACTGCAAACCCTGCACCCCCTTTGGCTCTCAATCGGTAAAAAAAAATTTTTGTAATAAATACATACATTTGATGAAACAAGAGTAGTTGTACTTACGTGCCCACGCTGACTTTTTGTTTCGACGATTTACCTTCTAAAAAAGCACCTGGCCATGTCTCGCACCGCCAGGGGGTGCAGCATGCATCCCGTGTTCAGAGCCACTGGACTGAACAATACAAACCGTCTGGCTGCACAGTGGACGTTAAAGATTCCCTCGATACCGGCAGAGCGTTTCCAGTCGCCGCCTCTCCATCATCGGTGCGGGAACGCTCTGCCGGATGACCTTCGGCCCATCCCGTCTCACGAAACGTTAAACAAAAGCAAATTAAAAAAAACATTATTGTTTCGGGCGAACGCTCTGGTCTACGTGGTAACCTGGTCCACGATAGAACCGCGTGCGGCTCGCGAGACGCCGGTTGGCCACCGCTGCTATCGATCGTGACATTTAACGTTTGCATCGAAACGTATCGCGACGCGATTTGTCCCTCGCGAAAAGACGACTCGCAATCGAGTCTCGTCATGGGGTTGTGTGTTGCAGAGCTAGAGTCAAGCCCAGCGCCGGAGGTCGGAGGACCGGGAAACGGAGCCCACACTCCACATACAGGCAACACCGGTGGGCACCACCACTCACTTCCTCAGGGATCGCTCGAAATCCACCTGCAGCGAAATCAAAACCAATCTAAAGTTCATGCTAGATTTGAAGTTTTCGTGACTGCAGGGATCCACACTCTTTGGTTCTTTCGGTAAAGTCACGTAGGTATAAAATATGCAATATCAAAATATATAATATAAAATAAATTGTATATTTATTAAATATAAAAAATATATATAATATAAAATAAAATTATTTTATATTATATATTTTTTTATACTTTATACCTACGTGACTTTACCGAAAGAACCAAAGAGTAGCAATCTAAAGTTACTTTTTGTTTTAGTTTTACCAGGTGAGGCCCCACTGAGCTGCATAGCTCTTTTTGCAGAAGCAACATGGCCACAAATGACAGCTCAACAAAGTAGCTTATGATGTGTAAATTTATAGCAGCCAAATACTCTTAAACACGTGACGTTGATTCTAAATGTGGAGAGAAAAAACGGGAGGACCCGGAGAAGAATCCACACGACCACAGGGAGAAAATGCAAACTCCAAGTACACAGGCGTCAGGGTAGGGAGTGAACTCACGACTTCCTGTATAACGCCTAATCTGTTTTCATCGCTGTGTTTCTATTTACTTATGTATTTCCTGATGTTGAACAAAGCCTGTAGTACATTCCATGGTGACCTCTTTTTGCTTGCTCACGCTGTGCCAGAAGTTTTCAATTAATTTTCTTTTGTTTTTTTTACCCGAAGGCGCCGATCGCGATGAGCCAAGCGTGCAGCCGAGCACAGCAGCAGCCACGCTCGCCGTGGAAGCGATCGAAGAGAATGTGGGTGAAGACACCGCCAATCACAGTAAGCCACTCGTTTGCATATCCGCATCACGTTACGGTCAAATTCTCTCCGAAACGCGTTTTTTTTTTCTTTCGCGACAACGCGGTTCGCCTATTCGGGAACACTTTTGGCACGACGCGAAGCGTGCACCGTTAGAACGCGGAACGTGCACTGTTACAGCGCAGGGCGTGAACCTTTACAGCGTGGAACGCGTGCCGCTACAACGCAGAACGCGTGCTGTTGTAACGTGGAATGCGCGCCACCGCTATAGCGCGGAACGCACGCCGCTATAGCGCTGTTTCTGAACAGTCGATGAATGACTTTTTTTCCAGCTGAGCGGTGCAAGTGATGCAGCAACGCGGAGTGATGCGCAGTAACACGGCAGCGTCACACCATGAAATGACTGCAGGCTGATTTGATAGTGTAAATGTGATTCAGTAACTCAGCAAGTCTTCGCTGAAAGCGGTTTTCACTTTAACGTGGCGCTTTTCAGGAATGCATCTACTGCGTTGAACGAGGGATTACTGTCGTAGCATCCATCACGTGTGGGTTCTGGCGACTCAAGTGGGCTGAAGCCGGAACTAATTCCACAGCGAAAGTCAGAGGACTGCCGGAGGTCATGGCGCACACCTGTGATCCAGCAATTTGGAGGCGAGGGTTGGTGGATCATGCAGAATTGTGCTGGGCAGGGAGTTGCAGTGGAGATATTGGATTTAATCAACCATGGTTGGGGTTATTTACCATCTTCTGATAATAAACCCAAAAGGTTATCTTGTGAAATAAGCCTAATTTTACACTAACATTTATCACACAGGATGTTATTTTTAAACCTGGCCAGCCTGGAAGAGACCTTAACAAGTAACTCCGTTACATCCGATTACATGGGTCATTCCTTAACGGGATAAGTCACACTACACTGAGAGTTCCGAAATGATTATTCATCTCATGATGTAACGCCGATAGCTCAATCATAATACAATTAGGGAAAATATTTATTTTAAATAGTCCAACCGCCCAAATAGAGTTACGGGATAATAATGCCCTTGATTTATTTTGGAATGTCTCATTGAGTCTTAAGAACTGTTATTCAGGAGGGTCCTGCAATTGGGATGTTCATGGGTGTACAGGGACTCCTCTACTTACGAACGAGGTGGGTTCCAGAGGTCTATTCGTAAGTCGATTTGTTTGCAAGTCCAACTTTACTCCTGTCGATTCCAAACGTGTTGTACGGCATGTGCACTAAACACGGGGAATGGCTTTAAAAGTTGTATAATCCCCTGTAGATGTAGCTGCCATTGATTCTTCACGTATGCAAATGTAGATGCCACTGGTTCTTCACGTTCTGCAGATGTAGATGCCACTGGTTCTTCACGTTCTGCAGATGTGGATGCCACTGGTTCTTCACGTTCTGCAGATGTGGATGCCACTGGTTCTTCACGTTCTCCAGATGTAGATGCCACTGGTTCTTCACGTTCTGCAGATGTAGATTCCACTGGTTCTTCACATTCTGCAGATGTAGATGCCACTGGTTCTTCACGTTCTGCAGATGTAGATGCCACTGGTTCTTCACGTTCTGCAGATGGAGATGCCACTGGTTCTTCACGTTCTGTAGATGCCACTGGTTCTTCACGTTCTGCAGATGTAGATGCCACTGGTTCTTCACGTTCTGCAGATGTAGATGCCACTGGTTCTTCACGTTCTGCAGATGTAGATGCCACTGGTTCTTCACGTTCTGCAGATGTAGATGCCACTGGTTCTTCACGTTCTGCAGAGGTAGATGCCACAGTCGCCATCTGTTGTGCGGTGGTTGAACTTACGGCTCCCGGTTGGAACGGGCAACTGGACATACAGACCAGGTTTGTTCGTATCTCTGAAAGTTCGTAAGTCGAATTTTGGCAAGTAGCGGAGTCCCTGTATACTAATTGAAGGCTTCACACCCACCCTTACAAGAGATCTCCCACATTGCAAATAGCAATGATTACACCACAATCTCGACGACAGTGTGCCCCAAGTCACGTACAATAAAAAAAAACCCGTAGACGGGCTTCGTAATATTGCGCAAATGCAAGTTTATTGCAATTAGTGAAATGTAAAATGACGTAGCTTGTCGACAACATCTGGCAATGAAGTGACCATTTGTTTTGATACGTTATTTTCTGGTAATGGTAAAGTAGCACAAGACTGCTAATTTTATTAACAGCATTCGTGTTGCCATTCCGAACTCTCACACGCCAGGCAAGAGATTACATTGTAAGGCCTCTAAACGTATAGTCACGTGGTGGATGGCATTCAACCACGCGAGTCATATTCACGGGTGTCCGTTCAAGGCATTATTTCTTCATGACAGGTTTAATAATGAAAATGACTTCCGTGGAATTGATCCGATGCTCCGTTCTTTAATGTCCATAGCTTGAGAACCATTACTGGTGTTAGCCATGTGGAACTTCTTTCGCACCGTACGTAGCCACCCGTGCTTATCAGAGGTGCGGGGGGGGAATAAACTAAACACAAAAAGCAGTTCTAACGAAATTAAGTTTTCAATTCATATTTAAAAGTGCATAGCTCAAGTGGCTTCCTAATATCAGAAGAGCGTTCCAGACGGCCGCAGAAGCGCATTTGAAAGCGCGCGATGCGGTGACCGTCTTTGTTTGATGATTCGCCAAAAGCCGACGCGAGGATGACCAGAGTTTCTGTGATGGTTTATGCACTTTGACGAGATCGGCAAGGTATTCCGGTTCATTTGTGGCAAGCTCTTTGTGCGTAATGAGTGCGACCTTATAACGTATTCTTTCAGCAAACCGGAAACAAATGCAGCTCAGAGGCACTGGACAGACACGGTCGGATCTTGCAGTACCCGTCACATGACATGTGCCACGTAAAATCACGGGGGTTACACACAGTCGCACGTTACGTTATCGTTTCAACGGCACGAGCATCAGATACCCAGAACTAAGCGGTGATCACTCGCTTACCTGAACGTGGCCAAACATCAGAAGGACGATGAGACAAACGCAGAGAGTAGTAAATCACGCTCACCTCGGACCAATCACAATTTGCCAATTTGATGACATGATCCACAAAATAAATTTTAAGGAATGCTTCGGGCAAACGTGGGGTGAGGAATCCACTTCTTCGCACATCAGCCAAGTCGACACTACTCACTAAATCAATTCCCATATTAATTAAATTGTTCTGAACCACGGAACGAGTATAATCGGGTAACCAATTAGTTATTTTTTATAAAATTTCTCAAGTATAGACCGCAAAAAAAATACACGCGTTTTAAATGTGGATCGCCAGAAAAATCTGTACGGGGAATCATAACATATTCTGAGCAGTGCTGACCTTGTATCTTCAGTGTGGCTAGAGATATGTCTGTCTGGCACGCCGCTCCTCAATACTTGTGACTGTGGCGGTAGTGTGTGGTGCAACACAAAGCATTATTTTTTTTAACACTTTTGAACCGAATCGGACGGTTCATGCAGATATTTAAAATGTAGTAAAAAAAAATAACACCAATCAATTACGCAGAATATCTGCAACAAGCCTCAAAACATTTTTGTTAGCAGCATCCTGCGTTGGATGTTCGGTCAAATACAAGGGGTTGCCATATGGGAGGAAATTGGGAATACACGGGGAAAAACCCACGAATAGCACTCAATGCTACCACCTCCTGGCCACCAAAAGAAAAATATCCCCCTCATAGCCTGAACAGACCGTTGGGCAAAGCGCTGTTAGCGAGCACCTATTAAAGCCGGCACGGCACACGAGGGGCTTGGTGGCCAGCAGCACACACGGCTGCCTTTGCCTCCCGAGTAACGGATGTTTACACACCACACCAGGTCCTCATTTGACGCCGAGTCGACGTAGCAGAGGGCTCAGGACCAGTTCCAGACAATCGTCACTGGTGTTGGCCACGAGACGGAATCAAACTCGAGTCGCCGGGTTCGTAGCGCGGCGCGTTAACCGCTACACCACGGCTCCCCTCCCGGCCTCCTCGCCGTCTCATACTTTCCATCTCTTGGTGGCCACCCATCGAAGGGCGAGCCAGGCACAACCAACTTTTGTTTCCGAAAGCAGATGACATCGGCTACACTTTAGGGTTATTAATGGTGTTCTGATCAGATTTGTGAGAATTTTCTTGACAGTTTCTACGTGAATCTCACCTGGATAACACTGAGTGCTGGGAATATGTATTATTATTAAGGAGGCTAGTGTATATGTTATTTGGTGAATGAGCTCGTGGAGATTTTTTGTTACTTACAATAAACAGTGCTCAATACAATTGTATAAACTTCATATGCTAAAATGGACAGGTACTATTTGTTAAATATTACAAAAAACATACAAACATTTCTCTAGGTTTTGCTGACAATATTCTCTCCCCCCCCCACTAGAGTCACATAATCCAGAAGCGGTCGAATAGTCAAATTAAATGGGAGCTCACATTTGCAAAATGTGAACGTACAGCCCTTTTGTCAATTCACTGCTGGACGAGGGCCTCCCTACGCCGTCGGGGTTATAGGTTTTGTTTCGCCATACTTCGCCGTGGCGGTCAGCGCAAGTTGAAGGTGGGGGAAGCACAGATGTGGAAACGTAGGAAGCACATGCCAACAAATGAATTTGCCGCAATGCCCTCCGCTGGCCACCACATAGCCCCGCAGCAACCTATCGCAACCGGCTGTGCGTGGCGGTCACCCACCCCCAAACTAAACCAGCCTCTACCCTGCTTAGCTTCCGAGATCTAGTGAGACTGGGCACATTCCGGGTGACGTTGTCATCGCACCCACGTATGTAGACGCAGCTAAGCAGCACATCTTCTAACGATAAACAAATTTGTATTACTTCATCAATTAAGCAAACAAATAGAACACAGTTTTTTCAAGATATCTGGCTATCCAGAGTTAGACGTATTGTATATTTTGTTTTACAATTTGCAGGTTATTTACAAAGATTGCCGCAGATCATAAGGGTGTGCAATGGTCTGCTCTTGCAAAATACTTCACAGAGGTTGTTACCGTCTACGTTACAGCTATCGGTGTGCTTTGGTAATCTGCTGTATTAACTACCGGGAGGGGGGGCTGAATGATCATGGAAAAATATAAATAAGCCTAACTCCATTGAGTGTCTCCACATACAGGATAAAAATGTTAGTCCAGAGGCCGATTGGCTTTCCAGACCGGTTTTGACCTTCGCTATGGCAACACATGAGTGTGTAGGGTATTTAATTTAGCATTGTGTGTGTACCATAGAGGGAGGCTGAGAGAGTAATGTAAGTCTGGGTCTTCCCGGCGGCCACAGTTATACCCACCCTTCTCTATTGTTTGCGAAACACAGAGCACCTTACAGGAACATCTGCACCGGTTTGAAACGTTCCAGGCTGGCCTGCCTACGATCCATCCTAGGTTTAACCAGGCTGGATTGTGTGAGGAGCTCACAGATCCTCGAACGATCTGGACACAGTCCCATAAGTGAGCTCCTCCGGCAGGCAAGGCTGCGTTGGCTGGATCATGTAGCCAGCATGCCTAGCCACCGTATACCCAAGCAGCGTCTCTTTGGCCGGATAGAAGGGGCTAAACCGGCATGGCATGGGCTTGAGAAGAGATGGACTGATGCGGTACAGAAAGATGCGGAACTGATTGGACTTGCCGACGGTGGGCACCACCTGTCAAGATCGGGCCTCCGTGGAGAAGGCTGGTGAAGGATGCGGCTGGGCAGTTGAACGCAACCGCCCTCCAGCAACAACAGAGGGTGGAGGCGTGACGCTTGCGACGAGCTGAGCGTCTGGCGGCTAAAACGCGGCAAGCTGGCACAGTGGAGAGCACAAGAGGTGCAATTGTCAGTCATCCCAGTAAGTCAACCCATGGCAGCTGGGTCTGTCCCATGACCTGCCTGCGAGCCTTTACAGATTACTTATCCTGGAAAAAAGCACCGTGGTGATGTCATGGCTACTGAATGGCGAACGGCAGTTGTTGTTGCTTTTTGCATTGAATGGGGTCACGTATTTTATCTGGAGTGATGTCACCAATACCATCTGGTAATCCAGCAGCATGTTTAACAAGCCTGACTGCTGATGTGACTGAACATCGACATCTGTCCATAGTTTTTCTTGCTTAAACAAATGCTGCTCGATAATGTTGGTCTGGAAAGCAAATAGGCTGATGTACTAATACATATTAATGTTCAAATGCAGACTCAGAAAAATGGTTCAGTCGCGCATGTCGGTGTTGAATAAATACCAAAAGTTGATTTCAAATTGATTAATGTAGAAAACCACGTGGCTTCCTTTTTCTAAGTTTAATTTCTATTAGCAGACTCTTCTGCGCTTACATGCTACACAGTGATAAAATCCACGTCCAAATGTCCACTCGCTAAAATCAAGTCTCTAGCACCTTCACTTGACCGAATCGACGTCCCGAGCCTGGACGAACAAAATGCGAGAGCCCATTTAAGCGACGCCGCTGCGAAGGGTAAACGGGACCCAGTAAGGCCGTCCCCGACTGGCGGCTTTCCGCAGGCCCACCTTGTTCACACAAAAAGAAGAATCTGACCGCCCTCTTCCGCGGTACGTCGCGACGATCCCGTGCGGGGGGGGGGGAGGTAGGGGGGGCGTTTGGCGGCCGCTAATCGTCGCTGACGGCGATGTCGTGCAGCGTCTTGTGCAGCGCCAGTCGCGCCCGCTCCCTTTTCCGCGGCGGCAACTCGCGCAGCGACATGGCGATGTACTTCCCGAAAATGTCGTCGGCGCTCTCCGTCCCCCGGCGCGACGCGCCGAGGTGCGTCATGGCCGTGTTCAGAAGCTGCTCGGCGCGGACGCTCCCAACTCCCACCCCCCCGCCGCCTCCAATTCCCCGGCCTCCCGCTCCACCTCCGAGTCCACCGCCATCGCCGCCGACATCGCCTCCGCCTCCCACGCTGCCGCCCCCGCCGACGAGCCCGTCGTTGTGCAGCTGCCGCACGCAGCTCAGGGGTTTGGTGTCCTCGTCCGACAGGCAGCTCGTGCCGCTCATGCTCTGCGCCGAGGGCGAGGCCCAGGGCGGGCAGGGCGAGGGCATCGCCTGCAGCGACGCGGCCAGCTCCGTGGGCGAGCGCGCCGGCGACGACGGCGTGTTGGGCGAGGGCGCGGCGGGCGTGGGAGCGTCGGTAACAAATTTGTCCAGCTGCAAAAGAAAGACGAACATTAGGAAACATTTTCAAGAGGCTGTAAACTATTTAGTTTTTGTTGTAATTCGTCCCCAACTTTTATCCCGATTGCACTATCGGAGTCACGTCGCAAGACGAAGAATCCATTAGGATCTTGACTTAAAGCTTTCGTGACTGCAGGAATTCATATTCTTTAAGTCCTTCGGTAAAGCCACGTAGATAAAGCCACGTAGATATCTATCTATCTATCTACATGGCTTTACCGAAAGACCCAAAGAATACGAATCCATTAGGATCTCTCGAAAGAGCAGTTCAACCAACCCTACGTGGTAGAGAATGGCCCGCAGAAGCAGATGTCGCAGAGCTACATCCGCGATTCCTGTAAGGGACCTCCGGTTCACGCAACGGAGGGCGGCAGTTTTTCACTTGCTTAGCAGCTTCTGTCACTTTTGCAGTGACGGAAGGGACGAGGCGTGTGAATGCATGGTTGCCCGCCAAAGGTATTTGAAATACCTGTGTGGGCCGTGAGTAAGTCAAAAGATCCCCCCACCACTGGTGACAAGATGTTAACTGCCTCGCCTAGTATACAGGATGTGGGTTCGATCCCAATCCCTGACGCCTGTGTGTTTGGAGTTTGCATGTTCTCCCTGTGGTCGGGTGGATTTTTCTCCAGGTCCTCCGGTTTTTTCCCTCCACATTTAGAAACGTGCGTTTCGAGTACGTGGCCGCTAAAAATTTCCACATGCGGATAAACCACTTTGTTGCGCTATCATTTGTGGCCAGGTCACTTCTGAAAAAGAGCTATATAAATATATACACACACATACGATTTATATAATTAATTTAATCATTACTTATTTATATAATCATGTTTTTTTTTGTATTGCCTGCTGTTCTAAATCGCAGACCCCATGCCCCTTACTGGACATCTGTGACAAAAAGAGCTTCACAGCTCTTTGGCTTCCTCCTGCCGTCGAAATCAGGGTTCCGATTCTGATATAGCCCAGTTGGGGGCCTTACCTGGTAAAATAAAATAAATTAACCTCGCCAGAAGCCGCAGAGATTCCCCTGACCGAGTGCGGCTGTGGGAGCGGTACTACTTGCCGCCGACTGGTTGAAGGTGTACCGTCCGCACCGCGACTGCATAGCCTCTCGCAAGAAGCCGAGCCGCTCAAAGTGATGCCACTTGGGGTAGTATCCGTTTGATCGGCCACTTCCCATCCGGTCCGCATCCTCCACCTTCTTCACCTCTCTGAAATAGATGCTCCGCAAGTTCTTCCATTTAAACTTGATCTCTTCCCCTGCGAATGAAGACGACGTCAAATCACTTCGCACCCTGCAGACATTTTTTTCTATGCTATTTTTATTTCGTTTTGCGCCGCTGAGAAACGTCACATCGACGGCGCACAGCATTACAATCGAGATTTCAAGTCTTCGTGACTGCAGGGATCCATACTCTTTGGTTCTTTCGATAAAGTCACGTAGATATAAAATAAAATAAATTTAATTACGACGTTTCGATTGCAACACAAGCAATCAGGATGTTATTAACCAGGTAAAACCCTGATTGCTTTGTAGTAGTTGTCGTCTATCATATCTGCCGGGTACTACTACAGTGAAACCTTGGATTGCGAGCATAATTCGTTCCGGAAACGTGTTTGTAATCCAAAGCACTCGTATATCAAAGCACTCGTATATCAGTTGTGATCACGTGACGTTCGGCAGACAAGGCGTATACGTATTGCAAGACCCTCGCTCGTTTATCAAATTAATATTTAAAATTTTTGCTCGTCTTGCAAAACACTCGCAGACCAAGTAACTCGCAATCCAAGGTTTTCCCACTCCCAGCCCCGCCCACATTCCCCCCCGCCCCAGCCTCGCGTCCCTCTCCTGGCGTCCACGCAGCGCTCTCCCTCCCCCTACCCCTCCCTCTCCCCCCTTTCTTGCCTGTATAGCCTCTTACCACGGCAACGCTCTCTCCCACTTCAGCAAAAAAAAAATATTGCTGTGCTTTTCCCACCTGACGATGATTGCTTGTGTTGCAATCGAAAATTCGTGATTTAATGTATTTTATTTTATACCTACGTCACTTTACCGAAATAACCAAAGAGTAAGGTACAGCATTACGCACGGTCTGTGCGCCCAAGTGGTGGTACTACTGCCACTGTCACCGGGTAATTTTGTTTTGTGAAGTGGGACCCTTAAAGACCCTGTAACACCTCTGCAAACCTAATCATGTTCTGAAGTAGTCTCCAACACAGTGGAGTGCTGAATCGGTGATTAACTGGCACGTTCGTTCAGATGATAACTTTATTAATTGATCCTTATGACGGTACCCCGGGGTACCAAATAATACAAAATGGCGGAGGCAATTAAATATTTTATTTCTGGGACACTATTTTTTTCCAGGGGTGTTACTTAACTCCGCGACTGGGGTACCAATCAATCCGACATCAGTGCTACTCCGCGATGTCGAAACGTAGCGAGGACGATTGCGCTGAAACCCTGAACGCTCGTACGCACCGTGGTGGTGCACCGTGTACAGCTCGTCGAGATGAGTCGATTGCCGCATCGCCGACCATCAGCAGACTAAAAATGACTGCATCACGGACATCATGCGAGAGCCAGGGTACTATAGTACCCCGGGATACCGCCACAAGGTTCAATTGGCTGCTTCAGGCGGAGGAGGCTGTACGAAAGACATTTTAACATTTTAACGTTGCGATCTTGTGAACCCGAGAATAAATTATTCATCGAAATATTTGTCCCGAGAGCCTACACACGTTACATTTAACGTAATCGATTGCCTATCAGTTGCGATAGATCATGCCCATTCCTAAACAAATGACAGAACTTTCAGGCTGTCCCATTAAGGTTCCATCCGTTATTAAAGAAGTATAAACGAAACAGGCCAAACTACGCGGTTGCAATGTTATCAACATATTCCTTGTATTTACGTTTTTATACCACTAGGTGTCAGACAAGAACCTGCCAACAAAATGCCTTGGAAATGTTGATTCACCCGTAAACCTTGTACCGTCTCGAGCTTTCTGATTTAATGCCTAACTCGGCATGACCTTCGGTAATATTATTGCACATTTTTGTTTTGTTATTTCGTCAAAAATTATGCTCCCGGTAACCAGGGAGAAAACGTTTTAAGTATTTCCACATTCTTGAACAACATTATTCCTTATTATCCCTCTGGCGTGCGTACAATTCATCGGAGAGATTGCCCCCCCCCCCCGGAAATGTGAAATTTCCATCGCTGGCTCATGGCCTGCAAACATAAAATGAGCACCTCTCCAGTCCTCGTTTGAGTTTGAACAGTGAACTTCAACACTGCCGGGTGTCCCACCATTGTTGCCAGACGCAGGAGTCCCACCAGTGCCACTAATTTGCGGCACAAGCCGCTGGGCAAATGGATTTCAAACTGGATCTCAACAAAATCACCGTTTCCGGCGACTTTATGGATCGTCAACGATTTTGGGTCGCAATTTGAGTCGAGAATCAACACCTTTCTTTGTTGGTATAATGACTGCTGTACCATTTTTATTTTCTATTTATAGATTTGTTTTTGTCTTGCTTTCAGTGTGGTATTTTCGTTGTTATTTTAGCTTAAATGTAACATCAATATATGATTGGTAAATAATTTTAATTAATTCAAATATAACCAATTCGCACATGCACAATCTGATACATGTATCATGAGCCGACTAATACATTTTAATCAATGCATCATTACTTACCTAATTCTAATATAAAATTATTTATAAAGTGCCTTTAATCAAAGACCTCAAAGCACTGTACAAGACACAGCAACAGACACTCAGCATGACTATTAAGTAAATTAAGTCACGCTGAAACGAAAAGCTAAGCCATGGAAAAAATTACGAAAAATATATATTCAAACAAAAATACATTTGCCGAATTAATTGTAACGGCACATTTATTTTTACAGCCGCTCGTGACTGGGCTGGGAACAACAAACTTGTTGCGCGCGAGCACCAGAGGCAAACAGAAGGACAGACGAACACGAAAAGAACACGTGTGACACTTTGCTTGCCTGTAAAGGGTACCCCGTGGGCATCACCACCCAGCTGCTCGCAGAGTTCATTCATTTTTCTGTTGCGTTTGTCCCTCTTGAAATAATCTGGGTTCGAAGGATCCCACATGAACCGGTGATCTGCGTAAACAAGAAAACATTTAATGCATTGTGAGATTTCGATTTGAGGAAGCCCGGCGGGATAGTATGCTTGCCACTCGGCCTGTTTGGCACAGGCCACAGGAGGATTCGTGCAGCAGCAGCAGCAGCTGCTGTCAAGTTGATGTTTCATTTGCCATAATTGACAATAGCAAGCAGTTGTCTAAAAGTTGTCATAGCCAAAAGGACAAATGTGAAAATCACTACCTGTTAAAAATTGTAAAAAAAAGAGAGGATATAATGCAACTACCACTGCAAAATCTCGACGTTCACAATAACATGGACATTTCTCATAATAAAGGTTTTTGGGTTAGATCGCGTTTATTTATAAATGTGTCGTAACCCTCCACCACCCGACACGGCCAATCAGCAAAAAAAAGTGTCACGTTGACAAAAGACAAATAAGTAGTGAATTATTTGTCTTTTGTCAACGTGACACTTTTTTTTTGCTGATTGGCCGTGTCGGGTGGTGGAGGGTTACGACACATTTATAAATAAACGCGATCTAACCCAAAAACCTTTATTATGAATAATATTGGTCGCGAAAGCCTACGTGTTAAACTGATGGACATTTCTCTCCGTTTGAATTTTGTCATCAAAATTAGTAGAAGTCAGGGTTTTTTGGCACATTGTGTCAATTTGACAATGTTCCACAGCTAATTTTAGAAGTTTTAATTTGGGCTGGCCACATAGTTACTCTCTTTACAGAATAAGATCCAAAACTTCCTTCCAGCGCCAACAAATTGTGGTTGTAGTTATCCAGATTGGACTCTTATCTCAAGGTGGTACGAAACATGGAGAGGGAATTATTATAATCAAGTCAAGTTTATTGGTTAAACCAGGTGAGAACTCACGAGACCAGGAGAGTCTCATTTATATGTTTGGAGGGATTATTTAAAGGGTTTGGAGGCATTATTGGACAAGTGGGGGTAAACAGCAGTCGGGGAGGGGGCCATGTCCAATATCGTCAAATAATACGGGAGCAACTGCATGTGAAAAGCAAATATGTAATTAAAGTGCAAGTCTTATCAATTATGTGGAAGGGGGCAGAATGTTTATGGGCAGAGCACAGTAGGTAATCAGAGATGATAATCTAACTTTATCCTTCACCAAACTAACCAACCAGACACGTATTTTCACACCTCATATCCTGCTATATTCTTTAAAACCAAAAAAAGTTTTACTGGCTGGCTGAAATTTAAAAAATGACCCACAAATCACTCAACAGGGATTATACGCAGCAATTGTCGCCCCCTTAATCACAGACTAATGCCAGGTGCTCAGTCACCTTGCGCCTCGCAGGGACATCTGCCACTGGGGGTGCCCTTTTTCCATGTAATGAAACGAGACTTAACGTCCATTGCTGAGACCTCCCACAGTATAGGGCGTTATATCCAAAAAATGAGCATTTATACATATATACACGCTCATGTTAAAACCGAATTCACAAACTATAATAGGAAAAGGAAAGGCAAAAGACCAGAATGGGCATTCCATTTTGGCTATTTTATATTCTATGGCCATTGATTTTTGTCTGTCATTCATCTTAGTCTACCCATGTTTTATGGTAACTGGAACTGGCAGCTATTTTAAACAATAACTTCATCAATTACACATGAAGAGCTGGCCTTTGTAGCCATCTCATCTGAAATTGATTTTCGGAGCATGGCTTGTCATTGATTTTCCACAAAACCTCTCTCCATGGCAATATTTCTCCAGAATAGTTGATGACCTCTGCTCCTCAGTACCTTTCAGTCGACTTTTTTTTATTATACACCACCTCTTCATAACAGCAAATCAAACGGTGCACGTAACATTATAAACGATCGCATTTGGCAATTGCACTCCGCGTTAAAAAAAAAAATCGATGAGCACATCGCTTGAAAGTAGAGTCGATTTGCACTGCTTGCAAGTTGGTAGGTCGAAACATTTGTCATGAGTCCAGTCCATCACGAACGTGAACTCATCACACACGGTAAGCCCTTTGAAACTACAGTACCCTGTTTTAAGTCTGTTGCAAGACTCATGGATGGATTCCCGAACATCTGCTGGAAATTGGTTGCGCAACCGTGACTGGTTACGGTTGCACAACCACCGTCTACTGCTTGCGAAGACGTCCGCATACAAAGCGAGTCGGTTACATACCAACCAATTTCCTTAATGAATCGCTCGGGCTCGGTGGACCTGCTTCAATAGTGACCCAGGGAGACGAGGATGGCAAGTTGTTGCGAGAGATTTTGTGGGAAAGGATCGACAAATCGTGCTCTTGAACAACTGATACAAAAAAAAATTGGCACACAGGTCGACAAAAACCGCTAGCTCTTCATCGATAAATCAACGAAGCATTTTGTTTTAAAGCAGTTGACAGCGCTAAGGGTCAGTCTCTAAAATGAAAATCAGACAATACTACGTACACACAACACACACATCCGTTTTAGCGCAACTACTCGCTGGGATGTGGACAAAGCAAGTTACAAGCGAACAAGTTGCTCGCTATCGAAAGCGATTTGGGGGTTACCACAACTGGCCGCTCAGGTGTGGACTCGCCTTTGGTCTCTCCGTGAACCACGAAGCCACTGGAATCAACATCAGTAGCAGCAACAGCAGCAGCCAATGTCTTATCCACTGCAGAATGAAAGCCTACAACCCTACCTACTGCGCGCGGCGTCACCATCCCTAGCGTTCCCCCATCGTCTTACTCCCTGCGCACGAACCACAACCAACTGATCCCGTCGCTCGCTCCATCTCCATGGTGGAAGTCCTCCTGGGGGGCGCATAGCCCCTCGGCGTAATCTCACTTTGCGTAATCTCCCCCCGGGGCTGAACACCGCCCCCCACCCCCCCCCCCCCAATCAACACGAAATCTCATCGTCAGTCGTGGTCAATCCACTGCTGGATGACCCTACGATGTTATTCACCGAGCACCTGCACGTGAGCTGATTTAATCGCTCCATCTCACCGGACGCGCTCTAAAGAAACGCGACGCAGGAAAATAATATTCCAGGTAAACCAATCCCTGCTCAACGACTGCCATTACAATCAATTCTGATCACGAGTAAACCCATGGAAATTGCTTGTAAACCCACGTGAAACCCCTTAAAACCCACGTGAAACCCCATACAAACCCACGTGCAACTCATATAAACACCATGCAAAAACCCCCCCGTCGAAACCCCACGTAACGCCCCATCTAAATCCCACGTCGACCCATGCAAAACGCACGTAAACATGTGAATCCCACACAAACCCTGTAAGTACGTACGTAAAACCCTACAGACCCCATGTAAAACCCCATCCACGTGCGTTATAGAACCCGTGGCTAGCTATCGTAGCGCATCATTAATGTTCGCGAGTGTAGTCCACCACCACCGCTGTACCACCACCGCCGCCGCTGTTGTTGCTTGGCATTTAACGGTGGTCGTCATTATTATTCTAGATTTAAATCTTTCGTGACTGCAAGGATCCATACTCCTTGGTTCTATTCGGTAAAGTCACGTAGGTAAAAAAAATAAAACAAAAAATCACGACGTTTCGGCCACAACGCAAGCGGCCCTCGTCAGGTGAAGGGATCGAGGGACAGCGCTGGAGCGAAACACAGCCACGCTCGGACCTCTCCGGACCCTTAAGAGCTGTGTGCGAGGAAACAAGGAGTACATTATTAGTGTTATTATTATTGTTATTATCGTTTGGTGTTGGTTACGATCGCGCTTTAAATCCGCACCGTGGAACCATTCGATGAGGAAGACCTCCTGGCTGGCGTCCCACACGGACCTCACGCGGCCGCCGTTGCCGCAGCTCCGCCGCTCGGGGCGACGCAGCGGCCAGCCGCGGCTCTGCTGACGGCTCTGCTGACGCTTCTCGCCCAGGTAGGCGGCCGCCACGATGCAGGCGGCGGCCGCCGCCAACTTAGAGTCCTCCTTCTTCTCGTTCTCCTCCTCCTCCTCCCCCGCCTCCTCCTCCTCCTCGGCCATCTTCACGCCGGTCAGATAGCCTCCCTCCAGCTCCTCCTCACTCAGTCACTCGTCCACCACCACGACCGCCGCCGCCTCCTCACTACACCAAACTAACCTCCTCCACCTGTTTTTTTACCTCACTCATCCATCCACCGCCTTCTCACTACACCAACCAAACTCACTCCTCCTCCTCACTTGACCACCACCAGCTCCTCCTCACTCCTCCACCACCTCCTCACTCCACCAACCAAACTCGCTCCTCTTCACTCCACCAACCAACCTCACTCCACCACCTCCTCACTCCTTCACATCCCTCACTCCTCATTCCATCAACCAATCTCACTCCACCACCACCTCCTCACTCCACCTCCTCACTCCACCACCTCACTCCACCACCTCCTCACTCCACCACCTCCTCACTCCACCACCTCACCTCACTCCACCAACCAACCTCACACCTCCTCACTCCACCACTACCTCCTCACTCCACCACTTCGCCTCACTCCACCAACCAACCTCACACCTCCTCACTCCACCACTACCTCCTCACTCCACCACCTCACCTCACTCCACCAACCAACCTCACTCCACCAACCAACCTCACTCCTCCTCCACCTCCTCACCCACCCACCAACCAACAACCTCCCTCCTCCTGTGCGTAAGGAATCGACAGCAAAACAACATCCGAATCGAGGAGTGTCGATTAACGAGCGATCGATTCCTCCCGCGGTTTGTTTGGGTTGGTGTCGTTTGGGACGATTCGTCGATTCCGCCCGCTGACGGGCAGCAACCCAGCCGGGATTGAAGCGATTCCCCGCGTTTGTTGCTTAAGTCGACTGTCGATTCCGCCGGGGGTGGGGTTACGGGGCATTATTTTTTTTGTTGCGTTAATTTGGAAAGGATTCGCGAATTCTTTCAGCGCGGATTTCACGATTCCATCCACAATGCAAAACACATGGAACCGATTAACCCGCGCTCACAAGCGACAAAGGTAAATCGAATCGATTCAAATGTTTTGAAAGCCTAACGGCAACATAGGGGAATCGGAATCGATCACGAATCGACTGTGGAATTTCCGATCGCCGAGCTTTTAAGTTATCAACGTGTTAACTCTTAACCCCATGTGTTCCAGCAACGAGAGTGCCGTTCGTTACCGTCCGCTTAACGTGTTGCGGGGCCTGTGTTGAGCAACCGTTTCAAAAATACCTCAAATAACGATGCGAGAGAGGAATCGATCCCTTGTCCATTGTTTACAAGATAATCGAATCGGTGCTCACGACAGCACCGCGACTGTAAATGAACGAGGTGGTGGTGCGTGCAATGAAGAAGGGGGCATTGCCCGAAACGTCGCCGATTGCATAGCTGTCAACCCGTACGGTTTACCCCGTATTGTTGTACAGAGAAGTGTGACATTATAGGTCCATTTTGTTTCCGTCGTATTTGTGTTTCTCCCTTGTGATGGGATTTTGTAGGATGGAAGTTGATATTTCAAAGGGCCAGTAAGGTCTGACTTGGTCTGTAATATGGTAGGGCACTTATAAAGGGTTGGCAGGTATATAGTGTGTGTAGTGGTGCTGAGTGTACTAGTGGTGATTGTCTATTTGTGTATATCTCCCTTGTGATGGGATTTTGTAGGATGAAAGTTGATATTTAAAAGGGACACGGTGTGGTGGCCAGTAAGGTCTTACTTGATCTGTAATAATGTAGGGCACTGATAGGGGTTGACATTTATGTAGTGAGTGTACTGGTGGTGATTGTCTATTTGTGTTTCTCCCTTGTGATGGGACTTTGTAGGATGAACGTTGAGATTTATAAGGGGAACGGTGTGACCAGTAAGGTCTTGATCTGTAATAATGTAGGGCACTGATAAAGGGTTGACATTTATGTAGTGAGTGTACTGGTGGTGATTGTCTATTTGTGTTTCTCCCTTGTGATGGGATTTTGTAGGATGAAAGTTGATATTTACAAGGGACACGGTGTGGTGGCCAGTAAGGTCTGACTTGGTCTGTAATATGGTAGGGCACTTATAAAGGGTTGACATTTATGTAGTGTGTGTAGTGCTGAGTGTACTAGTGGTGATTGTCTATTTGTGTTTCTCCCTTGTGATGGGATTTTGTAGGATGAAAGTTGATATTTAAAAGGGACACGGTGTGACCAGTAAGGTCTGAATTGGTCTGTCATAAGGTAGGGCACTGATAAAGGGTTGGCACGATTGCAGTTGTATAATTTTGTTCTCAGACCCCCCACACACACGGGGCGGTGGTGTTCTTGATCTATGTGTTGAGATGCGTTCCTCGTTGTGCTCCCTGCACCACTGCCAACGCAACCAGCTTCAGATGATCAGTTTCACCTCCAGTAGTACTGTACTTGTATCCTGTTATCATCAGTTCCCATACCTGTCAATCCCTTATCAATGCCCTACCTCATTACAGACCAATTCAGACATTATTGGGAGGGTTTAACACGTAGGCTTTCGCGACCAATATTCATAATAAAGGTTTTTGGGTTAGATCGCGTTATTAATAAATGTGTCGTAACCCTCCACCACCCGACACGGCCAATCAGCAAAAAAGTGTCACGTTGACAAAAAGACAAATAGTTCACTACTTTAGCCCACCAGTGTGTTGAAGAGTGAATCCACAACATTTACAGTTTGAGTACGACGTTTCGCTGGTAATTACATCCAGCATCATCGGGCAAGTCGCCAGAATGGTAAAGCCCTCACTTGCTCCCGGTCTTAAATAGAGCAGCAGGGTGACGTCATCATTTAACTCATATCAGGTGCAGTGATTAGAGGCGGAGGGGGGTATTGTAATTACAGAAAGTAAACGCACACTGATGCCTATCTGAATGCAGATTCGCATCATCATCCAGCTCAGAAATCCTCTCTTATCAAGACGCTCATACATCGGGCTAAAACATTGTCACATCGCGACTATAAACGTATTCTTGGTTCTTTCGGTAAAGTCACGTAGAAGGTAAACAATAAAATAATAAAAATATAAAACTAATACTTTATTTTATTATTATTTTTAAATGTTATTGTTTCCCTTCTACGTGACTTTACCGAAAGAACCAAGAATATGAATCCCTGCAGTCACGAAAGCTTTAAATCAAGACTATAAACGTGTTGAGAAGTTTCCGACGACTCGCTCGAAGGCTTAGGTAAGTTAAGGGCTTTCGCCTAGGTTTATTACAAATCTTAACAGTACACGGGGATGAACAACTTCCCAGGGGATTAGGGGTCCCAGGCTGGGTCCCGACACATCCGGCTGCCTTGTGCGGTCTCCTCTGCGCCGACCGTGGGATCAGCCAACACGGCCGACCGAGGAGCACAGCCACGTCCAGCCCTGGCACTGTGACCTCTCCCCTATCCCTTTATACTTGAGCCGTGACGTCATTCTGCTGCCCCGATCAAATGACGTCACGTCCCGTGACGTCATCGCACTGGACAGCACTCGTGACGCGACTTCCCCATTCTACTCCTCTACAAACGTATCTATCTTGATTTGAAGCTTTCGTGACTTGCCGGAATCCATACTCTTTGGTTCTTTCGGTAAAGTCACGTAGGTAGAAAAAATAATAATAGATCACGACGTTTCGATCGCAACACAAGCAACCGTCATCAGGTGTGAAACAAACAGCAGGAGTCTGTTTGTTTCACAAATGGCTTTGGTAAATTTTTAAACGTCTTTGTCACCGCTTCTTTCCTTGGTTGACGTTAAACTATCTCCGCCTTTGTATGCATAGCGCCCTGAGAACAATTGTTTTTAAGGGGCGAATTTGACACATTCCTGCGGAGGGAGCTGGTAGGAACGTTGGGTTGCTCGGTCAATGGCCAGGGTCAACGGCGGCACCACGTGGTGTATTCCGCAAATATGAGGGCGGGCACAAGCCGGCGTGGGTAGGTTAAACGTTGAGTTTTATAAGGGCACCACGGGGTGACCAGCCCCTCCCCACCCAGCCCCACCCCTCCCATTCAGCCCCACCCAGCCCCTCCCCACCCTCCCCACCCAGTCCCTCCCCACCCAGCCCCTCCCCACCCCTCCCCACCCAGCCCCTCCCCACCCCTCCCCACCCAGCCCCTCCCCACCCTCCCCTCTCCACCCAGCCCCACCCCTCCCATTTTTGGATGCACGACGGACGGACGGACACAATAATCCCCTGTGGGCTGGTGGTGTAACCAAGAGGTTCCTACACAGTATAAATGTGAATTAATTTTAAACTGTGACGGTGAATGCAGACTCGAAGCTGCAGTCCCAGGAAACGCCGGGTGTGTCCCGTGCGAGATGTTGGACTCGTGGGTGATCTTACAGGAGGAGGACGCCTGACAGCAAGGGGCAGAGGCTGACCGACTAGTCCGGGGGGCTTACCGGCCCTGCGACGAAATGTCGTGAATACATCTAAATATATCATATTTTTAAAAACACATTTTTAAAAACACGCTTTAATGAAATGTACCCTACTTGTAATGGAAGAACTCCACGACTCAAGGAAGTGACCCCAAAGCTTGCCATAACGTAAGGGACCGTGGTGATTTACAGCCAACGTTAGTTGAGCGTGGAAAATTAGACCCAAGCCGAAACATAACATATAAAAAAAATAATGTTAAAACTAATTTTTATGATAGAATATGGTATTGTCATCAGTATGACATAAGTATACCAAGTTTGCAGTTGATACCATGTTGAGAAGTGGGTTAAAATTGAGTTACGAGATTTGAGGATACAACGACAACAGACTGAGTTAATAGAAAGCGCGTAAAAAGATCGTTTAAAAATTAATATATTTTAATGATAGAATCTAGTATTGTCATCAGTATGACATAAGTATATCAAGTTTGCAGTCGATACCATATTGGGTAGTGGGTTAAAATTGAGTTACAAGATTTGAGGATACGACAACAATAATAACAGAGTGAGTTCAATAAAAGCGTGTAAAAAAGGGGGTTTTTTCGGCAAAAGCGGTGATAACTGTGGCGCAAATTGATCTCGGTTCTTCCCCTGCCTCAAAGCGAGGGTACACAGCAACCCACAAATGCGTGGCAAGATTTTAACCACCTCGCCTGGTATGTGTCTCTCTGCCCGTGGTCAAGTGGATTTTAAATCTCCACATTTACAATCAACAACGTGCATCGATGACAAGCCACTTCGTTGAGCTATCATTTGTGGCCAGGTCGCTTCTGAAAAAGAGCTACAGATCTCAGTGGGCCTTACCTGGTAAAAATAAAAGTTTTAAAAGTGTATATTATAGATGCACCGCCCTTTCACTTCTTGTTGATTCCAGGCCACATCCAACCAACGCGTGCTCTTACCACTGCTTCCAATGAACTTGAGCCATCTGAAGAACCTGGTGAGTGGACTCTTAAAGAGCTCAAAGCCCTTGCACATAAACGTACGGCATTTGAAGCCAGAGTTGACTGGGAGATCCACATGATAGTAAAAAAAAACAATTAGGGTGAATGTTTATAGAAAACTCTTCTTGTTGTTGATGATGCCGTGGTGTAATGGTTAGCTCACTGGACTTGCAAACCATGAATCGCTGGTTCGATTTCCCTGCGTGGCAGTTTAAGCAATGGTGCAAGTTTCTTGTGTGCATATTCAACTTCTTTTGCACCGTACGTAGCCAACCGTGCCAATCGGAGGTGCTGGGGAAGGACAACAAACTTAACACAAAAAAGCAGTCGTGAAGAAATTAGTTTTCAATCTAGATTTAAAAGTGCACAGCACCCAGTGGCTTCCTTGTATTGGAATGGAGAGCGTTCCATACGGCCGCAGAAGCGCATCTGAAAGCGCAATGCCAGTGACTGTCTTTGTGGGGTAAAGTGTGGGTACTCCAACCTCTTCGAAGACGTCTTCCCAGCCTGGAAGAGGAGGCCAAAAATAGCCACCTCGAGGGGCCCTCTAGAACCCCCATTAGTGGAAGACCTTCCATCAGCAGTTACTACATTAGAGTATAGTGTTAATGAGTACTAAAATAACTTTGCTTGAATCGCAATGTCTCCGATAGCCACCGATTGTATCATTCACCGCGATGTATGCATCGTTTTTTATTACAGTTTAGTTACTGATCATAAATGTAACTGGCTAGAATATGGCACATGTGGCTTATTCTGAAATAAAAATCGATTTGCTGTCATAAACGCATTTTATTGTGTTTTGGCAGGATATATATACGTGTACATTTGTATTCGTCCTTTTTTATTTTACAAGATATTTTTAATCAAATAAACTAAACTTTATTCAAACGCGATAGTGATTTGTAAAGCTAGTAATGTTTCTGCTGGTCCCAATCAGTGTTTTGTGTCCGTAAGGTATTTGTTTCATGTTTGTGTATCAGTGTGTTTTGTGTTAGGAAGCCATTTGGTTAATGTTGTGTATTAGCATGTTTTGTATTCGTCAAGGATTTGGTACATGTTGCATATTAATGCACTTTGTGAAATGCATTTGTGTATGTTGTGTAATAGTGTGTTTTGTATTAATAATGCCTGTTTTTTCGCATTGTATGTTCGTGTGATTCGTGTTCGCAAGGCACGTGTGTCATGTTTATTCGTGTATTTTGTTATTGCAACATTGTCCTGCACGGTATCCATGCCGCAATCTGCAACTTCACCCCCCCCCCCCCCCCCCCCCTTCAAAAGGCTCTCGTGGGGCATGCCCCACAGCTTAAAGAGCTGCTGCCCGAGCGAGAGACGACGCTCACACGGAGCGAATGAAATTGTTTACCTGTAGAAGCTGAGACGGAGACAGTTTCCCACCACCACCAGCAGCAGCAGGCAACTTCCCAGGCAGCGGCGTCCGAGCAGACTCAACAGAATGTGCCGGAGCCGCACCGCGAAGGTACACGTGCGGCAGGCAGGGGTAGCAGCGATATCATCGGGATTCCTCCAGTGTAAACTAATATTCTGATCTGATTCTGACATTGCAGTAGAACCTTTTAAAGTCGGCCTTCGAGTTGACCAAACATCCAAAAATAGGCCCACAGAGCTTTGGAATTATCTTTTTTTGGCGCTGATTCTGGCTGTCTTTCCTGCTTGCCTGTGGGTTCCCGCGCCTCCGTGCGAAAACCGTTCGTGTTGCAAATTCTACAGTGTTTTGAGATGCAAACTTACATGAATGGCGTTGCAGAATATACAAATGTTTATTTTAGGGAGAGCATTTCCAATTATGGGGGGATTTCCAGAATATTTGAAATAATGAAGCCAAATGTAATTTAAAACACATGGGTTTTCAGAACCAATACAGTATAATTCATTGTTGATTTATTTTGGTTAGGCCATGTAATGATCTGGCCATATTTGTGTCATTAAGACCCTCCACCACCCAACATAGCCAAATTAAATTGTCACATGTACAAGCGTTAACCGCTCCAGGTGTTATTCTATCAGATCACAGGTAAGTTTAAGAACAATTTTCACAACCAAATTCAACAATTAAATATACGATTGACTTTAAGCTTTCGTGACTGCAGGAATTCATATTCTTGGGTTTTTCGGTAAAGTCACGTAGATAGGTTCAAAGAAAATAACAAAGTCATCCTGATGATTGAAACTTCGTAGTTTTTGTTGTTATTTTTTTTCTTTGAACCTATATACGTGACTTTACCGAAAGACCCAATAATATAAATATACGATGTTTTCGCTTGAGACTGCGTCAAGCATCACCAGGACAATATCCAGTAAGTTGGAATAAATATCAAGGAAGCCACACTGTTTAATGTCACATGGCCCAGCGATAATAGCAAAAAAGAGATTCCTTCATCCAGCAGTGCATGGAGAATGGTGTAAGTGATTTCATTGTTTCCACATTGGGAACAGATGCAGAAGAGGAGGTGGTAACATTCCTCCCAGCGGCAAGCTCCACGCGACGGGCTGTGAAGCAGACCACATCGTCTGGGAAGTGATGGCAAGAGTAGGTGTGTGAAAGCATGACACTTGACGTTTCCTGTAGCCAGGACGCTTAAGTTGCACGACTTCAATTGCCCACAATTGCTTTGTCCACATCTGAGCGAGTAGTTGTGCAGCAAGGCCATAAAACAGCATTATCAGGATTGTAACAACCAATCGTACTCCGCAATTGTCCACGTGATATAAATGTGTTACTCTAAATCGCTGGGATCACTTAAAAGTAGAGTATACTGTAAGCAACTGGTTGCAACTACTGTAGTTGCAGGGACATTTACACGTGACATGGTTGCATGCAACTGATCGGCCAGGTTGGGGACCTGGCTTTTTACACTGAAGTTTCCTACTTTGCACCCTGTTTTCATGTAAACACTTTCCTATTGGCCATTGTTATGCCATCACGAAGTAATCACAGAGCAGTGCAATGCTTTGTGAGTGAATGACCCACGGAAGCAGATATCACAGAGCTACCTCTGAGATATTTCCAAGTGACCTCTGGTTCACACAGTAGAGGGTAGCACTTAACCACCCACAACACCAGGGTGTTGTTGATAATGGTGGTGTTGTTGAAGGTGCTGGAGTAGACCTACATTTAATTGTATGTTGCGTTTTGTGCAGTCATTTGTGACTATGCTCGAGAAACCCAGTTTAAATACAGGCGTCTGCCTGGATTGGAATCCAGGCTCTCAATATTATGGTTCACCTGAACTTGTACACACAAGCTTCATTTTCTGTTTTGGCTGTAGTAAAACTATGCAACAGCAGATGGCAATGTGAACGCCTTTGTGCAACAATATTATACTGGTAGTAACCTCCTGGTTACACCAGCCCACAGGGGATTATTGTGTCCGTTGGTCGTGCATCCAAAAATGGGAGGGGTGGGGCTGGGTGGAGAGGGGAGGGTGGGGAGGGGCTGGGTGGGGAGGGAGGGGCTGGGTGGGGAGGGGAGGGTGGGGAGGAGCTGGGTGGGGAGGGTGGGGAGGGACTGGGTGGGGAGGGTGGGGAGGGGCTGGGTGGGGAGGGTGGGGCTGGGTGGGGGGGTGGGAGGGGTGGGGCTGGGTGGGGAGGGGCTGGTCACCCCGTGGTGCCCTTATAAAACTCAACGTTTAACCTACTCACGCCGGCTTGTGCCCGCCCTCACAGTCGGGCATATTTGCGGAATACACCACATGCCGCCGTTGACCCTGGCCATTGACCGAGCAACCCAACGTTCCTACCAGCTCCCTCCGCAGGGATGTTTTGTATCTGTCTATTGTTAAAAAAGCTGCGTTTTCATTCTTGTAAAAAATTGTTTTCTCCACAGAGGCTGGGCAAGCAGAGGCTGGGCAAGTCGGTGGAGCCAGAATACCACGTTCTTCTCACACGGAGCACAAACGATATTGCCACAGCACCTCTACTGCTATGTAAACTTAACTTAATGCTTTGCAAGTAGAACAACCCAATGGAAATGAAGAGGACCCCCAGGAAATCAAACTGCTTAGTGGCCAGTGTAGCACTTGTACAAGCCAGCTGTGTTGTTTTCATATACTCTTTGTGACAAACATAACGTTTGGAAGGGAGTTGTTGCATTTGATTAAGATAAATATTGGTCAAAGTACCTGAAATGCACATCAGATTATGTCGTGGCAATATGTGTGTGCTGTGGTAATTAGATGTTCACCATCAAATTTATTTGACGATTTGCAAATATTTCTAGGGAAACGTCCACATATTTCTGTATTCTCAGGATTATAAGATTCTCTTGAAAGGAATACACCCCTGAAAACTTTGGGCGTCGCTTTAAAAAAGTGGATTTAAAAATGTTGAGAATATGATATAGCCAGTTGAAATATATTGGACTTACAGTGCCTAACTACTAAGTGGCCACCAAAGCGGCTTTCCTCGGAGGTTGTGCATATCCAGGTACAAATAGTGTGGTCTGGGAACTGATAAAGTAACAGGACTCGTCCAAATGACCGTTTTCATTTAAACCACCACTATGCGGTAACACAGACTCTAAAACCACCACTATGCAGTAGCACAGACTCTAAAACTACCACTATGCGGTAGCACAGACTCTAAAACCACCACTATGCGGTAGCACAGACTCTAAAACCACCACTATGCGGTAGCACAGACTCTAAAACCAGCACTATGCGGTAGCACAAACTCTAAAACCACCACTATGCCGTAGCACAGACTCTAAAACCACCACTATGCGGTAGCTGAGACTTTTAAACCAGCACTATGCGGTAGCACAAACTCTAAAACGCGAGCAACCATTTGCCGTCTCGTTTAACTGCGGCCACAATCGGACACTGCCCAAATAATAAACTAGCTTTGGTAGAATTTTGATTTAAAGCTTTCGTGACTGCAGGGATTCATATTATTGGTTGTTTCGGTAAAATCACGTAGAAGGGAAACAATAAAATAATAAAAATATAAAACAATATTTTATTGTTTCCCTTCTACGTGACTTTACCGAAAGAACCAAGAATATAGCTTTGGTAGGTTTACACAGCTATGGAGGTGCGGTCACAATACATTTGTCGTTGTCACTGCAGAATGTTGTTGATTTGTCTTTTGTAGCCACGCTTTTTTTATCTGCAAATGTAAGTTTTTAATTTTGCAGTTGATTATGAAACTACCGTTTTAATTTTACATGAAAAATTATAATCTGGTACACTTTTGATTTAAAGCTTTCGTGACTGCAAGGATTCATATTCTTGGTTCTTTAGGTAAAGTCACGTAGAAGGGAAACAATAAAATAATAGTTTTATAGTTTTATTATTTTATTGTTTCCCTTCTACGTGACTTTACCGAAAGAACCAAGAATAATAATCTGGTACACTTTTATGACTATGTTGGTTGGATTCAACTAAGGTATTCCCATGTACGTGGCTATCTGGGTTGCTAGTCTTGTCCTGCTGTACACAAGTGCCCTGGTTTGGTGAACACAAAACCGTTTTCCTGACAGGCAGCGATATTATGAAGAACTCAAATAACCCAAGAACAAAAATTACTTTAGATTTAAATAATTGATAATCATAGCAACGTTACTGATTTGAAAGTATATGCAATTGTATTTTCTGCATAATAACACGTGCATTTTCAATGACTGTGCTGGACTCCACTTTGCATATATTGCGATGTGTTATGCATAGAAAATTTTAAACAGTGTAATTATTTCTTTATCTGACATAGTTTAAACTTGTGTAACGTTAGTCTTTATACGGTAGGTGAATGTTTAAATAAATACATGGCCTCTAATCTCAAGAGGTTGTTTCCAGTCCAGGAGGGTGTGAGGTCTCATATTTGCAACAAATTAGAATCAAGTATTAACACATGATTGGAAGAAAAAAACGCGAATTAGTACAATAAAGACTTTTTTGGGTCACTATTGACCCAAGTCGATCGTGAAGTTTAATGGCTATACAGTGTTAGGAATTTAAAAAAAATATTCAAGATGTTTCATATACCGTATATTCCAGATTATAGGATATTCCAGAAAGTAATACCCACCCCAAATGTTGGGGTCATTTGGAAAAGAACTGGGTTTTATAATCTGCAAAATATGGTACCGTGGGGATCCATTTTCTAGAAGGTGAAAATAAACATGATACTTTTAAATGGGGAGAGCTTTTCTGGAAGATTCTGAACATTTGGTGGTGGCATCCTATACTATGGGTGATTATGTAGTATGATTACACTTGCTTAATCATGAAAGCATGAGTCTCATGACGTTTTGCTATGGAACTTCGTCCTCTGGAAGATGATTCTGAACAACTAGATTAAAGCATGTGTTCAAGAAGACAACATTCTGATTATCAGATGCACAACCAACTTTTGTTTGGAAATGTAGAAAATGTTCATCACATTCTGGAGAATATAGTACTTTACTCATGGTGTATACATCATTGTATATCCATTCAGTCATGAGCAAAGGCGATCAATTTTCCGCCGTGAAATGGCGGAAAAACAATGCAAGGAGGCGCTCAAACCCGCACGTCATTCAAGCCGTTAAAAATAAACCAAAATACATCGTTGAGAATAGTTTTCTATTTTAAAAGAACATTGATTTGAAAGAATCACGGGCCCATTAGTCTTTTGCCACATGCATATAAACTGTTGTTGACGATCATAGAGAATCAAATGATAGTCGAATTGGAGGCCAACCAACGAGACAAACACATTCCTGCGGAGGGAGCTGGTAGGAACGTTGGGTTGCTCGGTCAATGGCCAGGGTCAACGGCGGCACCACGTGGTGTATTCCGTAAATATGCCCGACTCTGGGGGCGGGCACACGCCGGCGTGAGTAGGTTAAACGTTGAGTTTTATAAGGGCACCACGGGGTGACCAGCTCCTCCCCACCCAGCCCCACCCCTCCCACCCCCCACCCCACCCCTCCCACCCCCCACCCAGCCCCACCCTCTCCACCCCCCACCCAGCCCCACCCTCCCCACCCAGCCCCTCCCCACCTTCCCCACCCAGCCCCTCCCCAGCCCCTGCCCACCCAGCCCCTCCCCACCCTCCCCTCTCCACCCAGCCCCACCCCGCCTATTTTATCCGGGTGTCCGGATACACGTGGACAGACATCCACAGACATCCACAATTAATCCCCTGCCTCCTGTGATACTCCCGGTTGGGCTTCCAGTACACTACGTTTCCTACCAGTAATGCCCACTAGGAGCGCATTTGTTATATATCCGGGTGTCTGGATACACGTGGACAGACATCCACAGACATACATAATTAATCCACTGCCTCCTGTGAATTAATCCCGGTTGGGCTTCTAGTCCACTACGTTTCCTACCAGTAATATTTAAAATAAAGTTGTGTTTTTCCTACACCATTTACCACATACTACGTCATAACAAGACACCCAAACCCCTTATCTAATTCCATTGTGGATTAATTTTGTAGACTGAAAATCCATTTGAGTCGATGAAACGTACACGTTCAAGTTGCATTTGTTTTAACCAAGTGAGAGCTGGATAACCAAAATGCTAAATATGATGCAAATAGCCATATACCTGTCAACCCCTTATCAGTGCCTACCTTATTACAGACCAATTCAGACCTTATTGGTCACTCAATCCCTTATAAATCTCAACGTTCATCCTACAAAGTCCTATCACAAGGGAAAAACACAAATACTGTAGGCCAAAAAATGTGCCCGTATTGAAACGGCTGTATGCCGTATGGACCTGAAAACTAAATTTCCCTGGACAAGAATACGGGAAAACCGTATGGGTTGACAGGCATGTAGCCATCAGATTGTACAGGGAATGCCACATGCTCAGTTGATGTGTAATGCCATGACAGCTGATCTGTATGGCCGCAACACCTGCGGCTGCGGTGAGCCTGTGGCCTTACCTGGGGGGAGCCGATCATAGAACAGCGGAGGGCTGCCCATCATCAACAATTAATAACCGCCGTTCACCACAATGTTGGAGGTGACGTTCTCACTGCGATTGTGCCAGGCTAGGTGCACGTTGAGGCCACGTGAAGTGGGGGAAGGCTCGCTGCTGGCAGGTCACGGGACAAACCCAGGTGCCATGGGTTGACTGACAGATGCACCATTGACTAGCCCCTGATCTTCCACACACGAGTTTGTATCCAGGTGACACCTAGAGGGTGACTTTGTCATTGGCTTCCCATATGGGTGAGAGATAAGGTGACATCGGGCAAACTATGTTAAGCAGAATCTTTATACTGGAGGAATCCGATGAGCTCTAAAGCTCTTTTTCACAGATGTCCAATAGGGGCGGGTCAGAACGTTACAACAACAAACAATACACCAACACTAAAGGGGTGAAAAGTATAGGAAAAGTAAGCATCACTTAAAAACATACACACGCAAAATATACAAAAAACTCAACAATTTTTTGTATCTTGATTTGAAGCTTTCGTGACTGCAGGAACCCATACTCTTTGTTTCTTTCGGTCAAGTCACGTAGTAGGTATAAAATAAAATAAATCACGACGTTTCGGGCGCAACACAAGCGTCCATCATCAGGTGGGAAAGCGTGGTCCTGCTGCTGAGGCAGACTGTTTTAAAAGGTTTGAAATTGGTGTAGCCCAAGGGTCATAAAAAAGTGTCCGAGGCTAGTGATGTTAATGTGAGAAATTAGCATTTCCCACATTAAACGTTGAGTTTTATAAGGGCACCACGGGGTGACCAGCCCCTCCCCCACCCAGCCCCACCGCTCCCACCCCCCATCCAGCCCCACCCCTCCCCTCTCCACCCAGCCCCACCCCTGCCATGTTTGGGTGCACGACGGACGGACGGACACAATAATCCCCTGTGGGCTGGTGGTGTAGTAACCAGGAGCTTCCTACCAGTATTATCGGTTAATTGGCACGTGACTTTCTTGACTGACTGGGTCGAGTGGATACACATGTTACGTACGCGATTGGACCCAAAAGAAATCTATTGACTCGTTTTTTTAAATACAATTCTGCTTATATCTACTGAGCGTCTGTGAAAAAGAGCTTTATAGCTCATCGGATTCCTCCAGTAGAACAAAATATCGTGATTCCTATTTTTAAATAATTTATGCTTACTCCACAACTCAGGTACCGTGAGCATAAATAACGCATTGCACATAATGTATTAATTTATATTACAGAATTATAATCGCACTACAGCAGTAATTATTATTAGGTAATGCTGCATTGCCATTGATGCACAAATATAATTAACAAAACAAATTCAACGCACGCGTCAATAACACCGTGGCCTTACAAGGACGTTTATATACGTGTCGAGTAATGATCCTTCTTGAGGGACATCGCCCGAAACGTCGCTTAAGTCTTCCACCTCTGCGCCCATTGTGTGTGTATATATACAGTACTGTGTATACATTTTGCTTTAAAGCTTTCGTGACTGCAGGGATTCATATTCTTGGTTCTTTCGGTAAAGTCACGTAGAAGGGAAACAATAAAATAATAAAAATATAAAGCAATAAAATTCTCACGACGTTTCGACTGCAACACATGCAATCATCATCAGCTGTGAAAACCACAGCAAGAATTTGTTTTGAAAAAAGTGGCGTTTTTTTATTGTTTCCCTTCTACGTGACTTTACCGCAAGAACCAGGAATATAGTACCGTGTATGTTTATTATTTTATTGTTTCCCTTCTACGCGACTTTACCGAAAGAACCAAGAATATAAATCCCTGCAGTCACGAAAGCTTTAAATCAAAATTTAAAGCAGCGTTGTTAACGAATGTGGACGAAACCAAATGCTCCCCCCCCACCCCACCTTACCAACCGCAACACAAAACACGCGTTATTTCACTGCCCGCATCTTATATAAAACATCATCACTTTTACGTAACCTCATAAGCGCGCACTGTTGCGCCTTTGATCAAATCGTAAACTTTACCGAAAGAACCAAAGATAGTACAATGTGCAAGTTCGTCTAAGACGTTCGTAATTTTTTTAACGGAGAGTTCTGTTGGTTTCGTCCGCGGCGGTGGTGGTGGGTGGGGGGGGGGTGGCGTTGGTGCGCTTCGTCCAATCGGCGGGCTCCGTTTGGGGGTCCGTCCAATCGGCGTGCTCCATTTGTTCTCCGCCGCGTTCTGATTGGTCCTAGTCGCGCGGCCGTTAGCGTTTAAAATTTTTTTGTAGCTTTTAGTGAGGCGAAGCGGGGGGGGGGCTCTTGGTCGGGACGACGTTCGTCGTTGTTGCTCGGTGGCAACAGTTTTTATTTCTTATTGTTTTCGTAGCGGAATTTACACCGCGACGATGAGCAACCAATACGTGTACGATTTCGACGCGCCCACCTGCTTTGACTTTGGCAGCGTGGCGGACAACGACAACGCGGACGCGTGGTTCGGTGAGTTTGCGTGGCGAGTCGCGCTCAATTTCAAATGTCGCTCCGTCGCTAACCGTTCGATGCCTCCTCTCGTAAACTCTCGCCGATCCCTTTGAGATGGTCGCATGTAAATTTTTGTTTTGATTATGCGGTGCTGCGAAAGGCTAAGACGAGCAAAGATGCCCGTGAAGCTGCTGATAACGTTGCGCCGATTTCTGCATGCTCGGCCTTCTTCGCCGCTCGTCACGGAACGCGCCTTGTCTTTCTCCTTGCAGTCGAGCGCCCTCGTGTCTCTGCTCGTTGTGCTTTTACGTCTTAATTGTTACTACGCGATGGGAGGTTTGGTTTTTTTTTTATAATTTAACAACAAAAAATGTACGGAGGTCCCAATAACTCTTTCCCCCCCCCGCCGCGCGCCACGTTTTGTGAAACTGCGCGAACAACGCCCCTTTTTGGCACCTTGCGAAGTTGACTTCGCAAAGTTGATTGTTGGTGGCGGTGGATAATTTCCCACCTTCGGACCATGGCAAATGCATCGGTTTGTGCGTAGTAGTAGTAATAAATGGTTTTCAGCCCCCCTTTGCGTCAATCCACTGCTGGACGAAGGGAGGCCTCTCCGCTGCGCCTTGTTGCTGGGTGAAGGCGCGCTAAGAAACGTCCTCGCGATATTCAGGAAGGCCATTGGAGAGAGTCGTGCACTCTCACATCTAGATTGGGAAAAAAACCAAACTCATTCCTTTAGAACTGATTGGTTTTTTTTGCGTCTGGATCGTTGTCCTTCGCCCAACCCCCCACAACCCTCGCATCTCCGATGAGCGGCGCGGATGGCTACGTACGACGCGCAAAGAAGTTCCAACATAATAGACGCGGGTGGCGGCCTAAATTGGCCACGCGTGGGTCAATGCGAGTTGTTTGAAGGAGTGTGTGTGGCTTAGGGGACTTTGTTGGATATCGCTCGCCGCTGACGTTACCCGTCGCTGTGTTAAACAAACAAACGGCGCGGGCCCCCCTTTGCATCGCCCATTGTGAGCCTCTTGCGCTCTTTAGCCTCGCGTGCAATTGTGTTTTACTGTACAACGTGTGTGCGTGCCGTGGGAGACTGCTTAAAGCCATGTATGGCCAAGGAGATGCCAGTTGAAGATATTAATTATTGATGAAGATATTAATTATTGACTCGATCAGTGCGGAGCTTGTGAGTGGCGTTTCTCCAGGATTGCCAGTGTACTAGCACATGCAAAAACACTTCAGAGTTTTTAGGCCACACATCCCTATGCATGAATATACAGATATAGTTACGAGACTCGATTGGGCTATCCCCAGTAAAGGCCATTGCAGTACATTTGAATTTTCTTTGTTGTTGCATGTGACCAAATCGACTGCAATGCGCCAAGCTAAGCAAGTTTGCACCTGGATAGTGCTTGGAAGAACTTTCACGGTGCATTGCTCAAATAACACTAACCCCCGCCCCCACAACTCGCACGGCTTGTGGAGGGTCTCATCGAAGTGGACTTGCAGGAAGAGCTGCAAACTTCGAAACTATTTGAGAATAGGTTTTCCCCCTTTTTTCTGGCAACAAAACAGCTGTGTTAAGATGTTAAAACACGAAACTGAAACCTTTTACAAGCAATCATGTCTGTATTAGCCACAATACTTGTGGTCAGAATGCAAACAGAAAACGTACTCTGATAATATATGGGCATTGTCCTTGAAACTGATTGGTCCACACCAGAGACCGCTTTCTGACCACTTGTATTGTGGTTAATGCAGACATGATTCGTTGTAAAAGATTTTGGTTTGGTGTTTTAACATCTTAACACCTGTTTTGTTGACCGAAAAAAGGGGAAAACCTATTCTCATATTTTGGTACTGGCAAAGGAGGTCCCATGAATTAGAAACGATTTGTTTTATTTTATCAGGTCAGGCCCACTGAGCTATTTAGCTCTTTCACAAGCGACTTGGCCACAGATGATAGCTCAATGAAGTGTATTATTATCACGCGGGAATTTATAGCAGCCAAATACTTTAAACGCATCTTTATAAAAGCCGAATTGAATGGGTAACCGTATTTACTAGCTAGCTATGTGTCAATTCGTCGAATACAATAGAATCGAATGCTCCCGATACTTGGCAGAGAACGGTGTGAGCAGAATTAACAAAAGACATGAACACGGTAAGGTGGGCAATATCAGAATCTTTATTTAGACTGGAGGAATTTGATGAGCTGTGAAGCTCTTTTTTTCTGCAGACGTGAAATAATAATGAGGTCGAATTGACTCGTGGCAGTGATGATATCTAGCATGTTGTGTGTGGCTTTCCACCCCCCCTCCTCTCACAGGTAGTTTATTGTTGCGTATGATGGCAGCAATATGTTAAGGAGCTAAATGCAAACGTTGATGTCTGCTAGTCAGGGGAGTGCTTCGGGAGAGAGCTGGCGTAGTTTTGCTCATCCGTTGAAGGAGCGGAGACTACAGTGGCTTACTATACTGTGTATGTACTCTGTTTTTTTCGGTAAAGATGCGTAGATGGAAAAAAATAACAAAAGAAAACACGCCGTTTCGGTCGCAACACAAGCGTCCGTCACCTGAAGAGGACGCTTGTGTTGCGATCGAAACGTGTTTTCTTTTGTTGATTTTTTTTCTATCTACGTGACTTTACCGAAAGAACCAGAGAGTGTGGATTGCTGCAGTCACGAAAGCTTCAAATCAAGACTATACTGTATATGGTCCATAATTTGGGTTGCATGGCCAGGCAGTTAATCAGACTGTGCTACTGTATAGGACGTCAACACGGGCACACTCGAGGGATCCTCTTATCCAGGGAATGCTGGGTATTGTGCGGGTGCACACGTTCTCTATCGCATGAGGGAAATGGAGAGGGAAGTTTAAATCCTTGCTCCATATGCGCATCCCTTTTGTCAACCTCTGGATCTGACCATACTTCACACTGGGTCTGTACAGGTTGGTGATGTGTGGGGGTAAGGACAATAAACTAAACACAATCCATTCTAAGGAAATTATTTTCCAATCTGGATTTGAAAGTACGTAGCTCCAGCGGCTTCCTAATATCGGACGCAAGAGCATTCCAGACGGCCGCAGAATCCCATCTGAAAGCGTGCCATCTCCGTTTGATGGCTAACCAAAAGCTACTGCTGCGAGGATGACTGAAGTTCGTGCCATGGTTATTGCTCGTTGACGAGATCGGCAAAAAAATCGTGGTTCATTTGTGGCAAGCACTTTGTGCGTGATGAGTGTGCGATCGTATAATGTCCAGTACAACACCGGATTTATCATCGCGGCCTTGTGCCCGCAACGTAGAGCCCACACAGTAGCCAAGGTAACACCTGTTTTTGTGGTCACCTATCCGATGTTTAATGTTGCACATGCGTCTCTCCGTGGGGATAGATAACAGACGAGAAGAACACCAGGCTTTCCCCGAAGGGGCTGAATTGCTTGTGGAGGACCTGCCGGTGATGAGCAACGTCGACTCAGGTACAACATCAAATATTGCCTGGTTTGGCCATGAAACATACGTTTTCACAACTCCTGTGCAGGCATTAGTATTGTGTGTTTTTTGGGGGGGGTCATTGTCTGTGCCGCTTGGCTGAATTTCATTGTTTAGTACAGCACTGATTATTAATATCACAGATACTCTCTTGAGTCCTGCAGTCACGAAAGCTTCAAATCAAGAATATCACAGATATCGATGAACATAGATTAATGAACATTATTTTACGGAGTGATTCCATTATATTGTATATAAAAAAAAAACAGTGTTCAATCGAATGTCATAATACGTCTCCCTATAGATGCATGTTTTCTAGAAAAAGGGCATGCGTCACGAAATAATGTGTTGCTTGACGAAACGCACGTTTTAATTTTGAGTTTCTGAACGTATATTGAACTTCTTTGGCACCGTACGTAGCTGACCGTGCTAATCGGAGGTGCGGTGTCTTGTCATCACTAGGCAAGGGGGTAGAACTGCTGGATGAAGAGATGATTGATGAGGAGGAGGCTGAGGCAGGCGAGGGAACGGCGTCGAATGCCGAGTTCCTCACGAAGCGAAACGAAGACGCGGCGACAGCGGGCGCCAAGTCTGCAGACAACGTAGCCGCGCAGGAAACCCGTGCTGACATTCCACAGATGAGTATTGAGAAGCTTCCGGGCACCTTTGAGCCTTCAGAAGGGTATAGTCGCCGTGTTGCTGCACAGTTGGCCATGGAAGCGATGACCCCTGCTAAAGATGAACTCTTGGACCAGGGAGGTGACATGCTCGATGCCCCTAACCGAGTTGAAAAGGGTGACGGTGATCGTGCATCGGTAAGCATAGATATGGAGTGCGCGACAGATAATACCGTGGAGGAGGGAGCGGACATCCCCATGTGCGTGGGAAATTCAAAATATGACGTTGCTTGTCCTGCTGAAGAAACGCGCGAGGAAGAAGCGAATGTAAACCAGCGTGAAGCCGCAGAGAAAGACGGCGGCATCCATTTGAAGCAACAACCTGCGGAAGGAAACAATTCCGCCAAGGAAGACCTCTGTGGTGATGACGACGACGACGACGATGAGTCTTCGGAAGGGAAGAGTGTGGTGGCGGCTCGGTCTGAAGCAGAAAACGATCCGAAAGAAACTCGTGAGCCAGGCACAGACCTCTTCAACCTGTGTAGGTCTATGACGAAGTGGCGCCCTAGCGTTAACACAGGCGCTCAGGTGGCTTCTGTCGTTCCTCCCGCCACCCGCCGGAGTGCTATTGTGACAAGGTACGTGTGTGTGTGTGTGTACGTACGTTGAACTTCTCGTGCACCATACACAGCCAAACGTGCTAATCGGAGGTGCTGCAAAGCGCAAGTACATAAGATGTACCCGCAATTTTTGGTATAAAATACAGGAAAATGCATCTTATAACCTGGTTTGAGATGAAGGGGAGAATTGTTTGATAATGTGACTGGAGGTTTCCGATTAATCACAACAGTCAAGGGGGGATAAAGTTTGTTTCTGTGAGGGTATTTCGTTCCTAATACATTTTTTCTCACACTGGTTAGGTGGGTGGGTGGGAAGCAAAGTGTATTTGTAAATTAACACTTGGGACATACTATACAAATTAATGTTTCTCTATGGCAAAAATCCTATGTATGTTCTTCCCTTTTTTATTTGTTTTTATTCATGATGATTATTCGTTTGAGGATCTATACATTGCAGCGTGTGTTTATATTGTCCCTCGTGCGCAGATTGGACCCGTTGGTTGGCCAGAAGAATCGTGCCTTGGTGCGAAAGCAGTTGACCAACATCCGCGCAGAGAGACGCACGATCAGTGTCACGGCCACTGCCAGCAGCAGTCTCTCTTCTCCGGCCGTCAAGAGAAGCAAAAGGTGTGGATCCTGATGCCCCTGTGCCTTCATAATGGTCATCCTCGGGGGTGGGGGGGTTGGCAACCTGCGACTGGAGCTGCGTTGCGGCTCTTTAAAGGACCGCTTCGTGACATTATGCACATGCGTGTTGTGGCTGAAATATTTTTTTGTATTCGCCGAGTTCGAAAAAAAATAGCTCTCCTTATATTGGTTGCCGAACCCCTGATCATCCTCATCGTCGGCCATGATTGCACCGCTGCTAGATGAAGGCTTCCTCATCTTTGCGGAGGACATGCACTCCCAGTTGCGTTCTGTTCATTGGCTGTCACTTTTCGTGACTATCGGCCAACCCTCCTTGCAACGTTTCCTACCCCAGCCCGCTTTTCATTAATAACGTCCTTAACCTGCTGATGCATCTTTAGTCCGTGTTTGCTCTTTCTGTCTCTCAATATAATTCCAAGCATGCATTACTATTTCTACACGATTCAGTTTGTTCCATGTTAAAATTGCCATATTTCTCAACCGTATGTTCTAGCAGGTGGTATGTATGCCCCATAAAAATATATATATAATTGTGCAATATAATCGTGGTCAGTTCGTGTGCTTTTTAACGTGAAATAATATTTAATGGTTAGAGGTAGCTGATAGGAAAACTGTAAAAAGAATGTCTAGAAATTGGGTTGTGTAAGAGCTCATAGCAATGTACCAATGTTCCTGAAGTAGACCGTCCTTTTTTCTACGTGCATATTGCCAACAATGATGGCATTGAGTACAAATTCTGGGCACTGACAAGAATGGAGGAGCGTGGAGAGATGTGCCGTGAATGACGGGAGTCAGATGAGCGCAATGATCGGGAAACAAACGCTAATCAGAGAGACATTACATTTTTGAACAAAGGGTTTATGGGTAACGCTGGTGGTCACAAAATGGCAGCCAAGGAGAGACCGCACCCTCGAGTATGACCATCTCAGAGATGGGGTGATGAGAGAGGTTCACGTGCAGGAGTGAGATAGATTGTGGAAGGATGGCAATGCCGTGAGAAGGTCCTTCATTTAACAATGTTATGGCGATTGGCCAAAGGGCACATACTCGCACATCTAAATATTGCACAAACGTGCGAGCATTTAAAATATCAACAATGGTGTAATCAATCGTACTGCTACAAGGGAAAGAGCCCGTGCAACAGGAGCCAAAGTAAGGCTGGTAGTGCTGCGTATTAGAATATGCAAATAACTAGCGCAGAATGCATCTGCCAATTGGAATTGGAATGTTAAACGCAAATCTTTAGCGTGTAACCCTGTGGGAGACCATGATCATATATATGCTTTGCAAACATGCATCACAACTGATTTTTTTTCCACAGGGTTTTGATGGTGGCTGTAATTGTCCTTCCGTTGTAAAAAGGTTTCTTTATCCATAATAAAGTAGTGTTTGGGTTAGATCGCGTAAATATAAATGTCATTAAAGCCACCGCCACCACCCGACAGCCAATTAGGAAGGTTTGTCACGTAAGAAAAACGTTCCAATTGGCTCCTAGTTCAGCACACCAGTGTGTTGGATAGTAAAACCAACGACATTTACAATTCTAGGTTTTACCCTTTCTGGCAACAAAACAGGTGCCAAAATGTCCAAACACCAAATAGGAACCTTTTGCAAGGAATCACGTATGCGATAATCACACGTGCTTGTGGTGAACATGCAAACAAACATGCTCTGACTATATATGCGTTGTCCTTGAAACCGATTTGCCTACACCAGAGACAGCCTTTAGGGCCGAGTCTCACCATTTGTCAGACCAGAGAACGCCAAAAGGCGAACATTTACAATTTGAGTACAACGTTTCGCTGGCGATTACAACCTGCTTCAAGGGATAACCAGTGCCGTATCACACGTTTTGGAGGCTTGAATTTTAGCCACAACATTTTTTTTGGGCGGTGAAAGAAGCTAAAGTTTTGTTTGAAATTTGCTGACATAATCGGAGTTTTTTTTTCTGTGCATAGTATTTTTGGAAGAAATTGTTGGCTGATCAAACCTATGATCATATTGAATATTTTTGTTGTTTAGATCGGGATCTTTGCCTAAAAGCTCTGCAGCTGGGGTTGCCCAGCCGAAATTGAGGTACTGGGTGTGCATAAACCCAGCTCGCAGCATACACAACACATTTTAGGGTCTTGTAAGGATCAACTACCAGAGTCGTGTGTGTGTATATATATTATCTGTGACCTCAATTGCTCTTTTGGCAAGTGACACTTCATGCAATGTCAGGTCTACTTATATTGTTAGTTTATTATTGATTTGATGATTTTTTTAATGTTCTAAATAGTACGGATTGAGTGTCTACAATGAGATCGGTCGAGGGGTGGTGTCAGACTATTGACCATCCTTGGGGGGGAAAGTTATTGTTTATCAGTTTTTACATTTAGATCTTCATACACGTGAACAATTCGTCCAAAAACATGTAACCACAACTCGTATCTTGTAACTTCATTGATTTTTACAATTAAGGTTAGCCTTAAATACATTTGCGTTACAATGTTACGTGTACAGGTTGAACAAAATAAGGATTCTACTGTAATTGCTAATGGATGTTAACTACCTCACCGGGTCGAAGATCGTGGGTTCGATCTAGACCCTGACGCGCCTGTGTATTTGGAGTTGGCATTTTCTCCCCGTGGTCGAGTGGATTCTTCTCAAGAGTTCTCCCGTCGTTTTTTTTACCCTCCATTTTGAGAATCGACCTGCGTTTCAGAGTATTTGGCTGCTAGAAATGTCCACACGATAAGCCACTTTGTTGAGCCATCATTTGAGATAGCCAGGTCGCTTCAGAAAAAAATAAATAACAGTTCAATACATCGTAGAAAACTTGCGTCCACTCGAGCATGAACAAGGTTTGCGTTTGCTGCTGCTGCTGCAGGTCGACCAAGTCAGCGGAGGACCGGGAGCTTGAGACAATGGAAGCCAAGCAGCAGGCACCCCAGCGACTGAAGAGAGGTGCGACTGGTAGAATAGAAAATGGGTATTAGCAGGCCTTGATATAATCGTAGCCCTGTTGCCCTTCCCCTACACCTCCGATTTAGTACGGCTGGCTACGTACGGTGCGAAAGAACTTCTACATGCGTACAACACACAAATGGGGGGGGGGGGGGGGGGGGGGGAGGACGAGGGGGCACATTGGATGTAAGTACAGCTGGGACTGCTCCCTCGGACGTGTGGTTATAAATCGCTTCTGCTACAAGTGACAACATTTTTGGACCTATACAATCCGTAGTTTTTACAAGTCGCAGTGGCCATTTGTGTTTGTGCCTGTGAATAATTGCTAGAATTGTACAAAGATAAAAAAAACGTTAGTGTGTGCAAGTCTGCAGTTTATGCAATTCCATAATCGAATGATGATGATGGTTTAAATAAATTGAAAGTGATATTGCAGGAATGTTTTCGGGCTCTCTGCATTAACGCGCCTTGTTCTTGAACGTCTCCTTAAGAAGACGATCAGGATTTTGAGCTGGAAGGAACATCTTCTGTCGTATCGAAATGGCAACATTTACAAGGGTATAGTAAGGAAAATGAGAGGAGACGTTAACATGGGGTGGGGAATAAAAATGTCCTCACCCTGTGTCTTTCGATGACGTCCACAGTTTCTACATTCACCTTCCGCACGGATCAACGGGCGAAGGCGAGCGATCAGGTTGGCGAGCCGTATCAGCACGTTGACTTCATTGCCAACCTCCGCAAATCATCGGCCGCTTCCCCGGTACGTGTACCGCGGCCCTGAGAGCCTCCCTGCCCCCCCCCCCCGTCCTTGTGTGTGCATAGTGACAACCAAATTGTCTTTGCCCCTGAAGCTCCTTGCCCCTTCGAGGTCAGGACTTGTGTGGCGCTACAAATCTTTAAATCTCAACTAAAAATGCATCCGTTTAAAATGGCATTCTCTCGTTCTTTTCAAACGTCTTTCTCACTTCTTTCTTTGGTTGATGTTAAACTATTTCTGCCTTTCCATGCATAGCGCCCTGAGAACAATTGTTTACGGATGCTTTATACTTTTAAATTATTATGTGATCTGTCGATGGGTCCATCACTTGGTATGTAACGATTGATGGAAATCTTATTCTTATTGTAACGTTACATAAACGCGTTGAATCTCGCGTAATAAGATGAAGCTGCGAGTGAGGCTTGGCTACAGGTGAGAGTCTGTTTGTTTGTGGCAATCGAGTCGCGCCAGATGGGCAAAGCATGCCCGGTCACAAGCGTACGGTAAAACCTCTCGAAGCTGTACAAAAGTAACGAGAGAATGGGGAACCTTTTTTTCCTGCTGCCTGCGGTACAATTTTTACGCAAAACCGTTTTTTTGTTCATATTGAAAAACTTGGTTTTATATTTGGGGAGTTTGGGGCGTGAGAGTTTTCGTTCACGTGGGGTTAAACATGACTTGCACATGTTGTTTGGCAGCAACCACATTGACACAACGCAGTCCCTTCTGCCACGATAAGAGGTCCCGACAGTGACGGGAGTCAGGGGCGGAGCCAGGGGGAGGTAACAGGGGTGACATTCTGCGTATAAGTGTACGACACTCGGTCTGGCGAACTCCGTGCAACTGCATTGTCAGAGTGTGTCGCCAACCGATGGCGTGTAGTTCAACAGCCTGACTCTCTAATCATTCTTGAAATTAACACTTGTTGAATGTCACCCCGGCCTGAAATCTTGGCTCTGCCCCTGACGGGAGTGATTGAGCTCGATAAGACGATGAACATGGCTGTCGCTAGTTCTAAAGGATTCCCCCTCCAGCACCGCTTTTTTAGCGTGGGGTTTTTGATGCTTGCAGTGTTGACGGATAATTGTCACTCGCGGGTCGTTTCTAAGAAATGGTGCAACCGATGTGGCTGTGTGCCGTATTCATATGAAATACGGTTGATCATCAATTATCCGTCTTCCAAACAGAGGAAGAAGGCTCAGCCCAACATAACAGTGATCCAGCCGTTCAAATTGATGACTCGTGGGAGCAAGCGCAAGTTTGAAGAGGCGCTGCAGAGTGGCAGGTTGATCAGCCATCCCACGAAGGGCACTGCATCATTCAAGAGCATGGCGGAGCAGCTGCTGGAGTTTGAGCGGCGCACGCCGCAGAGGTTCCACCTGCGTAGCCGCATGGCTTTAGAGAAAGGTACGTCTGCAATGTTTACCCGGCAACCAATTTAAAACTTTTTTTTTATTTTACCAGGTAAGGCCCACTGAGCTGTGTTTTTTATATATATAGCTCTTGTTCAGAAGCGACCTGGCCACAAATGATAGCTCAACCGACGTGGCTTATCGTGTGGAAATGCATGCCTTGACGCGTGTTGATTAACAAGGAGGGGAAAAAACTGGAGGACCCCAGTGGGAAAAAAATCCACGCGACCACGGGGATAGCACGCAAGCTCTGAAATATACAGCGGGTGTCCGGGTCGATATCGGACCCACGACCTGTATACCAGGGGAGGTAGTTAACATCTCACCAACGTGGCGCCCACACCATAGACCGTGAGCCCAGACCAGATGTTCCACCTTTTCGGTACCTCCTCAGGGTGGCATACATTTAGCGGTTCTAATTTGTTTTTAGTGCTAACAGTTTTGAAATTTGCGGGTGATGAAGTAATTCGCTCTTCTTAGCTGTGTAACTAAATGAATACGCCGAAATGCTTTTGCTTCCTGCGGTGGTACCAATTTCTGCTCGGGCCTATGGACTATCCACTCGCAATGCCCTTTTTGTTAACGTGAGGATTTGGAAGTGTCTTGGAAGCTGGAGCAGTGCAGTCCTACCACACTGATGAAGAATCCATTGCTGCCAACTCCCCTCCCCTTGTGGAAATGCGAAATATGGCTCTGTATCCCAGAATCTCCACCATGAGTTGGGAAGTTATTGAGCAAATCTATGTTCTGCTGTATATTGTAGCAAGTTAGCGTGTAACAGATCATAAATCAAAGTGACACTTTTATTTTTACTCCAGTTGGTTGGCTTAAACATTGCCCATCCCGATAGTGGTATTGCAGCCTTTGATAAGAAAGCGGTGAGTAAAAGGGGCCAGTTGAAGGCCGACGGTACAAACCGATTCTGTGGGATGCTGTACAAATTGGCGTGACTTTGGCATGAACGTTGCTTCACTGGTCCGCCACCCCCTCTCCCAAGGTCCTTCTCCGATAGCAGCCCGGCCAGACTCCTGCACGATGCCCATGACGCCGCGCCTGGTGACGCGCACGCGCCACCGGTCCCCCAAGTGCAAGAGCAGTGCGCAGCTGGAACAGGAGGAGCTGGAGCGCATCCAAGCGTGAGTGCCGGGGGCCAGTCAAAGCACTGCCGTGCCCTTGCGGCACGCACGGGCTGTCGCTGGACGGGAGTGCAGGAAGGGGGCCTGTGTGCAACCTTTTATGGAGTGCAGGGTGCATTGGGCAGAGTGACTTTGAAACTTTGCAAGCGTGACGGTCACGGTTGCGAATACGGTGTGGTGAACGGCTCGCCGAGTGTATCCGCTGGTGCCCGCGGGCTTTTAAAGTTGTGCACCGCTGGTGCAGTGCGTCGCTGCGACTAAGCATCTTAATGCAGTAGTGCGCACCGACTCGTTTAACTGGCCCTGCGTTGGATGCGTTTGATTACCTTCGGTGCGGAGTTGTGTCGCATCGCCACAAACTTTCCACGTAATTTCTAGATTTGAGGCTTTCGTGACTGCAAGGATTCATACTTTTTTTTTTTCGGTAAAGTCACGTAGGTAAATTAAAATAAAACAATTGAATCACGACGTTTCGGAGGCAACACAAGCTTCCGTCTTCAGGTGCAACAGTCGCAGCAAGATCGCTGCTTGATGCAGCTGCTTGATGCAACGATCTTGCTGTGACTGTTCCACCTGAAGACGGAAGCTTGTGTGGCCTCCGAAACGTCGTGATTTAATTGTTTTCTTTTAATTTACTTTATTTTCCACATCAACTTTGGCGTATCGCGCGGTGGTGTAAGAACCGTTGTCGTGCACACCCCCACGCTGCTTGTCTGAGCGCAGCAAGACGCTAGCGTGTGTGTGTGTGTGTGTGGAATACTCGAGGCGCCCGTCCGTTCAGAGCTGCACAAAAAAAGACGGTCGCTGCATTGCCGCGCTTTCGGAGGGCGCTTCCGCGGCCGTCTGGATTGCTCTTCCGATATTAGGAGGCCACTGGAGCTGCACACTTTTAAATCATCCCTTTTTGTGTTAGTTTGTCCTCCCCCACCACCACCTCCGATTAGCGCGGTCGGCTATGTACGGCGCGAAAATAAGAAGTTCCAACGTGCGTACAAACTGGAGATGGCGTGCGCTCCGCAGGCACCAGTTCAAGGCACAAAAGTTGGACCCCCATCTGCTGGAGCCGGGCTCTGTGGCCATCGGACGCTGTCGCTCGCACGAGGGCGCCCGCCTGGCGGCGGAGACTGAGCAGCGCGTGCGCGAGCGCACGGAGGAGCGTCTGCGGCGCGAGGAGGAGGAGCGCCTAAAGGAGCGCGCCACGCACGAGTTCCACGCTCGCCCACTGCCCGTCGCCATCCTGGAGCAAGTGTCGGTGCGGGACCACGTGCCCTCCCGCCGCTACCACTAAGACGACAGATCCTATCTCCCCCCCCCCCCCCCCCCCCCCCCAGTGTAGCCTTTACGCAGCCTTTTTTGGGGCAAGTGCTGTCGACGAGCACCTAATGAAGGCCAACATTGGTGCATGGTGGGGGGGGTGGGGGTGGGGGTTTCTGGCACCGCACCCGGCCGCCTTCGTCTCCCTAGTTGCAACGTTTGCTGCATCGCCCAAGGTTTTGATTTAAGGCCACGGGCAAATCGCTGACATTGGCCGCGATCGTGAATCGAATTCGATTTATTCTGGGTTCGTGGTGCCGGGCTGGTTGCCCCCACGATACTGCCGTTCCCCTCGGCAGCCTGGGAATACTTTACAGGGAGGGGGCGGGGGAGGGGGGGGGGTCTTTGGTCTTTTTGACCACCACACACACACGCACACAACCCCAAGTAATAATCGGTCAAATTTTAAAAAACCTTTTTCTGACATGTTTAACCACCCCGCAACTGCCTCGTGTGTTTTGTTCTTCGAGAGATCAGGACTGCATTTTGGCATTTGGTGTCACGAAATTGAATGTTTGGAGATTATTCCAAAAGCACAATTGAGAGAAATTGTAGGCCGCACAGAGGGAGGCCTAAGACCGCGTGGGACAGTAGCATGGCGAGCGCTAGCGTGTTTTCTGCTTGTTTTTGGCAAACGTGGTTCGGGCCCAGTGGTTAACCATGGCTTGTACTGCAGGTACATTAACCAAACAATTTTCGTACGATTGACTAAGAGAAAGAAGTTCAGCATACAGTATAAGCATGTGTACTGCTCGTAGACTCAACACTGCCCATAGACTCAACACTGCAGCTCCGATTGGCACGGTGCAAAAGACGTTCTACGTACGTGCAGTTGTCACGTTTGACGTTAAAAAAAAATTCCCATGAGATTTTTCTAAAATGTGCAAGCTGCGTGTGCTGGCGTCTGTCCAAATTTTTAAATCCCTCGCATTACCTAATTGGGTTAAGGCGCACAACAACTTTTCCTCTTACCGTGAAACTGCGCTAGAAACAATGGCGCAAATTCCAGATGTACTCATTTAATTTGCGAGGACTGCAATTTAAATACATATCGCACTTTTACACGTATTTACAGATCACTCCTGTAAAATCAAACGGTTCTGTGGAGCCTATATTTGAGGTTGTCCATTGATTCCACTGCCCAAATCTTAAACATTACGGATTATGAACGGAGCATTGTGGGTTTCCTTAGTGCCACAATGGTGCACTTTTCTCCATCGGGCCGCACGGGGAAGCCGCTTTTGGCCACGAGTTGCAGAAATCCCCCGTGGGAGCTTCGCAAGCGGCATCTTGTGTGCCGTGTTAATTCACCTCCCTTGTGTGTTGCTGAAAATAAGGACGCGAGATACGACTTGTGTAATCTGGACACCGCCCGCAAAATCTCCTTGCGGAACGATTGCTCGGTCGTCGTCTTCCGTTGCTGGAACTTGCGCTCGGCTCCGTGCTGCGGGTGATGTGTTACGTTTCCGTGTCTTGTGCAGGGAGTGCCAGAGAAGGCGACCCTACCCATGACCGTCCCGGAGTCCCCGGCTTTTGCTCTCAAGCAGCGTGCGCTCACCCGCAAGGACTTGACGGTACTCCCTTTGTTTTTGACCTGTGCTTTTGAGTTATCTTGGCTACTAACGCATATCGCCACCGCACCTTCTCCCCGTGGTCGTGTGGATTTTCCTTCGGGTCTATTTTTGTTATTTGAGCAGATAACGCCCACTGAGCTATATAGCTCGTTTTTCAGAAGCAACCTGGCCACAAATGATTGCTCAACGAAAGTGGCTTATCACGTGGACATGTCTAGCAGCCAAATACTCTTTTAAAGTGCATGTTGATTTTAAATGTGGAGGGAGAAACCAAAGGACCCAGAGAAAAATCCAAGCAGCGTTTGGATACCGAGGGACCTGTGTTTTTTCTCCAGGTCGTGCCGCTGACCGCACTTGCCCCAACAGTCTTGTTAAGGCTACACGGTGGGGGGGGGGGGTGTGGGAATCTTTGTCAATTCCAGCAGGTGGAGGCGCCTCGACCTGTGACCAGAGCCAACCCGATGCCGCAATTCGGGATACCCTTCCAGCCCCGGCCAGAGATGCGCAAGGTGGAGCCCGAGCCCTTCTCCTTCGACGCTCGCGACCAGGAGCGGGCCGAGCGGCGTGAGCGTCGCATTCAGGAGATCCGCCAGCTGGAGGATCAGGTGCGGTGGGTGGTGGGTGGGTGGTTGGTTGGGAGGGTGGGGGGGGCGGTCAAGTGAGAGGATGTGCCTGTGGATTTGCCCGTGGGATTGCATGGACACGTCTACCCGTTTTATGTGTACCCATTTTGTGGCACTGTGTACTGCTTGTCTAACTTGGGTACACGTGTGTACAGGAAGTACTTGTGCGTAACTCGGGTACACGTGTGTACAAGTGTGACTGGGTTACAGACAAAAGATGTACAGTGTGCCTCAAAGACCAATTGGGTTTGTATTTTGAAAATGGTTGCTTGGCAATGACACAAAAACAACAACAGTTAAATACTCTTTGGTTCTTTCGGTAAAGTCACGGAGATAGAAAATTAATAGATCACGACATTTCGATCGCAACATAAGCGACCATGTTGTGTTGCTATCGAAACGTCGTGATCTATTATTATTTTTTCTTCTACCTACGTGACTTTACCGAAAGAACCAAATAGTGGATTCCTGCGGTCACGAAAGCTTCAAATCAACACTGTTAAAGTTATAATAGAAAGGCGTTGACACTTGTAAAATAAGCAAGGTTGTAAGAGCTTGGGTAAAGAGTTAAGGAAAGTAGATGGGCTTGGGCACAGCGCTTGAAGAGACGATGACCGCCCCCGCCGGTGGTCCGGAATGGTGACGGAGTAGCGGACAAGGAGCGGAACCGTGTTCGTGAGGACGTCGAGAGAGGGCGTTGGGAGCGATTACATCGGCTTAACTGTGTTCGCAGCGGTTGCTGCTGTCAAATATTACATCACAGAACCGAATCGGAGAGAACTTGGTCCAGCAGTGGATTGACCACGGCTGATGACGACTTGAATTGGAATGAGCTCGTATTGCTGATTTTTGTTCTGACACGTTTTGGCAATGTGGTGTGTGTGTGCGTGCGCGCGCGTGTGTGACGTGCAGGGTTGGGGGGAGCGGTAGTAGTGGAGCGGTTAGCCCTGCACTACATATCCAGCGACCAGAGTTTGATTCCCACTCACGGTCAAAACCAGTGACGATTATCCAAACCGGTCCTGGGCCTCCGCTAGGTCGACTTGGCCTCAAATCAATACCTCGTGCGGTGTGTAAACATCGCCAGGCGACCGGGCGTGGTGTTGGCCACCCACCCACCTCGTGTGCCGTACCGGCCTTCGTAGGTGCTCCTCGCTAACAGGACTAGCCCCAACAGTCTGTTAAGGCTACATGGGGGGTGTGTTCATCTTTGTGCCACAGGTCCCCCAGTTCAAGGCACAGCCCGTGCCCGACCTGGATCATGTGACCCTGCCAGAAAAGCACTTGCGACCGCTCACCCAGCAAGAGCCTTTCCACCTGCGCGTCGACGAGCGTGGCTCCATCAAGACCGAGCAGTTCAACAAGAAGGTGACTCGCTGCACGCCCAGAGTGCATCTCGGGAATGTCTCGCTGGACGTTTGAGTTGCACCACACACAGAGCACCCGTTTACATAATTGAACACGGCGACTGGGGGGGGGGGTGCGGGCACTTGGATATGGCATGGGGTCACCCTTGCATTGCAACAGTGGCGAGATGTTAACTGCCTCGCCTGGTATGCAAGAGGTCGTGGGTTCGATCCCGACGCCTGCTGTTTATTTGGAGTTTGCTTGTCTCTCCCCCCTCCCCGTGGTCACGTGGATTTTTTCTCCGAGTCCTCCGGTTTTTCCCCTCCACATTTTAGAAACGACGTGCGTTTTTGATTATTTGGCTGCTTTAAATTTCCACATGATGATGAGCCTCTTGGTTGAGCTATCATTTGTGGCCAGGTCGCTTCTGAAAAAGAGCTACATAGCTCAGTGGGGCCTTGCCTGGTAAAATAAAAAAATATTTGTAGTTGTAAAGTTTATAGTTACAGTGCATGCCATTGGTGCGTGGTCATGATGGACGTTATAAGAATAGGTTTTACCATTTTTTTTCTAGCTATAAAACATGTGAAAACACCAAACGGACACCTTTTGCAAGGAATCCTGTCTGCATTAACCACACATGCTTGTGGTGAACATGCAAAAAAACATGCTTCCAATGCTCTGATAATGCGTTGTCATGTGCTATTAAATTTTTTGGTGTTCTATTGGTCTAACACGTTGAGACTAGGCTCTAAAGAAAGTCTCTGGTGTGGACCAGTCAGTTTCAAGGACAATATATATTCTCGATTTGAAGTTTTCGTGACTGCACTGATCTTTGGTTCTTTCGGCTAAAGTCACGTAGGTAAAAATAAAATATTAATCAAATCACGACGTTTCGGAAGCAGCACAAGCTTCCGTCATCAGGCGGGACAAGCACAGCTAATGTTTCTTTTTTTTTTTTGACCCACTACAGAACTTTTTTTTTGCTGTGGTTGTCCCGCCTGATGACGGAAGCTTGCGTTGCTTCCGAAACGTCGCGATTTGATTAAATTTCATTTTTACCTACGTGACTTGACCGAAAGAACCAAAGAGCTCAATGTATATATTATCGTGTCTAAATTGGCGGACGTGCGCGCGCATGCGCGCGTGTTTTTTTTCCGCTTACCCGTGTGTGAATGGAGCAGTTAAAGGAGGAGGAGGAGCAAATGAAGGAGCACGCCACGTTCCGCGCCCGTCCGTGCCGTGTGACCACCACCGCGCCCTTTGTGGCGCAACGTCATCCCCGCATCCTCACCTGTGAGTTGACGCGGAGCGCTCGGTCTTGGCGGCGCGTCGTCAGAACGTTCTCTGGTTGCACTGGACGTCTGCAATAATAATAATAATAATAATTTAAAAAAGCCCCGTGGCCCATCGGATTCCTCCAGTATAAATAAATATTCTGATTCTCCGCAGTCGTGCCCCGATTTTACGTCTTCCCCCATTAGCGCTCTGAGAACGATTGTTTAAGGGAGCTTTGTGAATTTAAATTATTACTAATCCGTCATGTCGCAAATACGTTGTCGCGTTGTTATTAACACCGCGGCCCGGTTTTTGCGTCGCTGATACGGCACCGTCCGTCCTTTCTCGTTATCCGTCGCCTCTCAGCCTTCGCCTCCACCACCACCACCACCAACCCACTACTACCCCCGTACATCGCTTTGATTTAACGTCGCTCCGATATTCGTCGTCGCATCTTTCCGGAACGCATATCCTCCCCACCCCGACGTCAACCGGCTATTGCCGTGCTGCATTACTTGGGGTTAAAATGTGAACATATTTGCGGGTTTTCAAAGTGTCCAATTTGCAAAGCTCTCGACCAGTGATGGTGTGTCCTTGTACGGTGCGAAAGAAGTTAATCGCACATCCCTAGACAAAAGATCCCGCCGTACAGCCTTGACAGACTGTTGGAGCAAGTGCTGTTAGTGAGCACCTATGAAGGCTGGCACAACACGAGAGGGGGGGGTGGGTGGCCAGCACCACCCCCCGGCCACCTTTGTCCCCCTAGTAGCGATGTTTACGCACTGCACTAAGTACAAATTTGAGGCCGAGTCTACCTAGGGGGGGGGGGGGGGTGGTCCCAGGGACCGGTTCAGATATTCGTCACCGGTATTGTTGTCCACGAGCGGTAATCGAACTCTGATCGCCGCGTTCGGAGCGCGGCGCACCCAACCGCTCCGCGCACACACGCACACACACGCACACACACGCGCGTGCATCGACACATTCCGAACGCGTGCTTGTGGCGCAGCAGGTGTGGAGAACGTGGAGCTGAACACGGTACGGCGTGCCCGCGAGCGTGCCGAGTACGACGCCCAGCTCGCCGAGCAACGCCGGCTGAACGAAGCCGCGTGGGAGCAGCGGCTGCAGGAGCAGGCGGAGGCGGAGCGCCAGATGATCCTGCAGCAGCGCAAAGAAGTTGTACGGCTGCTGCCCCCGCCCCGTGCACCGCACCCCCCACCCCACCCCAAAAAAAGACAAAGATCCCCTGTATAGCCTGTAACAGACTGTTGGGGCAAGTGCTGTTAACGAGCACCCATGAAGGCCAGAAAGGTGTACGAGGCGGTGGGTGGCCAGCACCACGCCCGGCCACCTTTGTCTTCCCAGTGGCGATGTTTACACACCGCACCTGGTACTCATTTGAGGCCGAGTCGACCTAGGGGGGAGGCCCAGGACCAGTTCAGATCATCGTTGCTGATTTTGGCCGTGAGCGGGAATCGAACTCGGGCCGCTGTGCTTGTCGCGCAGTGTGCTAACCACTACACTACCCACCCCCCCCCGACACACACGCAAAGACAAAGATCCTGTCTAGCCTCAACTGACTTTTGGTGCAAGTGCAGTTAGCGAATCGCACCTTCGGAGGGCTGGCACGGCATATGGAGGGGGTGGGTGGCCATCACCAGGCCCAGTTGCCTTGGTCCCTGAGTGGCGATGTTTACACATCGCACTGGGGTACTCATTTGAGGCTGAGTCGACCTAGGGGAATGCCATGACCGGATCAAATAATCTTCACCGGTATTGGCCGTTATCGGGAGTCGAACTCGGATTCGTGGCGCGGCACGCTAACCGCTGCACCACCGTCCCAACACACCTCCAAAGAGCACGGTTGGCCACGTACCGTGCGAAAGAAGTTTAACATGCAGTGCGTACGCACTGGGCGGAGATGGCGAAGGCGTTGCCTACAAAACCCGCATGTCGTACCGTGTTCTCTGGATTGAGAGTCACACTTTTTCAGAAATGACGCGTTGCCTTCATCTGCCCCCTCCTCCCTCAGGTGCACAAAGCCAACCCGGTTCGCCACTACAAGGGTGTGGTGATACAGCAGAGCAGTCGTCCTCTCACCAATCCGCGCTCGCCATGCTTCTCCGATCGCTTTGGCTTGTGATGGCTGGGCCCCGAACGGTCCGGTTAACTTGCCGGACCTGCCCGCACCTGTGTGGTGGCGTGATGGTGAAAGCCTCCTTCCGTCTGTCGGTGCAGTCTTACAGATCGACGGCAACGTTCAAGTCGCCGACATAAAAATACCCCCGGCAAGTTGGTTAAGCGAACGGTGAGTAAACTAAACATAGCTCCCATAAGCCATTGGGTTTTATAAAGTGATACTAGCTTCCGTGTGCGCTCGGTAACGAGAGCAGCGTAGCACCGTTAAAGTATTGTTTTAAACGTTTTGAAGAGGCTATTTCTGCCCACTTGATGATTTCTTGCGTTATATGCCTCACTTTGTTTCTTGAGTGGCTGTAGTAAAAATATGCTAAAACAAGTAATTTCTGTGTCTCCATACATCTACCGTATCAGATTTCATTACCCACTTTGGCAACGTTCCCCGAAACTGTATGATTGGAACCATGGTATATATAGATGCCTCGATTTAAGCCAGATGCTGCATGGGTTAGGTAGAGCATGCTGGCAGTTGGATATCACGTAACTTTTAAAACCAACTTGTGCGAGTTTTTAGTTGACGGTGCGGGCAGTTAAGTACCTTGGGAGTGGAAATACTCGGTGGATAGAGATGAGGAAACCTCAGCAGTATTGTATTTGGTCGGCTTCCCACGTGGTCAGATTCTTATTTTATGATGGAGTGAATTTAAAAATGTTAAGAAGTTTTAATTGATTGTTTGCTTCCCTAGGTCTAACTAGAAGCTCGATCGTACTGGGAAATAGTCTTCACAACGTGGCTTTGCTCAAATTTTCAAATCGGAACTGTTGAGGCTTCTTCAATGTGATCATCTTCTTGAACTTGATGTTGTTGCTAAGCTGGCATTCGCTATGTAACACGATTTGTGTTCTTGGGTAGTGAGTGTTATTTTCTAATTGCTTATGCCTTCACATGAAGTTTGTGGGGGAATAATAGCTATTTTCTGTACTTTTGAAGCATAAGCAATTAGAAATGAACACTACCGAGGAACAACTTTCATTGTTGCACTGAATTATCGAAGTAAAGACGCAAAGAGTGGGAGCCCACTTGTTCGAAGTGAATGCAGCTTAGGTGCGTTGGTGAAAACTAGCGCGTTACGAGTGAATTTAATTTGCTTTGCAGTCGGTTAACAGCAATGTGGGGGATTGTTTTATCTTTAGGCTTCTCCGGGTGGAAATGGTATTGACATTTGGGATGTTTGTAAATTCACTGCAAGGGTACATTGAAAGGTTGAACATTTGTCACATTTTTCTTATCTTTAGTTCAAATTATAACCCGTTGCCTTTAACGCCGCTTTTGTGTACAATAAAACTGTTTTCCAATTACAAAATTGTCACCTGTGTGCGTGTGTATGTGTTGTACAACAAAGAGCTGATAATAAAGATCAATTTGAAATGTGTGAAATTAGCGGTAGCCAGGATTTTTACTGATCTGTCATCCACAAGAGGTTTTTTTTTTTGGGGGGGGGGAGAGATTGTGTAAATGTGTCGTTAAACCCGCCACCACCCAACAGACAATGAGGTTTGTTCACGTAAACAAAACGTGCCCACTGAGTTGCTACTTCCATAATAGAGGGGGGATTTTTGGGGGGGTTAGATTGTGTAAATGTGTCTTTAAACCCACCACCACCCGACAGCCAATCAGCAAGGGTTGTCACGTAAACGGAACATGCCAATTCGTTACTAGTTCAGCACACCGGTGTGTTGGAGAGTAAATGCACAACATTTACAAATTCGTGTTCCGGGACATTTCCATCTTGTCAATGTGGCCCAGAGGAGGTATCCAACAACAATCAGAATTCGCATGTTGACGAAATAGTTAAATTGTGTCGATTCAAGTATTATCGCCAATAATGGGACATCTCATCGGTGATGCGATGTTTGACTGACAAGTGCATTTAGTCGAAAGCAGTGGTTCTTAAACTGGGGTGCACGCTGCACTCCCTGGGGGTGTGAGATGCCCTTTGTGGGGGGTGCGAGACATGGGTAGATTTTTTTAGGGTAAACAAAAACAAATTGAGCATGGGCACGTAAACACAACTTTGTTTTATCAAGCCCAATGCGTTTAAAATTGTAAAAAGTATATATGAAAGAGGTGCAAGGCTGCAGGAAAGGTTAAAAACCACTGGTATAGACAGACATGGTATATACTGTAGACACTATACAGCAGTGGTTCTTAATCTGGGGTACACGCACCCCCAGATGTCATCTACAACCTCTTGGTCGCCAAAGACCCCTGCCGTCCTGCCTCGAGCCGCTCGCAGAATCCGTGTGATGCCAGCGAGTGCTGCTACGAGGCAGTGGTAGGCAAGGTTTTTCGTCATCCGACTCGGCGTCCGTGTGACGCCGTGAGTACAGCCGTGTGAGGTACGTGATAGGGCATGTGCGTACTGGGGGACTTGGATAGCAGTAAGCTAGGCTCCGCTCACACAATATTCCCTCTGGGCAGTGTAGGGTTAGCACAGAGCATCGGTGCGGTGTCTGCGATTTGTGTGTGGAGCGGCTGTGTCGGCGGACGCGCGGCAAGAGGGCAAATCCACAGCACGAGCGCGCGTTGAGATAATCGCCTGCAGGTGTGCGCGTTTGCGCAGCTGCTTGAGCGCCATGAAAACACCCTCTAGGGACGAGTGTTCGTTCCGTGGAACCCATTGGCACCTCCCGATGAGCACCGTTGGCGAGGCACGGCGCGAGAGAAATTCAACGTACGCATACATACACGCCCACGTGTCAATGAGTCCGTGCATTGTTCTTCAGCTCTGCCCAGCCTAGTAAGTAGGGAGCTCCTTGGGTTCAACATCGACCCTTGATGGCCAGCTGTAGATTTCGAGTTTGCGTGTCTCTCTCCGTGGTCGGGTGGATTTTTTTCCGGGCCCTCCGGTTTTTTTGTACACATTTAGAATATCTACGTGTGTTTAAGAGTATTTGGCTGCGATAAATGTCCACAAGATAAGCCACTTAATATCGAGCTGTCATTTGTGATGGCCAGGTCGCTTCTGAAAAAGAGCTGCAACGCTCCATTTGCACCTTAACCTGGTAAAATAAAAAGTTAAAACAGTTCTACAGTTTAAGTGACGGTCTTTTACAGACTGGACACAGGAGAGGCTCCCTTTGCGCTCAGCAAGCTGCTGAGGTTCAGGCACAACACTTCTCAGTTTTTGAACTTTGGGAGAGTTATTTTTATTATATTTTTTTCATTGCAGAGGCTGTAAGGGCCTAACAATGCAAAAGTGGTCAAAACATGAAATGAACATTTCAAAAAAGAAAGCAAATTATAGCATCTCTCATTACGTGTCAATGTTATACATAATTAGTGGGTACATATTGAGGTGGCACGATATATTTAAAGCAGATTGCCAGTGTAAAAGTTCGTATCGCGTTTAGAAACGGATTGGCACAGCAGCACGGCACTGCGCCAGGGCTAACCCTCTGCCGTCAAGTCCGTGTGAACGACTCCGTTATATCCTTCATCACGCGATCACCATCGCCACCACCTCTTTTGCCCCAATCTAAAAAAAAAGAGTAACGTTCATTATCTTGCGTATAAAAAGTTAACGTCTCCCCACAAACTATAACGAATCACACCCAGGCCTTTCCTTTTCATAAGGTAAAACATCGCAAGGGCACTCCGCCTGGTTAAATTAAACACTGCTTTGGCTTTTCTAGGACCAAACCAGGGGTTGTTTCAGTCACGATTTCACAAAATCGTATTCGACAGCATTTGGGCGGTGACATCCTGCGAGTGAATTGCTAAAGTTATGCAACTGCTGGATACGTTTCCAGCAAGTTTGTATAAATGCAGAGTGTTTAAAAATGTTTTTACACCTCTGAGAATTTGCAACAACACCACGAAAAATGTGTCGCCTTCAGGCTCTGAAGACCACCTGGTGAAGATGCCAGGCACGTGTTGACAATGATGGAGAACAAGTGGTGACTGACTTTTTGAAGCAATTAACATACATTTGTTATCATGTTACAGTGTATTATCTGTTCGTTTTCCATTAAAAACGATAGTCCCCATGTCAGTGTTAACATTTTTTTAAGCACCCTGTGTTTATAGAATTTGGGCGAGATGACAAGAGGGAGGTAGAAAATAACACGAAAGGTTGGTCAGCATTTAACTTTTGAGCGCTTCAAGATGAAATGGCCAAATCATTAACGCTCCTCCGAAGGAAGGCAGTAAGTCTGCAGGAGGCTCCACAAAACTACTTCCGTGGGTACATGGAACCAGGCCAGAGCAATGGAGCTGCCCATGTCTATAACATTAGAGAGCTTTCCCACTTGTTATTTCTTGTAAACACACGAGGACAACACAAGTGCGTGCACAAAATGAGCAAAATGTTTTGACAAATAATCCATTTAAATTACATTTTTAATGAACAAAAATTTGGCAGGAGCCCATTTCACTAGTCCTGCTTAAAGATTCTGGAAATGGCGATCCAATTTTGCATTTACTAAATGAAACCCCATCGTTGCCAATGTGTTACAGTGTGATGAAGAGTCCCCTGTTCAACTTCCAACAAAATGCAGCTCAAGAGCACGGCTAGGTAGTCAAAAACGTTCTGAGAATGGAATATTCAAGCCACGTACACTCACAGTTATTCCCAATATAGCAACTGCTCACATTGATGCCTAACATAAGTTGGTCCAACTATTTCACTACTGTTCAAGATATCTTTTGACCACCCACTTGTAGCAACACTATTCACAGGAATTAGCCAACCGTCTTGGCCAATGTTATCCAACACTCCCCCCCCCCCACTCCTAGCATTCAAGCATGCCCTACAGAAATCAAACGTTCATATCAAAGAACACAAAAAATGCATACCAGTCCAGGTTGTTAAACGCCGGAGGAGAAACGCACGCCACCCTCGTACGGTGGCGTGCCCACGATGCACAGCGGCCGTCGGTAAGCTAGCGGTGTGGGGGGGTTTCTCCCACGTCGGTTTACCCGGACAACACGATCATTATATATATGTTAGCATGTGTTTCAATTCTTGTCCCTGCACGTTTCCCAGGCGAGGAGGGAGGGAGGGAGGGAAGGGGGAGTGAAATTCATCTTAGACTGGAATTTAACATGAGCGGAGGAGATTCAAAGTTTTGTGCAAACGTCAGTCGGTCTTTTTCTCGACGGCCGGCTTCTCGGATGCGGCCTCGTCGCTCTCATCGACGCCGGCCTTGCTCGCCGCCTCCTCCTCCTCCTCCTCCCCCTCCCGCACCCCCTCCTGCAACGCCTCCTCCTCCTCCCGCACCCCCTCCTGCAACGCCTCCTCCCGGGGCTCCTCCTCTCCGCTCTCGTCGCTCGAGTCATCGTCCGCGGCAAGCGCCCGGCGCTGGCCCCCCGCGCCTCCTGCCCCTGCCTCGTCGTAGTCGCCGTCTGCCGTCCACATCCAGTAGCACATGGTGCTGATGACCCCAAGCGGCAGGCCGAAAAGGACGCAGGCCAGCAGCGGGGACGCCCTGAACACGGACTGCGAGAGACGACGGGCCGGCACACACGGGGCGGACAGGGGGCGTGTGTGTTTGGGAAGGGGATGAGAAAAGACCCGGACAAAAAAAAAAAATCTACCTCGCACACTGCCGCTTGTGCAACCGTGGATTGGAAGGGGGCAGCTACTTTCGAATCAGAATCGGAATCTTTCTTGAGACTGGAAGAATCCGATGAGCCATGAAGCCTTTTTGTTCACAAGATGTCCAGTGGAGGGGGGCGGGTCAGAAAGTTACATCACCAACAAACAATGCCAACACCGATAGAGGTGCAAAGTATAGGAAAGCTAGGCAAGTCACTAAATATATAAAAAAATAGATAAGTTACAAATTGCATGAGTACATCAATTCCAGACGATTTCTCAACACCAAATGTAATATTGGGCAGGGCAGCAAAACAAACAAAAAAACTGTTCCAGACCACACCAGGACAACACACAGCCCACAAATAAAAGTGCACATTAAAATGTAATTATTAAAATTGAACCATTACAAATGAACAATGCCCTGAATGTGCCCAATATTGTCATATCTCAGAAGCACAGCAGAGCCGAGCCCGCTTAACACGTGGATAGGAAAGTGCCGTGAAATATATGCGGTGTTGTAGATTAGGGCTAGCAGGTGACGAGGAGATGGCAGGATAACAGTGGATCTATCGGTCGATCTTCAATCTGTGTGGATGCTTGAGTGTTAGTCCTCATGTGTGCGAGTTTCCTCCCTTCATGCCAAATGCGAATTAATGGAATTGGACAAACATCACAATGTGGGATATTCCTCAAAATAAGTCCTAAGCATCAATGGGGCATTATTTGGTAAACAAAGATAATTATTATCGAAAATATTTCTTATTTTACCAGGTAAGGATCACTGAGCTATATAGCTTTGTTTCAGAAACGACCTGGCCACAAATGAAAGCTCAGCAAAGTGGCTTATTCATGTGAAAATGTATTGCAGACAAATACTCTAAACGTGTGTTTCTAAAAATATGGAGGGAAAAACCAGACGACCCGGAGAAAAATCCACGTGGCCACGGGGCGAGAGGCATGCAAAACTCGAAATATACAGGCGTCGTCAGGTTCTGGATCGATCCCACAAATTCTTGTATACGAGGCGAGGTAGTTAAAATCTCTCCACTGCGGTGCCCTATTAAGTTTGTCATAGTGCGTGGGGGCGGCTGGTCTAAGTAGCACACTTGCTGTCTTTTCATACCTTGTGTTAAAGTTCCCCACCCTAAACCAGGTCCTCATTCACCGTTAAGCCAAATTAGTGGGGAGACTCAATATCGGCTCGGATACTACACGACGCCGATATGTCATCCGCGACAGGGAATCAAAAATCCCAGACGGCGATATCTGTCGGGTATTGCACAAAACCACTGGAAAAGGCTTCACGGAAGAACAGCAACCACCGTTCACCGCTAAGTCGGGGCGAATGGCGGCAAAAATCTGAACCCTGTCTGGGCCTCCTCGAGGTCGACTCAGCCTGAAGATGCCGACACAGGGCTCTGTGTGAGGGAAATGTGAGCATGAGGAAGACAACGTTTTTGCCACCCAATGGTGTGCAAGGTGCTGCTTGTCCATTCAAAGACGCCGCCTTTGTTGGTCGTAATACGCATCTCATGATGCTATGGCTGCAAAGTTTGGTCATACATGTTACGTATATCGTTTATTGTTAAATTGGAAATCACAGTTCCTGTGATCACTGTTACATTGTTTTTAGAGCTTTATTTTGGTGATTTCTAAAAGGTTCTGGTTTAGCCATATTTGTGTGTTGTAGTACACAGAGTTAGACTGGTAACTGTAATCTAAATTGTCTTATGGTTATTGTTTGACTTTGCATCCCACTGGGATTTTTGCACACAGCGGTAAATACGCGGTGCTTTTTCCGGAAGACTTTTGCTGTTTTCGCCTGGATTTTTCTGTTGCGCGTACAGTAGTCACTTTAAGATGTTTTCTTGTTCATGTTTTTGTTTGTTGCGGTTGCACCCGATTCAAGAGCCGAATGACTCACAGGGCTATACCTAATATATGAACTGAAGTGAAGTAGTGGTGCCATCACCACGACACACGTGCGCCCAGGCTCGGGGAGTTTTGCAGCCGATTTGACATCTTCCCTCTCGGTCACCAATATTTGGGTGCCCCACTCCAATGCCTGTCTCAGTTAACCGACCCCCAATATATACATATAATCGGACACAACAATACATGTTATTGATATGTACTGCATAACTGGATTTACATATTACGCATCACTTGCCAATGCTGCATCTCAAACATGATTTAAACTGAGACAAAAAACTGCTGGGACCTAGGACGGCAGTGCATTGGTACGTACGCATGTTCAACTTTTTTCCCACCGTACGTAGCCAACCGTGCTAATCGGAGGCGAGAGGGGGGGGGGGGTAGGCGGTGTAAAATATCTGGGTTCCCTCTTGCCCCTCCACAACTTGGCTGCACTCGCATACAAGCGAGCGTCGACTCGTCCAAACTGGAGGTGATGTGTAGCCCCCTACGATGCAGGCGTTTGGGATGAGACCAAACAGGGTCACTTCGAAGTCCACAAAGATAAAGACAAAGATCCCCCATATAGCCTTAACAGACTGTAGGGGCAAGTGCTGTTATAGTGAGCACCTATGAAGGCCAGAACGGTACACGAGGGGGTGGGTGGCCAGCACCAAGCCCGACCGCCTTTCTCTCCCCAGTGGCGATCTTTTTACACACCGCACCAGGTACTCATCTGAGGCTGAGTCGACCTAGGGGAGGCCCAGGACCGGTTCAGATAATCGTCACCGGTGTTGGCCGTGAGCGGGAATCGAACCCGGGTCGCCAGGTTTGTAGTGCAGCGTAGCGCTAACCGCTACACCACCGCTCTCCACACACACACACACACCCACGTCAAACACAGGTGACCGCTGGATACATGTGCTGTGTGTGCGCGTGCGCATATGGAATGCTGCTTAATACACTCACAGTGATCGTGGCCTTCAGCTCAAACAGCATTCTCTTAATCTTCTGGCCGAGGCCATCCCCTCCATGGGCCTGGTACAAGCAGAGGTTAAATATGCATAGAGAGTATAAAGACACAAAGATAAAGATCCCCCGTATAGCCTTAAGAGGCTGTTGGGGAAAGTGCTGTAGGCGAGCACCTATGAAGGCTGGTACGGTACACGAGGGGGTGGGTGGTCAGCACCACGCCCGGCTGCCTTTGTCTCCCCAGTGGCGATGTTTACACACCACACCAAGTACTCATTTGAGGCTGAGTCGACCTAGGGGAGGCCCAGGACCAGTTAAAATATTCACCACTGTCATTGGTAGTGAGCAGGGATCTAACTCGGGTTGCTGGTTTCGTAGCGCAGCGCACGAACAATTGCGCCACCGCACACACACGTACACACAAAGCCATATCCCCATTGAGATGCCATCAAGCTTAATATGATTATTGAAGGCTGTTTACCACGTACACTGGGTGAAAGCAAAACGACCCAAGTAGTGCTCGCGTTGACCAAATTCTACATTTTTCAGCTGCACGACACAAGGGCGCGTCGCCACGCACGTGGATTTGCTACTCACGGGCACGGAGCCGTCCAGGATGTTGTTGATGAAGCTGAGCAGGTCCTGATTGGAGAGCAGCGGCTCGGTGGGCAGGTAGTACTCCTGGCTCGATGTGTTGAAAACCAGGAGGCTGGGGGCCTCAACGTCACTGCAACAGAGGAACGCAGGGAATGTCACGCTCAGCGTGGCATCACCGCTAGGAGAGGCAAGTATGTACGTGTGTACGTTGAACATCTTTCGCACCGTACGTAGCCAACCGTGCTAATCGGAGGAGCGGGGGGAAGGACAACAAACGAAACACAAAACGCAGTTTAAAAAAAATTAGTTATCAATCTTGAACTAAAAAGTGCCATAGCTCCAGTTAGGCTTCCTAATATTGAAAGGAAGAGCGTTCCAGACGGCCGCAGAAGCGCATATTAAAGCGCGCGATGCCAGTATCAAAAATGATGCTAGAAAGGGTAAAGCCCATTCTTATTCTTTCATCATTTTTATACTGGAAAAAAGGTCCCATAGATATAACTGCTCAACCCGAGCCATTTATACTTTGATACGTGCATTGCCTTTGGACTGTTCTCGCATTTTGGCGTTCAGTTCTCTGGTCTAACACGGGTGAGACAAGGCCATCAAGAAGGCTGTCTCTGGTGCAGGGCAATCTGTGTCAAAGACAACGCATATACTATCAGAGCATGTTTGTTTGCTTGTTTTTTGCCAGAAGAACAGTGTGGTTAACGCAGACTTTATGCATTGAGATAGACGTGTCTATTTGTGTTTGAACATCTTAACACCACCCCTGTTTCACTGCTAGAAAAGGGTAATAATGTAAAGCCTATGCCAACGCTACGGGATGTAGTTTTGGTTGGCTCACCTCATCAGTAGGTTGCTCATGTAGCCCTCTGCCCCGTCCACGTATCCAAACTGGAAATCCCTGCGGGGGGAGGGAGAAGGGAGTACCACGGCCACACACTTGAATCGTAACCTTCGCAAGGCGCTTTGGCGTTTCACATCCGCGGCTCCCACTTGTGCACCCACTTGTGCACGCTTCACGTCTTGCAAATGACCAGACCTGTGCACACAATTGTGGAACCGATTGAAATAGCTCAGGGCATGTGTTTATGTGTATGTAATGGGGAGCGGTAGTGTAGCAGTTAGTGCACTGCGCTACGAACCCGGCGACCCGAGTTCAATTCCCTCTCACGGCCAACACCAGTGGCGATTATCTGAACCAGTCCTCGGCCTCCCCTAGGTCGACTCAGCCTCAAATGAGTACCTGGTGTGGTGTGCAAACATCGCCACGGGGGAGACAAAGGCGGCCGGGCGTGGTGCTGGCCACCCACCCCCTCGTGTGCCGTGCTGGATTGCATAGGTGCTCGCTAACATCACTTGTCCCATCAGTATGTGACATGCTATACGGGGGAGATTTGTCTTTGTTTTTTGTATGAAGTCAACCGTGATAATTAGAATTGCGGGGGGGGGGGGGAACAACAAACTAGAACTGCTCTTTGTGTTTAGTTTATCTTTCTCCCACACCTCCGATTAGCACGGTTGGCTTTGTACAGTGCGAAAGAAGTTCAACATACATGCAAACATACATATTAGGTACCCCGAGCTGTTTCCTTCATTTCCACAGTTATACTAGTTTGACATGACAGTCACTTTGATAAAACAGGATCCTGCCGTGGTGTATTGGCTGTCAAACTCGACAGATCAGTGATAATTAAGCCAGCTTAGACTTAGGACAGTGGCAGGTATTATTCGACTGCAGTGGTGTAGTAGAGCGGGGGGACATGGGTGGTCTCGCAGCTGTGACATGAATGAATGTGCTGGTGATGTGTCCACGTGTGCAATATTACCGATGGAAATGCTCCCTGTATTCATGAGCAACATCTTCCACCAGCTTTTTGAGTCTGTAAAACAAAGACAATGATCCCCCACAAAGCCTTAACAGGCTTTTACACTATGAGACCTCCTTTGCCAGTAGCAAGATATAGTAATAGGTTTTTACCCTTTTATCTGGCACCAAAACTGACACCTTTATACAAGGTATGTTTGCAATAACCACAACACAAGCAGTCAAAATGCAAACAAAAAGAGACAACTCTGATAATGATATGCACCGTCTTTGAAATTGATTGGTCCACACCCGAGACGGCTTTTCTTAGAGCCCAGTCTCCACTGGTGTTGGACCACATGACGCCAAAAGGCATACAACTCAAAAACAGCGCACTATCAGAGTACCTTAACAGGCTATTGGGGGCAAGTGCTGTGAGCGAGCACATGACAGCCGGCACGGCACACAAAGGGGGTGGGTGGTCAGCACCACGCCCAGCCGCCATTGGCTCCCTTAGTGGTGATATTTACACATCGCACCAGTTACTCATTTGAGGATGAGTTGACCCAGGGGGGGAGGCCTAAGACTGGTTGAGTTATTTGTCACAGGTGTTGGCTGTGAGCGGGATCGAACTCGTAATGCAGCACACGCTAGCCACCACACTACTGCTCCCCGCACGCACACACGCGTGGACACGCCCTCGTATGTATGGAGAACTTATTTTGCTTCGTGTATAGCCAACCATGCTAAATCGGAGGTGCAGCCACATGGCCTGACCGCCTATTGTCAATGCACTATCGGCACTGCTGTTTCCTTCCTCACGTAAAATCACTCGCACAACCTGTCCCCCTACTGCTCATGTTAACCACTAGGATAATTACCTCTTGGATGCCTCCTCTTCTCCGTCTCATACGACACCACCATAACTTTCCTCTATTCAGGCCCAAGCACAACTTACCCAACTATTAAGGTCACAGCTACCAGCGCAAGCTAAACATCGCAAGCTTGCAGGGAATGAGCCAAACCTATGTGCCAGCACGGCACTACGCAATACAATTATTCACGTGGCGTACAATAAATGCAACTGCATCCCAGGGGCGAGCCTGCAAAGGCGAACGTTCTCTAAGGCCGCGCTAATGAACGGTCCGAGTGAAGTCAAAAAAGCACAGTGGCACTTCACCTGCTGTGATTTTCTTCGGTGCTCATTGGGTCAACGATAGCCAGGACCACCAACTTGCCTGTGCAAGAGAGAGACAGAGATGACGCGAACATGCAGAGTGTTCATCACGGTGCTTTGGGTGGCCTTAACATGCATCTAGCCTGGCACAGGCGCCGTGGCGACGTCACCGGTCACTTAGTGGCGAATAGCGGGTGTTGTCGCCCTCGGATATCCACATCTCCACAACGCATCGCATGGTTCTCCGTTGTTTATAATCAAAATTTACTGGTCACATACACAGTTAAAGCTGATGTTATAGCGGCATACCGTGTCAACCCATATGGTTTACCCCGTATTCTTGTGCCGGGAAATTGAATTTTCAGGTCCATACGGCGTATAGCCGTTTCAATACAAAAACATGTTTTTGTCTATTTGTGCGTTTCCCCCTTGTGATGGGACTTTGTAGGATGAACGTTGAGATTTATAAGGACACGGGGTGACCAATGAGGTCTCTAATAAGGTAGGCACTGATAAGGGGTTGACAAGTATGCCATCTGAACCCGTGCACGCTCGCATGCCTGAACAAGGATGCACACACCGACTTGCACACGTGCAGAAGCAAATTACAAGTAATTATAAATACGATTTTTTTTATTTTACTCGTTAGACGCTGCACAGAATTCGCTCGCCCTCGAAGAGAGAGAGTGACTCGGGTACAAGAAACCACAAACAGGAGAGACAGCAACCACCTTTTGGGAGCTAGCACCAAATTCCCCCCCCCCCCCAAGCTCTGCGATCCTCTAAATATGAAGGCGTTTATCGGTCAATTATTGAGCGTATATACGTATTGGAGGAAACTGAAGCACCTGGAAAAAAACCCACACAGGTATACGTATATATATGTTGAACTTCTTTTGCACCATACGTAGCCAACCGTGCTAATCGGAGACACGGGGGAAGTATGTACATTGAACTTCTTTCGCACCGTACGTAGCCAACCGTGCTAATTAGCGGAGCGTGCGGGGCGCACACCGCGCGGGCGCGCGGGGCAGGCCCATGCTTCACCTGTGTCGGAGATGGCGTACATGGCGTAGCCGTCGATGGCCTGGAACGTGGGGAAACGTTCCCTCCGCACCCACGTCGCCAGGTCACCGTCGTCGGACTCTGGGCACCGGCAACGACACGCACGACCACCAACCGACCGCTGAACCGTGCGTGCAAAGCGATGAGCGCTCGAGATGACTAGGCCGAGCATTTATATACGCCTCAATCTCAGGGATCGTTCGGGAGTTATCAGCATTTTCAAGACATTACGATAACCTAGGAAGGCTTTCGCGACCAATATTTATCCATAGGAGGTTTTTTTGGGGTTAGATTGTGTAAATACAAATGTGTAGTCAAACCCCCCAACCACCCGACACAGCCAATTAGTAAGGTTTGTTATGCAAACAAAACATGCCAATTCATTACTAATTCAGCACATCAGTGTGTTGGAGAGTGAATCCACAACATTTACAATTCGAGTACGACGTATCGCTGGTAATTACAACCAACCTCATCATGCGACAGTCAGATTTGTGGAGAAAACCTCCTGTTTCGGCCTTATACATCGTAATATTATAATTTAATATTGTATCGTGAAAAACGATTTCATGGCAATATAGTACCTTCTAACATTTCTGTACATTATGCTCGTTTACCCAGAAAAGCCTCTAAGTCTCATTATTCTTTTTCAAGGTTCAAATTGACTAATTTTATTTTTTTTGGCAAATTTGGACAATGACACCGGCACACAGCAGCCGACTCTTGTGAATGACGTCACGGGATCGTTAACGTCAGCTGTAAAGCAGATGGCATGTATTTTTTGGGAAATACAACCCACGGTATTAATCAGGGCGGCCGCTTGATTCGAACCGTGAACCTCCTCGGCGTCAAGCAGCAAACGCGCTGCCGCTGGGCCATTGCACCCGTCATGAGGCTCGGCGTGTGTGTAGTACAGCGGTTAGCACCCTGCACTACGAACCCGGCGATCCGAGTTCGATTCCCGCCCGCGGCCAACACCGGTCGGTGACGATTATCTTAACCAGTCCTGGGCCTCCCATAGGTCAACTCCACATCAAATGAGTACCTGGTGCGGTGTGTAGTAAACATCGCCACTAGGGCGACAAAGGCGGCCGGGCGTGGTTGCTGGCCACCCACCCCCTCGTGTGCCGTGCCGGCCTTCATTAGGTGCTCGCCAGCAGCACAGCCCTAAGTATATATGGGGGACCTTTGTCTTCGTATATCCAGGGCGTTTTTACTTACCATCATACTCGTAATACGTTCCATCCTTGAATACCAAGGCAGCAGGCGCCTCGTGAATGTGCACATTCTGCGCACGCGAGAGAAACGGCGCGTCAGCGGCGTGCGCGTCAACGCCCCCGAAGCGGGATCCCATAGGCATAAGCGCGTGCAATAAGAAGAGCATGCATGGTACCAATTTATTTTCACGTACAGTATTTACCCGGCGAAAGTCTCACCGAGTCATCAAAAGTTAAGGAAAATGCTAGCTCGGAATAGTAAACATTATTTGGCGATGCTGCTGCTGCTGCTGCCGCTGCTGCTGCCGCCGCGTTGGAATTTCCATTGGTAAACGTTGAATGCAATAGGTACACATTACCCCTGCGGCTATGAGAAGAGCGACCGATCAATGTTGAACAGGACTCGATTCTTGAATTGTACGTGACCCTGAATCGTGACAATTCAGTGAACCATTTAACCCATAAGGTGTTTAAGCCGCGTTACAGGTAACCGCGGTGGAGCGGCAGCGCAGTGGTTAGCGGACTGCGCCGGGAACCCAGCGCCACCAATTGTATTCCCTACCACGACTCACATCGGCACGGTTGGCGACGCACGGTTTGAAAGAAGTTCAACATACATACGTAAGTCACAAGTGATATCTGAACCGAACCGATCCTGGTCCACCTCCCCCCCCCGCCCCAATCACTGAAACATCAACAGGCCAATGCGCACGTCATCTTCATAAATGGAAAATTGGAGACAGAGCGACAGTAGCGCAACTGTGGCCATGCAACCAAAATTGTGCACCATGTAGTAAAATTATAAACTAACCTATTTTTTTATTTTACCACGTTAAGGCCCACTGAGATATATGGCTCTTTTTTCAGAAGCGACCTGGCCACGGATGATAACTTAACAAAGTCGCTTATCATGTGGAGATGTATAGCAGCCATATGCTCTTAAACGCATGTCTCTAAATGTGAAGTGAAAAACTGGATGGCCCGGAGAAAAATCCACGCGACCATGGGGAGAGACATGCCCACTCCAAATATACAGACATCGTCAGGGTCAGGGTCGGGGCCGAACCCACGACCTCGTGTATACTAGTCAAGGTAGTTAACATCCCGCCACTGTGGAGGAGGAACAGCACAACGACACGAACTCTCTCTCCTGAAGCCCTCTCTTGTGGTTGGCAGACGTCAACATTGGCATTCAGCTCCCAAACCTATCGCCATCACTCGCAAAAAGATGAAGGCGTAGGCTCGGCAGCAGGATGCGCACGGGTTGGGGGGGAGCGACGCTTACCGCGGGGAGCACTTCCTCCGGCGTGGAGAAGAAGTACGCATTCACAACCATCTCCAGTGCCACCTGCGTGAAGCTTTCCTGCACGCAGACAACGACGCCGCACGGGGCAAATGCGCCACTCACTACGCCGCATCCGATGCGTGTGGATTATGAGTTTTAAAAAAACACCCCATCGTAAAGAGAAAAAAAGCAGTGCAGGCCCGATAAACCGCAGGTTTTAAATGAGACGGATAAATACGCGTACAAAAAAGCAATCGTTTGTGCGCGCAAGTGCAAAAAGACCATTTGGCATATCATGAAGATGTGGATTGTGGAACTTTTGTCTTAGATCACGGTCAAAATAAATGTGAGAATGTGACCGAATAATTAGAACTCATCGGCACGGTATTGTGACCAACTGCTCACTGATGCAAAGTCTGCCTCTGGGAACTATACATGAAGTGCGGTCCCCACATCCGCACAATTGGCTCTGCTAATGCCAACAATAAGTAACATCTGTATGTGATGAGAAAACCCCAACATAACAGAATAATGGTGATAGCCATAAAACAATACGTTTCATACAAGACACGATCAAAGATATAAATTTCCACTGCAGGACAAACCAGTTGAAGTGTAAACTTTAAAGCACCAGAAACTGATCTCCTCCTGCCCTTTTATAATGTTTTTTTCAAATTCTTGGTTCTTTCGGTAAAGTCACGTAGAAAGAAAGAACCCAGAATATGAATCCCTGCAGTCACAAAAGCTTTAAAACGAAATGTTTTTTGCAAGTTACAGGGAACTAAAAATGTAATAGAACGGAGAATATACATAATGTGTTTGTAAAAATACACCAGATCTATACGTCGGAATGCCTCTTTGCAGAAATTAAGTTATAGAAACCGGGATCACGCACACAACGACTAAGAAACGTTTAACCCTAAGTTTACTCAGACAGTGGTTGTAAAACATAGCCCCAGGGTCGCTCACATGGGTCTTGCAGTGACAGGTTAGAAGACAGCACTATTGTTCATAAGAATGCAGCCTGCCAACTTGCAGAGTTTGCTCGAGTGACCCGAGATTCCCAATCTAAACGTACACATCAATACATGAGCACACGTTTGTGTTCGCGCTATTCTTACAGCGCAAGGCTATGGTGAAGGCACCTTTTCCCGCACTTCCGATTCACATGGTTGGCTACGTACGGTGATAAAATTTTTTTAATATATATCCAGCATAAATGTACCTACTGCTCATAGACTCAACAGAACACCATAGACTCAATACAGCCCATAGACTCAATACTGCCCATAGACTCAACACTGCCCATAGAATCAACACTGCACCTACGATTAGCACGGTTGGCTACATACAGTGGCAAAGAAGTTCAACATACAGCACAAACATATATACAAGGCGCTATGTTTCACGGATGAGTATCGTACGCAGTAGCTTCACAGTAGTGGGGGCGATGTTGCTATTTGTATGTATGTAGAACTTCTTTGTCACTGTACGTAGCCAACGATGCTATCCATGTATGTTGAACTTCTTTTGCACAGTACCCAGCCAACCATGCTCATCGGAGGTCCAAGAATTTGGTTATTCCCTATTAATTAATTTGTGAAAATGTATCAAACTTGGCACATTTCAATCGATCTTTATTTTACGTGCCAATATCGCTCCCAATAAAGTGGGCATCGGCGCACATTAACAATGGAACGGGTACGGTACAGGGGGCCATACGGCAACAGGAAAGGAAAAACAAAACCTGTCACGCGCCCCTCAGCGTCATGCCCTCATTTGGACCGCGACGCCGGCACAAATGCCCTACAAGATCTTTAACGCCCACCAAGAAGCAGATGGCGCTAACTTGTTTATTTACCGCGCCCGCGGCTATTAACCAGGGGTGGCCGTGGCGGTCAGAATCTGCGAACCTCTGCAACAAGCAAGCAAATGCGCTGCCAGGTTGGCCAAGTCCATCGCCACTCGCTGCGCTGCGACGCAACCCAAAAAAATATAATAAAAAAACATCACAATGAAGACCCACGTCTCATCTCTCCTGTGTGCTGGACCGCGGAAGAAGCGACGGGGAAACATTCAATATCTCACGAAGGAATCGCGTTGTCACAGCAACGCAATCCCCGCGTGCGTCCTCTCCCTTAGCCCTGGCATGGCATTGCCAGGGTTGTCACGCAGCCGGCAAATACAGATGGGGATTTTGACGTCGCTTCAAGTCTTGCCGTGGAGCTACGCTGGAGAATAAGCGGCTAGGGAGCCCCCGTCGATTGCGTGCGTCTCCGACGGAGCTCAACATGGTCACCGAAGTACATCGCGCAACACATTGAGGTACGCCACGGTAACGGCGATTCACTTCCCGTATACATCATCTGCATTTCAAGTTCAAGATCATCATACGCACGTATGAATTGCAGATCTTAGTGTTACCTTCAGTGTCAGGATTTAGAGACAAATTACGAGAGAGGATCCACTGTACCGGAACACTTCATATGTCTGCAGCTTCATGATTCACCTTGAGTTATGAGTCTTATGATTCACTTTGAGTTTGGATTCTTATGATTCACCTGGAGTTAGGAGTCTTACGATTAACTTTCAGTTAGGAGTCTTATAATTCACCTTGAGTTATAAGTCTTATGATTCACCTTCAGTTAGCAGTCTTATGATTTACCTTGAGTTTGGAGTCTCCACCCACGTAGAGGAAGAAGATGTCATGCCGGCTCTGTGTGTGAGCGAAGAGCGCTGGCGTGGAGAGGTGGCGCATGGCCGGCCTACACGACCACACAGCACAGTACACCGCAGACAGCAGTGATTCCAACCGTTAAGATTGTCACGTACCGCCTCCGAGTCCTATCCCTGTCTGTGTACCCCTACCACTCCTATTCTCTGGATCAGGGACATTATTACTGTTATTTGTAGCTTCTCCATGCATATACTGACCCAAATCACGAGAATATGCAATTTCCACTGCTAGCTAAGGGCTACCAACAGACGTGCATCGCCTGCAAGGAGACACCTTGACTTATCTAACCCTGACTTTGGATGTAACGTTTCTCAATAACTAATAGGAGGACTGCATGGTTGTATGTACGTATGTATGCATGTTGAACTTCTTTCGCACCGTACGAGCCAACCGTGCTAATCGGAGGTGCGGGGAAGTTGTGGTCACACTCACCCGGCCACACGGTTGGCAAACGCGATGATCTCATCCTTGGTCCGCGGCCCCTTGTAGTTGTACGACAGGTCCCCCTTAATTCTAAACGACAGAAGTAACACCGTTACGCGTGCCAGAGGCTCATACTAAACTGAACCCCCGATGTAAATTGAAGACAATGAAAATGCTGCATTTGGCAGCGGTGCACAAGCATGTGAAGAAGAAGAAGATGAAAAAACAACTCGCCAGCGTGGCCCTGCAATAGTGTGTATGCATGCATCGTGTGAATATATTTGAATGCAATGGACGGTTTGAATGTATTAATCGCATAGAATAAACTACTGCACAGGAAAAGCTTTCGATGCGGTTATGTGGGTTGTGCTCACCAAGAAAATGAACATCTTGTTACCCAAAAATATGCAAATACCAGTTCGTGTCCATGCAGGCCTTGTGGCCTTAAGACATAGGTGGGGAACCTTTTCCTTATACCGAGGGTTGAATATGACTTTTAAATAACTTTAATGAATCACACATTAACGCACACATTAACACACAGCTCAGTCACTCCTGCCACTGCAAGATGTGGGGCCCTTGCAGTGACGGAAGTGAATGACTGCGCTAAAACAGGTCGAGTACATTGCTCTCGTGTACTCGATTAATGTTGAACTTCTTTCGCAACGTACGTAGCCAACCGTGCTAATCGGAGGTGTGGGGGAAGGAATGCTTGCAGTTATTAATTAATTATATTTTTACTCCGATTTCTATTTTGCATCATTAATGTAATTTATTTGCTTTGCTTTTGTCATGTTGGTGAGTAAGGTCGCTCTCACTCTGGCGAACGATAATTATCCTGGTCTCTTGAGTTCTCACCTTTTTACACAAAGTAAACTTACAAACTTGAAACGTTTCGAAGTTGTAAACCTGCTGTACGTATATACGTTTGCTGAAATTCTTTCGCACCGCATGTAGCCCACCGTGCTATTCGCAGGCGAAGTTGCAATCCATAGGTTTTCCCAGCCCTGGTCTAACAACACTGGAAAATTTACCCGGAGCCATATGCGACCCAAATCCTGCCACATCGTAATGGGCAAGAGGAGTTTCAATTTAATTATCCCTCTTAGAAACAGAACACGGCACAATCCACCGAAACATTTACGACAGTGCACGACAGACTCACAGTTTTATTGTTGGGTATCCACGGACGCCGTACTCCGTAGCAATACCTATGGAATGGCAAAAATGCACACGTCTATTCACAGTTTTATATTTCCACTAAATAGTTCAGTTTTAGAGGACACAAATATTAAGATAGCATCACAAGGGAGTTCATTTGTTTCTTCGATGACACTTCGCTGCACAAACATGCAAACATGTGCATGTTTAAGTCGCATTGCGCAAGTCACGGGCGAAAATTATCATCACTGTTCCAAGTAATTTGACGAGCCAATAATGGACCTTTAGTTGTACGTATGTATGTTGAACTTCTTTGCACCATACGTAGCCAACCGTGCTAATCAGAGGTGAGAACAGGAGCACAAGGCCCTGGACAATATGCAAACAGGACAAGTCTGGTGATAAAAGAAAATATGCATGCTTTCTGATGACGCTGACCTTGTAACATAACATACCGCATTTAGACTCTACCTCCAATTAGCATGGTTGGCTACGTACGGTGCGAAACAGGTTCAACATACCTACTATTGTGTCTCATATATGAATATATCAAGCCAAGTAAAAAATGTATTTGAGCTCAAACAAGCACTGGACTAGCCCCCATGGCCCAGAGCCAGTGGAGAAAATTCCACATACGATTGAGGCCAGTCTCTCCATGCGACAATGATGGGTGACTTCCTAAAAAGTGGGAGTACCCACACTTTACCCCACCACGCTCGGCCTACCGATCAACCATGGTGAACCCATTTATACTGCTGGGTGGAGAGAAATGGGCGGAGGGGGGGGTCTCATAAACTTGCAGATTGTCTCCAATTCTGTGCATGGGCATTGAACTGGTGAAACATTTGGTTTGGAAGTCCAGTGTACCGACAATTACACCGCGGCAGCAACTTCTCATGACAAATGAGCGTTGCCTCCCAAGACACAAGAAATATGTACTGGAACATCTATGAAAAGTACTGGACATCCGTGGAAAAAGAGCTTCACGGCTCATCAGATTCCTCCAGGATAAATAGATATTCTGGATGAATAAAGCTTCCGATGATGATTCTGTCTTATTTTCCACGTCAAACGTTTCACACAGCAGCAGCAGGCTGGACGCCCCGGAATACCAGAATGTGCAGTGGCATCCAGTTTTCCAACGCGGACGGGGGAGCCTGATGCCTTCATTTCTTGGGCCACCTCGTTCCACACCGGCTCCAGCTTCTTGCAGTGGCCGCACCACGGTGCATAGAACTATCATCACACGACGCCAAAACAAGAAATATTTACGGTCACATACGCAAAAAACAAACAGCCCTATTTAGCCTTATTGAATATACAGCGAGGGGGAAAAAGTATTTGATCCCCTGCTGATTTTGTACGTTTGCCCACTGACGAAGAAATGATCAGGCTATAATTTTAATGGTAGGTTTATTTGAAGAGTGAGAGACAGAATAACAACAACAAAATCCAGAAAAACGCATGTCAAAAATGTTATAAATTGATTTGCATTTTAGTGAGGGAAATAAGTATTTGACCCCCTCTCAATCAGAAAGATTTCTGGCTCCCAGGTGTCTTTATACAGGTAACAAGCTGAGATTAGGAGCACTCCCTTTAAGAGTGTGCTCCTAATCTCAGTCTCTCACTGTTCAAATAAACCTACCATTAAAATTATAGACTTATTATTTCTTTGTCAGTGGGCAAACGTACAATATCAGCAGGGGATCAAATACTTTTTTTTCTCTCACTGTAGCGGAAAGTGTTTTAGCTAGCACCTGCTAAGGCTGGAATGGCACACAAATTGTGGTGTGGACAGGACCCTGTCCGGATGCCTGTCTCCCTTCTCATGATGCTTACATACCGCACCATGTGCAGGTCCAGATACCATGTACCACTTAGAATATCCATTGTATAAAAATGAACCTCGTTTCTTGAGATCACAATGAAGTGATTGGAACAATAACAAACCGCTTCCCATATTTATAAACAGCTGACCAAGGTGTTTGAGCCAATATTGGCTATTGCCTTGCGAAGACAATAGCTTGTTTAAAAATAAAAGTCTAAACTTTACTCGATAAAATATACGGCAGATATTCCAAAGATTTACTAACCCTCGCATAGGTGTGCCACTGTATTTATATATACCCAAAAAGTTATGGAAAATTAGCTACATGGATGACATTATCCAGCCATGGCTTAATCCCTTACAGTGTAAGCTGTGCACCAATGGGAATTAATTAAACAGCATCTGGTACAACAATCCACAGTGCGCATCATCCAATCCCCCAAAGCTCATCCTTCCGAGTCGTGTCCTATCTTATGAATCTCATCTTATGTTCCATTAAGAAACGATGAATATATATTCAGCTTCTTATGCACCGTACGTAGCCAACCGTGATAATTGTAGGTGCGGGGAAGGACAACTAAATACAAAAAGCAGTTCTTCTGAAATTAGTTTTCAAACCCAACACAACTGGTTGCTGTTTTCTCTCTTTTAGCCAAGTGTTCTCCAGTTTCCAGGTGTACACTACTCCATATACACCTATAGTAGTAATAATAACACTTTGTACGTTACTGTATGGGATGCTGTCCTGGTGCAATTGTTAGCACACTTGACATGCAATCCAGAGGTCGTAGGTTCGATCTCCTGGCATTGCAGTTGAAACAATGGGCAAGTTCCTTAATTCTCCCCCGCACCTCTGTCCATCTAGTGGCAGAGGTATAAAAAGGTTAAACCTCAGGTAGTCCACTAGCAGGCCACGTGTGGTGGAGGTATAGTGTAGTTATTCCCACCTCCTCAAAGATATCTGCCCGGCATGGAAGCGTAGGCCAAATACCATCCAGAGGGGCTCTCGAAAGTTCCGTGTATTGGAGGCCCTTCTCCCAGCAGTCAGGTGGAGCTGCTATTGCACGGTTGCTCCTTTTTCCATTATCAAAACAATATCGATGGCAGTTGACATCGGCTGCTGTGCACTTTTAAGTCATCTAGATTGAAAACTAATTTATTTTAGAACATATTTTGTGCGTCTAGTTTTCGGACCATCACCCCCCCCCCCCCCCCACACGTCTCCGATTAGCATGGTTGTCTACGTACGGTGCGAAAGAAGTTCAACATACGTACGTACATACAAAAAAAGACACCTGTGCCAAGTCACAAATTAGAATAAGCAATTCACACCAGAAAACACTAAACCTCCCCCCTCCAGCCCTTAATGTAATGGACTGGAGTGAGTGTTATTAGCACCTCCTGTGGACCAAGTACAGTGGAAGGGGTCCAATGCCCAGGTGACATTGCCGAAGCACGTACAATAACACCTTGGGTTATTCGATTTTAATAATTGGTACATAATACACACTGTGAATGTGATGCAGTGTGGCAGTCAATGGAAGCATCGAAGCACAACAGTAGTTGATGCTACATTTCATACAATTATTTCAGAACGAGATTCTCAAAACAATTTTAAACAATGCAGATATGATCGCTGTGCTTTGTCAAGACATGCATGTCTCACTGGTATTGATTGTGCTCTCTAATGTGTCCTGGAACATCAAGAGGACTTTGAAATGACAGCATATGTGTAAATGAGATGATACTTACGTCAACCAACCACACACCATCATTTTTGTGCTCCGCGAATCTGGAGAGAATAAAATAAATTACAATTAATTAACCTTGAATTCAGAAATCATGTTCTGATATATTTTCCCTTTCTCAAGACTAAAAAGCATGTTCTCAAGTTGAACAATTTACATCACAGAGATGTTTCAAGGCAGGACCCAGGTATTTTCAATGACATCAAGTGCAATAAAAACCCCAGCTATTGGTGATCCCTGTCGAGGATTGCTTGTTGCATGTATGTCAACTGGGATCTCGGAGGAGTTACCCTCAGACTGACAATTTCCATCTTGTACTAACAATGTATGTACGTTGAACTTATTTCGCACCGCATGTAGCCAACCATGCTAATCTGAGGTGCGGGAAAATCTGTGCCGTCAGTTCCAAAATCATTTTTTTTTACCATTATATGATGCACTGCTGGGGCAATTGTAGGAATGCCATATTTCTTTGAGAAAATCTCATTTGACTTTTCACCATGTTATGCACCTAGCATCAACTAAATTAGGCCAGCAAGCTTAACCACCAAGTGGAGTAACACATTGTAGATCGATGTTAAAAATACGAATTGTACTCTCTTGTGATCAGAGCCAGTGGTTCTCAATCATCCATGCTGAATTCTAAGGATCCTAAAAGTGCTCGAGTTTGGCTTTCTATCTCAATCATACCAAAGTGGCCTCAATCAACCATCCATGGCAACCCCAACCATTCGCTTCAGGGGCTTCTTAAGGAAAACATTCGGTTAACTAACCCGAGTTGTCGGGTTATTGGTTTTTCCCACCCTTGGTTATCCCCGTGTCCTTCTCACGAACAAATCTTGCAAATTCTCGGAGGCCGGGCCCCTAGGCAGAGCGGACTATGCGAGTGTGTTCCGGTGAGCGCGCTGCTCTACGGACACGGCGACCCCCCAGTTCGATTCCCGCTCACGGTCACCCAACACCATCAGTGACGATCATCCGAACAGAACCTTTGGGCCTCCCCTAGGTCGACTCGGCCTCAAATGAGCAGCCGGTGCGGTGTGCAGTAAACATCGCCCGCTCGGGGGGATGTTTTACTGCACACCGCCGGCGGCCACCCATTTATATGTGCTGCTCGCAAAGAGCACTTAACCCCCCAACAGTCTGTCACAGGCATGTCGTTCTGGCTTGCTACGAGAGCGTTGCTGTGTGTGTGTGTGAGTTCTGGGTCACATCATTCCCCTCTCGGGCGGTTGTTGTTGTTGTGTGTGTGTGTGGCGTCGGGAGCTCGACTCACGATTCCCCAAGCTCGAGGGCAAACGCCGCGGCCTCCGTCACGAACGCCAACACTGCCGTAGGGGTGAGGTGGTGGTGGTGGTGGGTGGGGGGGGGAGCAGACACAAAAAAAGTAATGAAAAATAACAAAGGACACATTTAAATAAGGATACGAGGAATTGCTTTTCCTTCACCACGTGGAAGGGGCGTTGGGGGGGGTGGACATTACAACATTGTAATCCGTCCGTAAACCTCTACGCCTTCCCAAAATAACCAGGCCCAGTTTCGCCTTCTCTAAGTCTCATCAGCGGCGTTGTGGCCCCGTTAAACAAATCGCAATGGGTGCGTTTCCTCCATCCCCCCCCCTCAACCCCAAGCCCTCTCTCTTGCAAAACGCGCTGTAAGTAAAGTTAAAAACAAACCTCCCCCCAAACGCGGTAGCATATGAAGATAAAGGTTTGCGAATGAATGATTACCGATAATTGCACAGCACCAGCAGGCCAACACGCGCGCTGCCATCTCGGCCCTGTCACCGCGGGAACCGGGTGGGGCGGGTAAAGGGGCGGGGCGAAGAGGGTCCTTTAACCCTTGACCCGTTCGCGAGAGCCAATCGCGGCGCGCGCCTTGCCCCTTTTCGTCACGACCGTTGCCCCACCGCAAAGACAAAGCTCGCCCGTGTAGGCTGCGACAGGCTGCAGGGGCAAGTGCGGCTTGGCGAGCGCCTATGGGAGGGCTTACCACGCCCGGCCGCCTTTGTCTCCCCCTTTGGGGACGCCCCGGGAATTTTAAAGAGAATCGTCGCTGGGATTGGCTGGCCGGTGAGCGGGAATCGAACTCGGTCTGCCGAGTTCTTGGCGCTCAGAGCCACTCGGTCACTAAGGGGCCGTCCATAAATGACGTCACGCGATTTTTAACGATTTTTTTACCCCCCCCTCACCACACGGCGTCACAAAAAGTCAGACCCCCTCAAATATGACGTCACAAAGCTCTGCCCCCCCCCCCCCCACAAAAAATATAAAACATGCTTCAAGTCGCTTTAAACTATTGTCATTGTAGTGCGTATTTAATGTGCCGCTGCACTGATGTTGTAGGAGAAAACAACATTTATTAAAAAGTCTATTGAATTAATTAGAACGTGTTGTCTATATTTATTTGAAGTTGCGCATGTTGATGTGACGTCACATTTCTCACCCCCCCTCGTCACAAATGTCTGACCCCTCCCCACCCCCCCAGGTGCGTGACGTCATTTATGGACGGCCCCTAACCTCAAACTACAAAGATTACCCCCGTGTAGCCTGTAACAGACTTGGGGCAAGTGCTGTTAGCGAGCACCTATTCAAGTTTTCATTTTCATTTATTAGGTATCGCCCTGTGAGCCATGCGGCTCTTCAGTCGGGTGCAACCGCAACAAACACAATATTAATCTGCATTGCAGCAAACTATTACACCACAACCAGACCAAAATAAAGCTTCAAAAACAATGTAACAACAGTAATCATAGGAACTGTGATTTTACATTTTAACAATAAACGATATACATAACACGTACGACAAAAACCTGCAGCCATAGCTGGCAGTACGACACTCCCAGTGTATGATGTGTGAGTGAGTCAGCAGCAGCGTGAGTGAGTGTATGTGTGAGTGAGTTAGCAGCGTGAGTGAGTGTATGATGTGTGAGTGAGTGTATGATGTGTGAGTGAGTCAGCAGCAGCGTGAGTGAGTGTATGTGTGAGTGAGTCAGCAGCAGCGTGAGTGTATGATGTGTGAGACGGCGTATGATGTGTGAGTGAGTCAGCAGCAGTGTGAGTGAGTCGGCAGCAGCGTGAGTGAGTGTATGATGAGTGAGTCAGTGTATGATGTGTGAGTGAGTGTATGATGTGTGAGTCAGTGTATGATGTGTGAGTGAGTGTATGATGTGTGAGTGAGTGTATGATGTGTGAGTGAGTGTATGATGTGTGAGTGAGTGTATGATGAGTGAGTCAGTGTATGATGTGTGAGTGAGTGTATGATGTGTGAGTGAGTGTATGATGTGTGAGTGAGTGTATGATGTGTGAGTGAGTGTATGATGAGTGAGTGAGTGATGAGTGAGTGAGTGTATGATGTGTGAGTGAGTGAGTGTATGATGAGTGAGTGAGTCAGCAGCAGCGTGAGTGAGTGTATGATGTGTGAGTGAGTCAGCAGCAGGGTGAGTGAGTGTATGATGTGTGAGTCAGTATTAGGTTGAGTGAGTGTATGATGTGTGAGTCAGCGCACGATGTGTTAGCGCATGATGAGTGAGTGAGTGTATGATGTGTGAGCAAGTCAGCGGCAGCGTGAGTGAGTGTATGATGTGTGAGCGAGTCAGCAGCAGCGTGAGTGAGTGTATGATGTGTGAGTCAGTATTAGGTTGAGTGAGTGTATGATGTGTGAGTCAGCGCACGATGTGTTAGCGCATGATGTGTGAGTCAGTGTATGATGTGTGAGAAAGTCAGCGGCAGCGTGAGTGAGTGTATGATGTGTGAGTCAGTGTATGATGTGTGAGTGAGTGTATGATGTGTGAGTGAGTGTATGATGTGTGAGTCAACTGCAGTGTGAGCGAGTCAGTGTATGATGTGTGAGTGAGTGTATGATGAGTGAGTGAGTGTATGATGAGTGAGTGAGTGTATGATGTGTGAGTGAGTGAGTGTATGATGAGTGAATGAGTGAGTCAGCAGCAGCGTGAGTGAGTGTATGATGTGTGAGTCAACTGCAGTGTGAGTGAGTGTATGATGAGTGAGTCAGTGTATGATGTGTGAGTGAGTCAGCAGCAGCGTGAGTGAGTGTATGATGTGTGAGTGAGTGTATGATGAGTGATGTGTGAGTGAGTGTATGATGTGTGAGTGAGTGTATGATGAGTGAGTGAGTATATGATGTGTGAGTGAGTGTATGATGTGTGAGTGAGTCAACTGCATTGTGAGTGAGTGTATGATGTGTGAGTGAGTCAGTGTATGATGTGTGAGTGTATGATGTGTGAGTGTATGATGTGTGAGTGAGTGTATGATGTGTGAGTGAGTCAACTGCAGTGTGAGTGAGTGTATGATGAGTGAGTCAGTGTATGATGTGTGAGTGAGTGTATGATGTGTGAGTGAGTGTATGATGTGTGAGTGAGTGTATGATGTGTGAGTGAGTCAACTGCAGTGTGAGTGAGTGTATGATGAGTGAGTCAGTGTATGATGTGTGAGTGAGTGTATGATGTGTGAGTGAGTGTATGATGTGTTATTCAGTGTATGATGTGTGAGTGAGTCAACTGCAGTGTGAGTGAGTGTATGATGAGTGAGTCAGTGTATGATGTGTGAGTGAGTGTATGATGTGTGAGTGAGTGTATGATGTGTGAGTGAGTGTATGATGTGTGAGTGAGTGTATGATGTGTGAGTGAGTCAACTGCAGTGTGAGTGAGTGTATGATGAGTGAGTCAGTGTATGATGTGTGAGTGAGTGTATGATGTGTGAGTGAGTGTATGATGTGTTATTCAGTGTATGATGTGTGAGTGAGTCAGGAGCAGCGTGAGTGAGTGTATGATGTGTGAGTGAGTGTATGATGTGTGAGTGAGTGTATGATGTGTGAGTGAGTCAACTTGAGTGTGAGTGAGTGTATGATGAGTGAGTCAGTGTATGATGTGTGAGTGAGTGTATGATGTGTGAGTGAGTGTATGATGTGTGAGTGTATGATGTGTTATTCAGTGTATGATGTGTGAGTGAGTCAGGAGCAGCGTGAGTGAGTGTATGATGTGTGAGTCAACTGCAGTGTGAGCGAGTGTATGATGAGTGAGTGAGTGTATGATGTGTGAGTGAGTGTATGATGTGTGAGTGAGTGTATGATGTGTTATTCAGTGTATGATGTGTGAGTGAGTCAGCAGCAGCGTGAGTGAGTGTATGATGTGTGAGTGAGTGTATGATGAGTGAGTGAGTGTATGATGAGTGAGTGAGTGTATGATGTGTGAGTGAGTGAGTGTATGATGAGTGAGTGAGTCAGCAGCAGCGTGAGTGAGTGTATGATGTGTGAGTGAGTCAACTGCAGTGTGAGTGAGTGTTTGATGAGTGAGTCAGTGTATGATGTGTGAGTGAGTCAGCAGCAGCGTGAGTGAGTGTATGATGTGTGAGTGAGTGTATGATGAGTGAGTGAGTGTATGATGTGTGAGTGAGTGTATGATGAGTGAGTGAGTATATGATGTGTGAGTGAGTGTATGATGAGTGATGTGTGAGTGAGTGTATGATGTGTGAGTGAGTGTATGATGAGTGAGTGAGTGTATGATGAGTGAGTGAGTGTATGGTGTGTGAGTCAGCAGCAGCGTGAGTGAGTGTATGATGTGTGAGTGAGTGTATGATGTGTTATTCAGTGTATGATGTGTGAGTGAGTCAGCAGCAGCGTGAGTGAGTGTATGATGTGTGAGTGAGTGTATTATGTGTGAGTGAGTGTATGATGTGTGAGTGAGATTATGATGTGTTATTCAGTGTATGATGTGTGAGTGAGTCAGCAGCAGCGTGAGTGAGTGTATGATGTGTGAGTGAGTGTATGATGAGTGATGTGTGAGTGAGTGTATGATGTGTGAGTGAGTGTATGATGAGTGAGTGAGTATATGATGTGTGAGTGAGTGTATGATGAGTGATGTGTGAGTGAGTGTATGATGTGTGAGTGAGTGTATGATGAGTGAGTGAGTGTATGATGAGTGAGTGGGTGTATGATGTGTGAGTGAGTCAGCAGCAGCGTGAGTGAGTGTATGATGTGTGAGTGAGTGTATGATGTGTGAGTGAGTGTATGATGTGTTATTCAGTGTATGATGTGTGAGTGAGTCAGCAGCAGCGTGAGTGAGTGTATGATGTGTGAGTGTGTGTATGATGTGTGAGTGAGTGTATGATGTGTGAGTGAGATTATGATGTGGTATTCAGTGTATGATGTGTGAGTGAGTCAGCAGCAGCATGAGTGTATGATGTGTGAGTGAGTGTATGATGAGTGATGTGTGAGTGAGTGTATGATGTGTGAGTGAGTGTATGATGAGTGAGTGAGTGTATGATGTGTGAGTGAGTGTATGATGAGTGATGTGTGAGTGAGTGTATGATGTGTGAGTGAGTGTATGATGAGTGAGTGAGTGTATGATGTGTGAGTGAGTGTATGATGAGTGAGTGTATGATGTGTGAGTGAGTGTATGGTGTGTGAGTGAGTCAGTTGCAGCGTGAGTGAGTGTATGATGTGTGAGTGAGTCAGCAGCAGCGTGAGTGAGTGTATGATGTGCGAGTCAGCGTATGATGTGCGAGTCAGCGCATGATGATTGAGTCAGTATTAGGTTGAGTGAGTGTATGATGTGTTAGTCAGCGCATGATGAGTGAGTCAGTGTATGATGTGTGAGCAAGTCAGCGGCAGTGGGAGTGAGTGTATGATGTGCGAGAGAGCCAGCACACGATGAGTGAACCTGTGTATGATGAGTGAATGGGTCAGTGGTTGTGCGAGTGTATGATGTGTGAGTCAGCGCATGATGAGTGAGTCAGTGTATGATGTGTGAGCAAGTCAGCGGCAGTGGGAGTGAGTGTATGATGTGCAAGTGAGCCAGCACACGATGAGTGAACCTGTG